TGCCTCGTGAAATTTCCTTTTAGGAGCACCCCTTAAAATTTAAAATGTGGCAAATTAAACAACGAAATTTTCAGTTTTAGTTGAAAATTTCATGACCGACCACTCCGATTGACTCGATCCACTGTGCGCCGGCGCGGCGCTCACTCTGCCAGTAATAACGGAAAAAAACTTTCTCGAGGTATGCATTTAGCGATAGGCGGGTATGGGGGGGGGGGGCTCCCTCTCATTTCGTCCGCAAAAAAAAAGGGACGGAAAGGGAAGAAAGAAAGGAGGAAGGAACGGAGGAACGGAGGAACGGAGGAAAGAAGAAGAAAGGACGCGTTTATATTGTAGTTATTCATGACAGAATTGACTCCAACTGCAAATTAGTTGCTTTAAAATTTCAAAAATTTTCAGGGGGAAAGCTTTCCGGACCCCCCATACGCGGCCCCTAGTACGAAGTGTCTGGATTAGCCTATGCATTCGGACGGCATTTGTCAACTTCAACCTAACTGCATTTTTCGTTTCTAAATTTTCGGATAACTTTTACTAAACGCATATTAGCGCCTGCTAGACTGGATGAATACTTCACGCATTCCGCCAAACAGTGCGATCGCGTGAAGCGCATATCAGCGCCTACAAGACTGAATGAATACTTCTCGCATTGCGCCAAACGCAGTGCAGTCGGTCATTCGGCGTGAAATGTACAACGGGACCCTGCAATCCTCGAAGGATCGTGAAGATTTTCCTGCTTTCTGTTAACTTTTCCACCATTAAATATCTCTCATTGCACTTCATCTGATGATATTTTTAACAGAGGGCCGAAGACTACATCATCCTCATTTTCGTCTGGAGAGAAATGAAGATGCATTTCGCATGGAAGGCCATGATCAATGTGCGAGACCGGGTGGAATCGCGTGTTTGGCACTGTGCGCGTCATAAGCGAATAGTATTGTTAACGGAGAAGGAAGTTGGAAGTATTGGGCAACTGAAGAGGTTTACGGCGAGAATGAATTGGTTTAAATATTTAAATATGCATGATGACCTCGTGGTTGATTGCGGAACTTGCAATTGATTGTAAGAGCGAGAGAAACATTTTGGGACGAGCGTAAAAAGGCAGCAACATCTCGACTGAAAAATCTGAGAAAAACAGGGAGGGTTCGATACTCCCCCACATCCTCCAGATCTCCCAATTCCTTACAATCTCTGTTGGGTTCTATTTTGCAAAGCTTTAAAGGAGTGAAACTGGAGGGGAACTCTTTTTTAATTTGAGGAATATCTTGTACAGATGGAAGAACGTTTATATGAGCAAGAAAAATTGCAACGAATTTCGAACGGGGATTTTGGTCGGTTTATTTCTCCAAAAAATTGAAATAAGAGATTAGATTTTAGAACACCACAACGTGAGTGCGCCCGTTTTGCTTAAGGTGATTCGATGGACGCCATATTTTGTGTCAGAAAGGCATGCGATATATCGCATCCATTGGTTCCATTTTTTCAGCTACGCGTCATTTCTCTCCAATTTTGAGATCGCAATTCTGTTGTCAGGAGACTATTACACTCACTTACCAATTTTAACAAAGAAATTCAACGTAATAAAGGCGTGGTTTTTTTAGAGAGAAAATTTCGCATTCGAGTGCAGTTTCGATATCAGAATCGAATGTGATGTTTTCTCTCTTAAAAATCCACGCCTTTAGTATGTTGAATTTCTTTGTTTAAATTGGTAAGTGAGTGCTTTAGTCTCCTGACAACAGAATAGCGATCTCAAAATTGGAGAAAAATGGCGAAAAGCTGAAAAAATGGAGCCAATTGGCGATATATCGCATGCCGTTCTGACACGAAATATGGCGTCCATCGAATCACCTTAACTCTTTTCCAACTAAGCCGTAAAAATATCGGAGAGTCAGGGAATTTTAAAATCCAAGAAAACGTTTCACCCGTTTTATCCTTGGACGGCCGCATTTATCGGATACACCGATTTTAGAGAAATTTGGCAAGCGTTGATTTCGCTTGGTTCCCTTTCGAGAAACAATGCCCAAAAGTGGTAGGTAACTGCAAAATCGACGATTCACTGTAATTATCAGTTAATTAATGAACAAGAAGCAAGATTCTAATTTATAAAAATCAGCGAGATAACGGCACTACGCGCCTTCATTGCTTGATGATACTTCACGCACAACCATGGAGTTAGATTAGTTGTGTGACCTAACTGAAGCATTTCTCCGTGTAACCGTGGAAATAACGATAAACCTGATAACGTTGGAGCAGGGGATCACAGGTGATAAATCACGTCGCCAGAATTTTTTCGGTGCGTGAATGAGGGGCTGCAAGGATTTGAACTGTGGGGAAGGGGGAGAGGTCAACTCATCAATATCAGTTTCAACAGGCATTTGCCGGAAGCACTGTGGAAGATTGATACATCCCTCGGCACTGTCTTTGCTGGTCGGGGGTTGTTTGCCTTTGAGGTGAGGAGGGTGGCTTTGGCCAACTATAAGTTTTCTTCGCAGAAAAGTGGAGGCCTCGTAGCTTCTACAGTGAAAACCCATTCTTTTGGATGAAAGTTTGATTACATCGAGTGGAAAATCGCTGAACTCAGGAAAATGAACTGTTAGAACGAAGGAAATCAAACGGGTGGAGAAAGTTCCAAAATCTTGACCGCTTTTTGCGATGCTCCCTCTAAGGTCCGTTTTGCCGCACCGATAAATTAGCAATTTACCTTATGTAATATCCAAGTGATTAGCCAAACAAAAATACATCATAGAATCAGAATTTTGTGTAGAGTAACCAGTTGCTAATTCAACCAGTGACGAGGCGTTAATGATAAATTATCCGTATTAGCTATCGAACATCCTGTCTATCGGTCATCTCTATAGATTGAAATAGCAGATCAATCGATGTATCGCAGAGCATGCCACACTACCGAATTCGATTAGAATTTAAGGTCTTGGAGGACAAGGCGCATTAGTGCAATTTTTCCCCACATCGAAAAATATGTTTTTAAAGTTTCAATATGACATGGGACCTCACGGCATAAAGAAATTTCAGACTCAGGTTTTGATACCTAAAAATTTTGTTTTAATAGCAAATCTTTTACAGGATATATTGTAAAACTAGTTTCAATTTAATTTATTAATATCTCAATTTTTTCGAAAACTTCTCTTAAGCGCCGTGTCCTCCAAGCCCTCATTAGGGAATTTGCAGGTGTCTGGGATTGGATGAATTTCGTGTTTAAGTGGAAACTATTGAGTGTACTGAACACGAGGATACCCTTGGTTCATGAATTGAACAATTATTGGAGAAGACATGACAAAACTCCGGGTTTGACAAGGAGCGAACGGAATGAGAGATGGAACGGGGAAAGGAATTTGAGAATGAGCTGATCAAAGATCACAAAAATTTTCAATTTATGTAATCTTCATTCCCGTTTGTGACTCCGTGAGGGGGTGTTGTCTTATAACTCTCAGTATAAAGGGACTCTAGGTTATGATTTTTTTGGTGATTGATGCCGTTGTGGTCAACTTGCACGCGCGCCACAAATCTAAGGTTCCCTGCTGAGGGGGTGTTTTCCTTACAATATGACCTTTGACAGTGTTCTGAATTATTTAGTTTACACTCACAGTCAGAAGAGTGAGTTGCCAAATACTGTCGATAGACATTTGTTCAAAGGTCATTCCAGTGTCGATTTTCACTAAAATATTCTGGGAATCCTCACGCAATGTGACCTTTCACTCGAAAAAAGATCTCAAAGAACGGAAGAAAATTTTTCAGAGCGTGCATTTTGTCATTCTACATTAGAAAATCAGAATTACAGTTTTTAACGGAAAACCTCTGGTATCAAAAAAATAGTTGTGAGCGGTTTTGGTAATGTATGTAACTAGAGAGAGGGGAGAAAATGAGGGAGAGAGGAGGGGTAAAGTTACGGTCCGACAATTTTAGCTGCGCTGTTGACAGATCGAAACTTTAAAACAGATTTTATTGTCAAAAGTATTTTTTGACCTCTAATTTTGAGCTGCTCCATCACTCCGGCTTGCTATAAAAGTTTGCGCATTTTTTGAGGCGGAACATTTGTCCTGCTCTAAACTGTGACATCTGACATTTCAGTCGTAATTTTTTTGGAATTTTCGTCAAAATTCCGAAATTCGTTTGACCTAACAACTTGTTTAAGTGAATTTATTGAATAAAGCTACAAATGTACCAAATGTAATTTTAACAAACTCACAATTTTCTATCCGGTTACTAGCATCAAGATGATGTCAGTAAATTTGTAAAATAAGAGTAACGGCTGTTGCAAATATACAGTGTAACGCAAAAATTACGATTGTAAATCCTACCAATTCAATTCTTATTAAAATTAATTTTACCGACTGAAATGAGTCTCTGAATTTATTTAAAGCAAAACAGAAAATGATGATGGAATTTAATCGTTAATAATAGTTATCTATCCACCAAAACTCAAGTAAAAATGGCAATGCGCATTTATTCGATGGAATGTTTTAATATTATTCCTGAACTTTCGCCGAAGTTTGAACTCCGCAAGGCGTATTGTGATTATTTTCACTCACCGCCATTCCGGAGTAAAAATAACGCGCGTGAAGTTTCCTACAGAAAACTTGAAAACCTCATTCACAACGTCACATTTTCTTCTCCTCTGACTTCTGAATTTGAAAATTTGCCCCAGTTTGCGCCGCACACATTGAATATATAATCAAGCATTATTAAAAATGCGTCGGTAAGAATTTTAAAAATTGTAAATATGAGACCGTCCTCATGTAAAGGGAACTCACTCTACTGAAGAAACACTTTCAGCTGAGTCCTGTCTGTCGAGTCAGGTCAAAAAATTGGATCTGAAAATTTTGATAAAAATTTAAAATACATCGATACTATCAGTTTCAAGTGATTTCCTTTATTTCTTTGCTTGGGAGGACGTAAATTATTTCATTCGGAGGAAACAAACAAGCATTTTTACTGTGTAAACCTATGTAAAACTCAAAGTTAATAAGAATATTTTTGTTCTGTTTCAGAGAGCCAGACTGAAGGCCCGTACATTACGATGCCAAAACCCGAATACTCGGTTGGCGACCAACTAGACATGAATTGCACGTCTAGTCCAGCGGTGCCTGATCCGGAAATCACGTGGATTCTCAACGGGAAACAGGTTAGTGCGATGTTTCAAGAAAAACTAACGTCCGCGTATTGGGAGGATATGCTCGAGAAAATGTTATCATTTCTCATGAAAGTGATTGATAAGCTAAGTTCAGAGTATCATCTATTATTAGAAACACGGAGAGACAAAACAAACCAGTAGTCTAGTAGGAATTGTTTCGTCGAGTTCCGTACTTACGTTTGGTGATCCGGAAGTGTACAGTTCGTTGAGAACCGAAAAGATTCGGTCGATATGAATTTTGATTGATAAAAGAGATTGACTTATAACACCATAATCAAAAGCATTCTGACCCACGGCAGTGAAGTGTGGCCCATGGAAGATCGTACCAAAAAGATTCTTAAGGCAACTGAGATGGATTTCTGGCGGAGATCAGTCGGAATCTCGAGGAGGAATCACGCAAGGAACGAGAGTGCGTGAGATTATGAACGCCGAGTAGAACATCGTGCATGAAATTATGACCAAACAGCTTGTCTGGTATGGTCATGTTCAACGAGTGGCGGATGACAGATTGCCTAAGAAGTTACTAGATTGGGTTCCTCCTGGGAGGAGACGCAGGGGACGTCCAGCAAAATCATGGATAGGTGGCATTCAAGATGAAATTACAAGATGCCATTTACTAGATGACCTCTGGGTCGATAGACAAAAATGGCGATCAGGTGTTGCAGAGCACCCGGGCGCGCTGTAAAAGCGACTTGAATGTATGTATGTATGAAATTTGACCGATATGAACCAACATTTCTTGACTTCTTGATCTGCACCTTCAGTCCATCACTTGGTTCGCTATGATCCACTGAAGGGGCCATTTCACACGGCTGAGGATAGATCCCTCGAATTAAGAAGCATTCTCCTAGAATTCATCAATTTGTACAACCGAGTTTTTTTTTTTTTTTTTTTATTAACGTTGCAAATGTCGTGACAATATATAAAATTAGGAAGTTTTCCGTTCAAGCTGAAAAAAAAATAATACTTAGAAACTCCTCATCCTTGTAGGTTTTTTCTCTTCTGTTCAAAGGGCAAAAAAGTCCTACATTGACCTGTAGAATAGCCCCTCAAAATGTGTCTCGTTGTCCCTGGAACACCCTTTATACTTCGAACTGAAGTGGCCGCAAATCCCTATCTTGACGTCAATTCGCCTTAACCCTACTCTTATCACCTCCTGTTTAGTTCAGAATCCATATATTTCGATTCGTTGGAACAGATCTCTGCTGGGCGCGGTCTGAAGTGAGATTGATTCGTTCTAGGCCGCGTCTTGTCAGCCTTTTTCCTTAAAAGCCTCGAATTCTCTGAATTTCCTCTCATGTTATCTTAGAGCGCAGCCGGGTAATCAGTCTTTAAGTGTGGAGCATATAAGATGGATTTCTCCGGAAAGGTTTCACTTGAATTTTTAAAGAACGCAGACAAAATTCCTACGAATTTCTTCTTGGGGTGGGATGCGAATCAAAAGAAAACAACTATGCCGGTGCATTTACTTTTAGCAGTCAACAAGAGGTTATCTGCGATAAGCTGACTGTCCTCTAAACTTTTCGCAATAAGCTAGTCCTAAAAATAGTCTTTGCGAAAATATTATTGTAATCAACACCGGTCGATTTGCCAAAAGTTTTTAACTGCTGCTTAGAGGATTTTAACACTGATACCAGGAACGGCCCCCGTTTTTTGGATCAGTTTCGGTTGCCTCCAAAAAATCAAAATTTCTCTGAAAACTAAGCTCATCTAAATGAAATTCCATTTTCCTAGAAATATGTGCAAGATAAAGGAAACCCGATGTCATTTACGGGGTTTTCAGCCAAAATGTACAAGTCGTCATTTATTACATGCGTAACGAATTTTCTCCTCTGTACATAATATCGAGATTTTTTCGGTCAAATACCCCCTCCGTTTACATGTACCACAACTACCATGGAAAGCTCATACGATCATTTTGCGATAAAGGAGAAAATGGGGGATATTTTTTTCAAATGTTTAATGACATTTTTCTCTCCTAATTTGATTGTTGACACTGGAAATCGCTTGAATTTTTTCCAACGCCTTCGGAATATCAGGTTTTCAAGAGTGGGAGAGGATTCTGAGGTGAAAAACGCATTTTCCTAAAAATTTGGTTTTTTTCTGATAAAATTATCTCACCTCTAGGACCTGCAGCCACAAGTAGACGCTATCAAGTGTTCGTAGACGTTAGGCGATACGCACATCCATGCTCCAGTGGCGATTCTTGAATGTTGGCAAAATTGATTTCCTTCCATTTAAATGTATGTTAAACAATCGATTCCTAGTGAAGTAGCTCGTCTCACCTAAAAGCGATATTTTTATTGGGTTTAAATGGAGGAAAAACAATATTGCCAACTTGCCAAATCGTCACTGCCATGCTTTCTAGATTTTCAGGGATTAAGATCAAGTGGAACCTCTTTCAGCAGATCCACGCATCAGCGCCGTCAAAATTTGTCACCACTCCGGAGATTCAAACCCGGGATCTACCGATCAAGATTGCGCGAAGCGCACAACCGGATTGCCGCTTTCGCACCCCTACGAAGCTTCAAAATCGCGTAAAACACAGTCCTAGCGTTGAGTCGTTCGAAAGTCACACAAAATTTCGCGTGAACCGCACAACGGGATTGCCGCTTTCGCACCCCTAGGAAGCTTCAAAATCGCGTAAAACACAGTCCTAGCGTTGAGTCGTTCGAAAGTCACACAAAATTTCGCGTGAACCGCACAACGGGATTACCGTTTTCGCTCAACCTAACAGGGTTCAAAATCGTGTAAAACACAGCGTCCTAGCGTTGAGTCGTTCGAAAGTCACACAAAATATCGCGTGAACCGCACAACGGGATTACCGTTTTCGCACAACCCAAGAAGCTTCAAAATCGCGTAAAACACAGAGTCCGGCCGGCCGCAGAGTGGATTGAGTCAATCAGAGAGTTTCGACTTGAAATTTTTGACGAAAATTTCACTTTGATGTTTATTTTGTCAAATTTTAAATTGTAAGGGGTGCCGCTAGATAAAAATTTCACGATAAAACTAACGAAATCACTTTTAGAACCTCAAAGTGACGTATAGACGGAGTTATAAGCTTCTAAAGTTTCCAAATTCTGTCCGGCCTCTCTCATTGACTCGTTCCACCGTGGGCCGACAGATTCTAGGTAGCCACCCCGGCCCAATTCTTAAAAACTCCCCCCTAAAAATTGACGACAAAAAAAAAAAAAAAAAAAAAAAAAAAAAAAAAAAAAAAAAAAATTCTCCTGAACGTCAAAAATCAATGATACTCGAACTGAACATTACGTTTCTTTTCGCTGAACCCGATCCTCACTCAGGAGTTGGCACAATCCGGTTCAATTAAATTGACTTTCTGTTGGGCGCGGTAACCCGTGGCCTCCCTCAAGGCGCCCCGTAATTTATGGGAGGCCCGAAGGGCGCCGCAAAGAGGACGGGGCGGGGGGGGGGCGCAGGAGTCATGACTTCACCTCAATATCCGAGGCAAAACGGAGAGGAGCCCAGGTTATAAATTTCCCGAGCTTTGCCTCAAATAAAATATATACAGATACGTATCGAAGCTTTCAAAGTTTTCTCCGGCAACTGCATCGGGGGATCGGAGGAGCTAACGGCCCGCTTCCGTGGGGAGTTCCCCGAAACCCGATAAATTTCAATCTGAACGCTTCAAAGTTCATTTGCCGCCGGGGCGTCTGCGCAAACAACCCCATTACCAGTCTCCGCCGAGTGCAGTCCGCCGAACCCGAGGCGATATCCATCCGTCGGACGGACGAAATTGCTAACTTCGGGTTCCTTTTTCGCCTCCTTGCAGAAACTAGAGCCCCTTTGCACTGAGAGTTATGACACGAGGAATCCATCCCTGATTGGCTCTTGTACTCTGAGTCCCCTCAATGCCCCAAGTAGCAGCGATCGCGATAAAGGGCGATTTTATCCGTTGATTATCGCGATTATATCGGTGGCAATGCATCGCAATATTATCGAATAAAAAATTGCGATTTATGGCGATTAAATCGCTGTGCATCGCAATTTTTTGTTCAATAAAATCGCGATCAATTTTCGTCGATAAAATCGAGATTAAATCGCCATATACCGCGATTTTTGATGCGCTAATATCGCGATGAATTGCCAGGCGATAAAATCGCAATTTTATTGCAACAGATCGAGGATAATCGCTCAGATGCTGATGATCTTAGCGATTTTATCGCCGACAAAATCGCAACAAATCGCGATTTTTCCGTTGAAAAATGTTACTTCGGTGTCTCAAACGGTGAAAAAGATCACCTTTTCACCGATTGCAAAGATTATAAACTGGAATGGATCAAGGAATTGGGCATTGGCAGAGCCGGACGGGTCAGAGGGGGCATATGCCCCCCCTCCCGTTTGCCTGAAAAAAGGGAGGAAGAAGGAAAGAGGGAATAGAGAAAAAAAGAAACGGAAGTAAGACGAAGGAAAAACGCTCATACTTGGTAATTATTCATGGTAAAATCGACTGAAACTGCATATCAAGTGCTTCAAATCTCTAAAATTTTTCACCTTCTCCCCTCCCCCGCCCTGATGACTGAATTTGAGAAAAAAATCCGCCTGTTCCCGTTCGAGGTGTCTGGATCTACCTATGGAACTAGAGGTATTTCAGGGAAAGAAAGGAAGGAAGTTGTCACGGAAAAAAAGTGCTAGGGGTTATCTCCTAACATCGTGGTACTACCCCCAATTTGTTGGATGATATGGGCATTACCAATTGATTGCAACCCAAGTTGGGGTACTACCGTAACTTTAGGGGTAGTAGCCTAATTTATTGGGGTACTGCCATGATTAATTGGAAACGTTCATATCATCCAACAACCCGTGCTCTTTTTTCCATGTGGTAATGAGTTGATCGTAGATTACGATACAGTATGAAAAACATATAATTCCGCGAAACAGCTGTTGCAAAGTATAAGTGCAGGATATAAAACTGGTGAAATACTTTTACTGTGCACGATCCTAAATGCTCGAGACGTTTTGAGAAAATGTGTAGTTTCTCAAGGGGAGGGTACTTGAATGTGCTTCTAGTGGTTCACAGAGAAAAAAAGCTGCTGAAGTACCTAACATTCCGGATGTTAAAAATCTACGTGACAACTCTTGAGTGTTAATATGAACGCCACGATTGCTAATTCAACGTAGCTAGGATGTTACTTTAACAGACGGAGGGTTCGTAACAACATTCAAGGGGTGTCGCGCATATTTTAACACTCATGCAGGACGTTACTTCAGCAACTTTTTTTCAGTCTTTAATGATGAAAGTAATCTCAGAATGAAAAAGTCCGACTGCTTACGATAATTTTCAGGGTTTTTTTTATCATTATTGTTAGGAAAAGTTGAAACCAAAGACAAACTTATGAACGGTCTCAACTTTTTACGTCTCTTTAATTTCACGTTTCACTGAAAATGATAAACTTTGCGTAGTAGCCTTCGCAACGCAGAGTAAGTCCCTTTTTTCCTGTGAAAATTTTTGTGATTCTTAGGCATCCGAATAATTTCTTAGAGTGTTCGGATGAGTTTTAATAATTTTAGGACACAAAAGACTTGTCTAGTACATTCCCGCTCAGACACAAGGTCCATTTTCTCAAAACCTCATTCTTTGAGTTATAATTACCACTCTTTTCGATAAGAGGGCAGTTGGATAAGGTCCCGAGATAGAATCCGTGAAAAGCGTTGCGCCTGTCTCGGTGTGTAAAGCTCATTGGTGGAGGAGGAAAAGCAATTCCTCAAACTTTTATCACCAAGACTGAACGAGAAATGCCGTTAAATTGTGTTTTCTAGCCTTCCTCTTTTATCTGCTCCCACGGTTCGGAGGCGGGGATCACACTTTGCGCGGGTGTACTTTCCCGTAAGCGACAACATTGTCCCTTTATCCGCGCGGAAAACAGGAGGAAAGAAATAACAGAAAAATATTTGGTCTCTCCTCGGGGAGATAAAAAATGAGGGAAAGATTAGAGAACAAAGTTTTTCATCAATACTCTAAATGGTTTTCGCTCGATAAAAAATGACCCAGCTCGGATTTATATTCTGTTGGCGCAGACAACAACTGCGAAGAGACATACCTACCCTCCGACTCACGCACAGTCGGTGGAACTTGAAGACGTTTTAACCCCTAGTTTTGAGGTACGATTTTTCCGGGTAGTGAGAGAGAAAGCTACTTTGCAGGACCCTTGCAAAATCCGCTGATAAATAAAACACATTCAGGAAAAAAGTTCGGTCTTATCGTCGCTTTTCTGACGTATGTGCTCGATTTCTACGTGAGCCGTGTTTTACATGTAATTCATGCTTTCTGGGACTCATCTGGTAATCGAGGTACGCCTTCACTCTGGTGAGCCATGGTGAGTGACGACGTGGTGAGCCATGGCAAAGCGTTCCTCATTGACCGCATTATTTTCTCCTCTGGTCACCGTATACTTCGGTTCATATAACCATACGTTCAAATTCACCGCGCTCCCTCCTAATCCAAGAGAAAATCTTCTTGCAGCAAATTCAATAATATTTCTGCTTAGATCAAATCACTTTTGTTTCAATTTAGTTCTAGTTATCAACATGTTCAATTCGCTCTAGCTTCTTCGAAAGTTTCTAGAGAAACTCCATAACTTTTCTCTAAAATAAAATTCTGTTTAAAACTGTTTCTGTTTCTGTTTAAAGCTAATTCGAGCAGGGTATTCCTCCTTTGAGGAATTGCAGTTTGGTGCAAGACTAGTTACGAATAAAACACACAAATAATTCAAAAAGAAATAAACCTAGTTGAATTAAAAGTACTCTATTTTTTTTTTCGGACCCACAATCTCCTGAAAGACTTATTAATAAATGACCAGAAACCATATTAGAAATCAGGAACACAACTGCAGGCGCGTTTCAGGTTTAATTGGACCCATCATCAGTACAGAAAAGTCAGGGGGCTGCGTTGCACTGATGCGTACATACATAATTGCTGCTTTCACGGCGCTCTTTGGCGCACAGCGGCAGTTAGCTGACCTCCTCCAGAAGTCCATCTCCGTTGCTCTTAGTATGCCCTGTGTTCATTTCTTCAGCTGCCAAACTTCACATCCATATGTAAGAATACTACATAATACAACGTTGTAAATTCTCCTTGCGTTGAATCAATGATGAGTCAAATCAGACCCGAAACGCTTGAGTTGAATGAGTATTTTTCCTCTGCAAGGAGAATTCCAGTTTTATACTGAATTAACGCGCGTCGGCAAAATTACTCTTTGTCGAAACGACTCGTGCGTCCAACCGCAATTTATTCGTCACTGAAAATAAATATAATATCGAAGGAAATTCGGCAACATTCCAATGTCGATAGGTGTTTTTCCTCTCGAAGTCAGGGCTGCAGTGTTCTCTGGGCCGGGCCGCATCGGCGGAGGCCGCTAGGAAGTCGGGGGGGGGGGGGGGGCGGAATTTCCGGGAAGGCGTGGAGTCTGACTGCATTTCCGTTTCCTGTCGACAGGTGGAGCGAAGTTTCATCCGGACGTTTCCGGTGGACAACCGGGGGCTGGGGGCCGGGCTCAACGGGGGCATGTCGGGGGCGGTGAAGCTGGCGCTCCCCCTCACCGAGGCCCACGTCCCCAAGATCATGCTCACCTGCCTCTCCACCATCCCCGCCTACCTCGGGCCGGGCGCCAGCCGCCTCGACTACGCCGACTACCGGGCCAACAGCGTTTCCAGTAAGTCAATCTACATTTTTTTTTTTTTGTCGTAGCCTTTTAAGGTGATTCTATGTGATCTAGAGACGAGATCCGCCACCACGCTGCGCTACCTCGTGGTTTACGTTTTTATGATGCAATTATGGACCGATAGACAACGTACGAATTTAAGCATTTTGATACATGTTTCTTAACCAGAATTTCACGTAAAGCACGATTTGCGCAACGAAAATTACTGAAAGCAACTCCTAATGAAGACATTAACGTTTTTATTTCGCATTGGTTACGGGGACTTTGAAGTGCCCGCTGACAAGAAACTCAAAGCTCTACGCGAGTCAAATCGCGCACTGCAACGGTTTAAGCAAGCTTCTCAATCGAGCAATGTTCATTTTCCACCATTCCTAGTATGTTCCTTGTTCAAACCATAAGCAATTTGCTACGGCTGAGCCATTGCATCAAGATTGAAGTTGCCAGATCTGTACATAGCAGTGACTGTCATGATAACATTTAGCGCACGATGTGAATCACGTAGAGCAGTGAGTTTTCATGAGCGGGTGGTTTGAATTCACGCATCAAGAATCATTAAATATCTTCGAAAGGAGTTGGTTTCGGTAATTTTCGTTGTGCGCATCGGATTCTACGTGAAATTTTAGTTAAGAAACATGTATCAGAACGCTGAAATTCGTACCTTTGTCTAGTGGTCCATTATCGTAATGTACAAGATAATGCAAGAAACTAATCCACAACGTGAAGCAGCATTAATATTGAGTAGAACGACATCAGATTTATGTTTAGATTCATTGAAAATTTTAATTGAAACTACGATAACGGACGTCGTCCATTGACTCAATGTGTAAGAGAGAGTCATTATAGCGCTATAAAGACTCTCTCTTACACATTGAGTCAATGGACGACGTCCTTTATCGTAGTTTCAAATAAAAATGTTTAATGAATCTTATAACAAATCTGATGTCACTCTACTCAGTATCAACACTGGAAAAAAACACTTTGGATCTAGAGTCCAGACTCTTGAAAACAATAACAAGAAAAAACACTATTGATTCAATCGGATTTTTGCTTGAATCAAAACGAAATCCGCTTAGATTAAGAGGCTTGGTTCTTGATTTAAGCTGGATTCTGATTGAATCAAGAGTACTTTTTCTTGTCAATGTTTTTAAGAGTCTGGACTCTAGATCCAATGTGTTTTTTTTTTTTCAGTGAATGCTGCTGTACGTTATGGATCAGTCTCTTGCGTTAATTTGTACATAACGATAATTATTGCCTTCCAAAGACGTAAACCGCATATCAGCGCAACTTGGTGGCGGACCTCGTCCCTAAATCACATAAAATCACCTTAAAGCCATAGACCTGCGGGCTGATTATTGAAATGTATAGACGAGGCTACAGAGAAAGGAGACGAAAGGGATATGGAGGGAACCTATCGGGGTTTTAGGACATTTTGTCAACGATTTTTTGTCCGCGCACCTTTTTTGTCCAGTAGTTTACGCCCACACGTAAAATAAGCAACAGTGACTTGGTCCAAGCGTTATATTTTAGTCGGTATGTAAAATTTAAAGCACAAAAAGTAAAAGCACAAAATGTAAAATAAAAAATTAAAGTGCCTTGGAAATCATTAAATTTGACACGGAACCACCAATATTTAAAAAAACACATTATATTATTAATCTCCTTTGATAAATTGATACATATATTTTTTCCCCATCAATTTAAATGAGAATAGTCAATGCAGAGTGTGCAAACATTTCAAAATCATCAGTTAAAAATCGCTGACTATGTGAGTATAAATATTAGAGCCTAACAGAGCGGAGCGGCGTGCTGCCAGCGTGAGAGGCTCACTGGCGCCTACAAACCTAAGTGGATACTTCACGCATTGCACAATGCTTGAAGTATCCACTTAGGTTTGTAGGCGCCAATGCGCGTTTCGCGCTGACCGCCCGCCCTCCGTGCGGCGGCGCCTGAAGCAACTATTTCACAGCAGAGGTGTTGCACAGTATTATACGAAATTGAACGTATTAAGATTGACAGGCATCCTTTAAAAGTACAGCTCTTTCCTCGCAAAATAAATCAAGATACTTATCGTACAAGAGCCTTTAGCTGAGGCAAATCAAGAGGTTCATCGGGTTCAGGTATAACAAGGTGGGAATTTCTTGAAAGATAATTAAGTCCTGTTGCACCAAAGAGGTGTAGAGAGTTTTAGTGAATTTAGTCTAATGGAATTGACGCTCCCTCATTTTTACCAAAAATCTCAATTATATATATTATTTTCCGTCGGATCAAACAACCAAAAAAACAAAAACAAAACAAAAACAAGCAAACCCTCATTCTTCCAAGACATTATACGTTTTCATCCAAAAACGTTGTGAGCAATTGTCGTTTGTATTTACGTGTGGACCAATTAACTTTAGGTCTCAACTGGCACGTGAACCAAAACCTCTGTGCCGAAAAAACGCGTGGACGTAAATTACTGGAAAGAACAGGTGCGCGGACAAAAAATCGTTGACGGAATGTCCTATAACCTCCTATCGGTGGAAGCGGATGGTTGTAACGGACAAAAGAGGTATGTAATAGACTAACTAACGGCAACCCACGAGAGACCCTACAGTGAGTCCATCATTTTCTCCCTTAGTCCATAACGAACACCCATCTCAACCGATAGGATTGCTCCATACTCCCTGTGTTGTAATGTTTCCCTGTGATTAATGTATTTTAAATTCCATAAAAAACGAATATTTAATGAGACTCACTTGATGCACTGAAAGAGTCAAAATATTTTTCAACGTGTATTATACGGTTGATTTCTATCGCCTTCAGCTGCGTCCACAGCAATTGTTGTCACGAATATGTTGTGCGTGCTAATTTTAGCCCATTACATACTCGACTCTCCGAAGGCGTTTTATGTGCGCAAGCAGTGCAACCTTTTGGAGAACGAATAAAGTAGGGATTGAACCTCATTCAATCCACGTCTGTTGTTCTCCAACAGGGTGCTCTATTCCCGCACTTAAAACGCCTTCAGTGAGTCGAATATGCAATCAGCTGAAATCAGCACGTACAGCTTATTCGTAACAACAATTGCTGCAGGCGCAGCAGATGGCGAACTGTTCGGTTAAAAAAAAAGAGTATGATTTAAGTCTGCACGCAATTATAAGGGGCATGTATTCGATCGACATTAATGTAACGAAAAATAAAAACATAAAATCGATCGTTACCGATTTAATGGACAAATAAGTATAAAGCAGCGTCAAAATCAGTAAAAACTTGCATTTACCGTGAAAATTTCAATTCGGATCAGCTTAGATTTTGATTTTTGCGAATTTAAGTCTGCACGCCCCACAGATATACCCCCTGTAAACCATATTTGGGTACATTTTTGCCGTAAGACCACTGTGCGACAGAGCTACAAAAATGGGTCCGAAGAAGTAATAATTTGTGCAAGCGAGTCTCGTTAAAGTTTTGGTATTCTCACAAATCGTGTGCAGTCGTAGTGATAATCTTAATTTCAAATTTTGATTTTTACCTGATTTTCTAACGGAAAAGTTGGAAGGAGTCCCAAGAAATGAAAGCAATTTGGCAGGATATTTCACATAACGATTTGTGTTTTCTAGTTGCCGTGAAGCCCGCTGCCGAGCCGATCACGTCCAGTGCCGTCGCTGATGAGGGCGCCACCGTCGTGCCCGAGTTCTCGTCGCTGGTCCTCATTCCCGTCGCATGGAGGCTGTCTCTCCTACTTCAGTCGTACTCCTTGTAAATCAATTGTTTTCTACAAGACTGATCGACCGATGCTACAACCAAAAGGCTCCCAATCCTTGTAGACGAAACGTGGGAAAACTACACCGGATTAGTCCTCTCAATTGCCATATTTGCCGAAATTAGGAGAAGCGAATTTTCCGCGAGTGGATTCGGATCCTTTCCACGTGCTGCCAACCTCTGTTATTACGGAACGGACTTCTCTTCAATTACGGTGCAGTTTTCCATGTTGGCAGCAATGACGATCAAATTCAAAATTTTGGACTCATCTCCCGAAGAGGGTTCATAGATTAGACGGCTGCTGATTCTGAATACGGGCAATTAAACCTTAAAGTTTAGATTGCGGTAGTCTTTTCTGGTTTTCTTTGTAATCCTGTCAAATTGGATTCCAAAAAAATGAGCCGAATAACCCGAAAACTCCATTAGATTATTATCCTCTTAATAATTGTAATAATATCGAATTGGGTGGCTCGGTTTTAACTTTATCGGAATTCAAAAATGGGTGATAAGAACCCAATGTTCCTTATTGGTCCGATAAGAGGTCCGCATTTTCAAAATTGGAAAATTTGAATATCCAGGGCTTGTAGGATAGTCCCTCTCTGTAAGTCTCAAGCACAGTTTTTAACATTAGACAATTTTTCTAACGTAATAGTGCGGTATAGTTTGGTTTTATCCTCGAATTTAAACCAAGACTGATTGAACTAGTGCTCGTTTATGCTGTTGTGAATTTTTTTTTCTTATTTTCCAAAAAAGAAGCAAACAGGAAATAACTTGATGCATGACGTTTCTAAAATAAATAAAAAAATCGTTTTATCGGAGAAAATTTAGAATGGTAGTGTGGTTTGCATCATTCGCAGAATAAATTAACCCATAAAACTTTCCCGTCGACAATAAATATCCAAGGAGTAACGTTGGAGTTTCAAAATTTCCAAAATCACTCTGAATAGAAGGTTTCGTGAAAAGTTGGGAACCCGGAAGCTTCTGTTGACCGGGAGAGAAGAGAGGGAGAGAGGGAGGATCGCAAGTGAAAACATTTGCGACTCCGACGAGGAATGGTAAACACATAGGTCAAAGTAAATAGCTGATTTACTTGCATCGTAAGAGCTCACTTTTGTTTGTCTTTCCAAGTTCTTTCACGTTCTTTCCCAGCTTCCGGAGGGGATGAACCACCCCCTCCCCTTCTGCCCGTGCTAACGCCACCACTCTCTTACATCTTACACTCACACGCGAGTCTCCTAAACCATTTAAATTTAAGGTGAGGAGTACGCTTTACCCCCCAACGATGGGTTTAAAAATATAGTCAAAGAATCACCCTCTCGATTCGCTTTCCTACAAGGAGAGCTGAAAATCCAAGATCGGACACTGATGGCCTTTCTGTGATGTTATGGTGCAGTGGCGTGGCTTGCTTTGCGATATATAGATTGATCTGCCATTTAAACCTATGGAAAATAATGGATTGACAGGGTGTTCGCCACGAACACCTTAATAATCAGTTCTTTACCACAGCTTCAAATAAGGAAAGATCGATAATCGATTATTAAAGCCGCGGTACTGTCATGGTGAGAGCATGGCGTTTTTTGAATCGAAAATCGGTTAAAAATGCATACAGGAAATGAATCTCAGAATTCGAATTTTCACCGATTTTTGACATCAAAACGATGAAGATTTTGCAGGTGTCTATTTGATGAATTTCATTTTTAAGTGAAAACTATCTAGTGAAGCAATCCCGAGAATATTTTTGTTTCTAAACTAAACAATTATCTAAGATATGGCAAAATGATCTAATCTGCTGAAATTCATGTGCATAAATGGAAAATGCCGTGTGATGACGTCACAAGGTGGTACATTCTTTCCTTTTTCTCGTGTTTTTCTAAAATTTCCCATTTCAGAAAAAATTGTAAAAAGAACTGAAAAAGCGAACTGATCGTAAGCTCGTTGAGCACTCTCAAATTTTGTCGTGCAGATTCTCCATTAAGTGCTCGTTTAAGTAAACGTTGCAGCTGGTGACTCCGGTCTTGGATTTTAATCTCTATTTCTGATTGGCGGATTGCAGATACATTAATTTGTTTTGTAAACCTATTCCTTTGTATAATATTACATTGCAACACTCGTAACCCAGTTCTGACCTGCGCAAACTTTAAATTATAACACTAATTGGTCAATATCCCTCCCGAGAAATAACCCAGAAGAGGGAATTTTGAGCCGTCAGAATTAAGATGAATCATCTTGTCAGCACGCAATTCGTATCATTGACGCACATCATCATTTTGAGGGTGATGATGGAATTTTGCTTTTCATCTTCACGGCATCGACTCTCTAAAGAGATATCAAAAATCTATTGTTTCAATATCATGCAATATACCAGACCATACGGTACAATTGTACAATAAATTGTAGAATAGTACTTGTTTTATAAATGTTTATCTGTGTACTTGCATATTCTGAGTATGCAAAGCTTTTAGCCGAAGAGAATGTGTTTGTTTATTTTTCTCTGTCTTTTTTATTTCTGCATTTCGCTAACTATGTTCATAATTTTATGTATGTGATGATAATACTGTTTCAAGTCTTCCATTTAATTTTAATTATATTTTAATACAGGGTCTCAAAAACTTCGAACAAAATCAATCAGTAATATTTAATTATGTCATTCATGAATCAATGTTATGAGATAAAGCTATTTTGCTAAGTGAGATATTGATTTAATAGGTCTAAATAGGGACAGATTTTCGCTTAGCAGTGTGCCGCTGTCATTTAGAATAGAATTTAGTCATTTAAGACTTTATTTTTATTGTTCCTAACTTCCTTGCGTAGGCAGTAACCTAGTTTATACCATGCAAGGTCCGCCGCGATATGTAACGGTGGCGTGGTGTGTTTTTCGATACATCGATTGATCTGTCATTTAAACCTATGAGAGAGGATCGATAAACAGGGTGTTTACATCGAACACCTTAAAAATCGATTCTTTATCATAGCTTCAAGTGGGGAAATATCGATAATCGATCATTCACGCTTTGCCACTGATATGTAGGATGGTATTGAATGATCAACTGACCGGAGCGTTGAAGTTTGCACATGCAGCAATAAGTGCGTTTCAACTCAATTTGTCGATGATGAGAGCAGAGCTCTTCTGAGGGAAGACCCTTGAAATTTGTTCACGTAATTTATCAAATTTTATTACATTATTCACAGTCGCAATCCCACAGACGCGCAACTTACTACCAAAAAAGAGGGGAAACTTGTACTGGCATTCCTTTGAATCATTAGAACTTGAAAAGCCTGTCCATTGTTTCGACTCGACCATGAAATCGATGAGATTGAAATGCAATTCAATGAATGAAATTGTAATGAAAACGATTTTAGCGTATCGAAGTAGATAGAACTTATTGACTTTATTTTAAGTTTTTGGAATGTGATTTTTGGCACGAACATTCCTTAATGATACAGCAAGAGACTGGAATGTCAATTCTTCCAAAATAATGCATCTACTGATGAAAATTTGAAATATTTTGATTGTGCACAGAATGTTTTGCGCCAAAGCTAAAGGTCCACTTCAATTGAATCAGTAAGAGCGAAAACACACCAACTCGAAAAAATGAAAATAATCAAGACACACGGAAAAACTGCTCAGTAGGTGAAGAAGTTGGTCTAAAAAAAGGATGTCTGGTGCCGGAAGACGAGTACTTAAGGTCACCATAAAGGTCCAAGTTGGAACAGATGCGTTAACTTCGTTAACTTCAATGACCTTTACGAAACTGACTGTCTTCAACAAAAATTGAGCATTTTCGAGTCACCGAGTAAGTGTGTTTCCGCTCTCGCCGATTCAATTCTAATCGTTACAAAACAGCGTTCTCTGGAAAAAAAAACACATTGGATCTATAGTCCAGACTCTTGAAAACATTGACAAGAAAAAGGACTCTTGATTCAATGAGATTTAAGCTTAAATCCAAAGGAAATCCGCTCAAATTAAGAGGCTTGGTTCTTAATTTAAGCTTAAATCTAATTGAATCAAGAGTATTTTTTCGTGTCAATGTTTTTAAGAGTCTAGACTCTAGATCCAATGTGTTTTTTTTTTCCAGTGTTCGGGCAGATTTTATATTTTGCGCTGGGGCAGCCCGAAACATCAATGCACGAATGTTTGGCCGGTGAAACTGACCCATTGCACCGGCGCGGCGCGCCGCCCGACTTTGAGAAGAAAAGCATCTTACATCAAAAGAGCTTAGAAAATAATCTCTCGCTAACCCGCGGGGTTCGGCTGAAATGAAAGTTCACCGATACAGGTTAGCTTGGTATTTCGTAAAACTACATTTCCCCCTTTTTTGATCTAAAGAATACAGTAGCGAACGCCAATCGAAAAGCCCCGGCGATCCGCCCAAGTCGACTGTTATGATTGTGTTTACGCTCGGGTTGCTCGTCGATTCGCCTTCAGCCCGAAAACGCAGTCTCGTTGGACGGACTAAATTGTGATCAAAGGAGATTCAAGAAGTGAAATTGGGATATCCGATACTCTTCGGTTGAAGAACTTATTCAAACGTAATGGTAGCACACGTATCTATAATTTACAGAAGCAGAATACTGATAAAATGAGCCTGATGCAATGAAGATGTTGCATGTGTGAGGAATTTGCGATTTGACTGTTGATTCATGTGTAAAAGTTCGCGAGAAACACGATGGTGACACTGTTTTCTCTGAAATCAACTCCCGAGCTCAAAAAAGGCTCTCAAGTTGAGGCCGAAATGGAGGGGATATCCCACACTATCCGGACATCAAGACAAACTCTCCATGCAAAGATAGGGAGAAAATACATTAGTATGGTTGCCGTATTTTCAGTTTTGGAGTCCCCAAATAAAGTGGCAACCCTGCTAATTTATTTGCTCCGTATCTTTGCATGGATATTGATGTAGAGGCGGACTCTCATCAGGATAGCGTGGGATATACCCTCCATTTTAGCCTCAACTTGAGAGCTTTTTTTGAGCGTGGGAGTTAATTTCAGAGAAAACCAGTGCCACCATCGTGTTTCACGCGAACTTTTACATAAGAATCAGTAGTCAAATCGCAAATTCCTCACATATGTAACACCTCCATTCTGGCTCATTTTAGAAACAATGTTTGTGCCGTTTTATTTCACGTGCAGATAGGTGATTTCTGGATGAGTTGGAAACAGTAGTTCTTTTTGCAAAGTGCAGTCCATTCATCAGTCTGTCTTAATCTCTATCTGATAGTCTTAAGTATGATCAGCGTGGCCAAAGTGCCGGTCTTGATTTGCCTTTTTTCAAAGGTAGTTTCAGCTTTTGGAAGCTCCCTTTTCATTTCTGACACACACACAGTGGATCAGTTGCGCTGGTCACAAAATCGTGTTTTGATGCCTTGATTAGCTGATAATAATGAGATCTGCCCCAGCAGCAACTCTCTATGTTCAATATTAACATAGATATTGCGCTTTGAAAAATTCGGTTTATGACGTCACCCTCCGCAGTAGTGACACCCTTAGTTTCTTCCACCTTGCTTCCATCAATCAGCGAGACACAAATGTGCACTGATTACGGAACTTAAAACTCGGATGAAAGCAAGATGGAAGAAACCAAAGGTGTCATTGCCGCGGTGGATGACGTCATAAACCGAATTTTTCAAAGCGGGAAATCTCGGTAAACCTTGAAACTAGAAAGTTGCTGTTTGGATGGATCTTGTTATTTTAAGCTGATCGACAAGAAGAAAGCATCAAAACACGAGTTTGTGACCAGCGCAACTCATCCATTATACAATGATCGAACTTTCCTACCATTTGGTAGCAGAAGCGGATCTGGCAATTTGACAACCCCGGTTTCCTCCATTTGAACCTATGTTAAATAATAGATTTTTGTCGGAACACCTGGTTCCTCCAATAATCGATATGTCACAGGCAAATAGTAAAATCAGGCATTTTGTCAAATGCCTAGGCAAATGGCCAAATATTCTAACTTAGATTGAAATTTTGATTCTTCTCCTAATTTTAGACAAAATAATGAATTGCTCCTGTAAGGAAAAGTTATCAGTAAAAATTTGCATCACACCGAAGGATTTTAAACGATTTTTAGCTCCTGATCAGACACTTATCTTGACATTTTCAGCATGTTATAAAATACAGAATTTTTAGAATTCATCATTTAAAAATATGAGAGGCAATAAAAGAGGAAGAGATAAGAGGAGTTGGTAGATTTGATGAGTTATTTTTCCCAAAATATTGAAAACTTGTGACCTGTTCGCCAAAAATTCACAAAATTTTGTAGACCATCAAAATTTAACTATCTGCTTAGGCATTTTACTAAATGCCTGATTTCACTATTTGCCTGCGACAGATACATTTCCATAGGTTTAAATGGATAAAAACATTATTGCCAAATCGCTGGATCCGCCAATGTTTGGAAGGGTCCGAGGCACGAGTCTCTCTTCTCTAATTAAGTGCTAGTTTTTAGACAAAAGGTGTAAATAAAGTTGTTGACGTACTTGTAAATAATGTATCAATTTGGTGTATATGTATGGTTAAAGACATGTCTGTAAATACGCTGCTCAATGAGTGTTCTGGTGGCTAAAAAAAGTAATAATCTTGTTCTGATATGTAGTTCTAGCTGCGGCAAGAGAAAGGCTCAGACCCGAAGCGCAAATAAAGAGTTTCTTGTATAACACCGTTTTTCATTTTTATCCTTCCTTCCTGGTCTCACTTCGTTGTTTCTAGAGTCCCTTCATCCTGAGAGTCAAGACAATGTGAATCCATTTCTGATTGGTTCCCGTATTTTATGCCTTCACAGTGTCACAAACAGGAATAAAGATTACATTTTCACCGATTGCAAAGATTATAATCTGGAATGGACCAGAGAATTACGGGTTCGGCAAGGAACAAACGGAATGAGAGAAGGACGGAGAAAGGAAGTTTAGAATGGTCCGATCGAAGATTACAAAGAACGTTCAATTTCTGTAATCTTTATTCCCGTTTGTGACTCCATGAAGGGTGTTGTTTTGACTCTCAGTATAAAGGGACTCTAGTTGTTTCCTTCACGAAAGAACGTAACTATACTGGTAAAAAATTCCGGCGCGAAATTCACGCTTACTCAGTTCCTATTTTGACCACCTGTTACTCTGAGTGCACGGATCCGGCGTGAAATAAGCTCGGCGCGAATTTCGCGCTCTGGCCGGAGTGAAAATCTGACAGGCAAACGAAAAACGGAATTGCCGCAGCATGAATTTGAACCCGAATCGCGGCGGTGATAGACGAGTGTTCTACCACTTTGCCATTCGGCGCTCGTGCTAGGAGGTCCTGGTACTTGGACGCTACTTGGGTAATAATTAGACATTTGGACTACATTTTGCAATTAGGAACTATAAATTCCGACCCGTTTTAAAAACAACGTATGTGCCACTAGTTTACCTATGCACATAAGTGTTTTTTCAGATGAGCCAGGATTTATAGCTCCAAATTGCAAAATTCAGTCCATTTCGTCAACGACTTTTTGTCCACACACTCGTTCTTTCCAGTAGTTTACGTCAACGAGTTTTCTTGGCAGAGGAGTTTTGGTCCACATACCGATTGAAACCCAAAGTTAATTGATCTACCCGAAATACAAACAAAAATGTATCACAATGTTTGAAATAATGAAGATTTGCTTGTTTGTTTTCTTTATTTTTTTATTTCATTTTTTTTGTTTTTTTTTTTGTTCGGTCCGACAGAGAAAAATATATAATTGAGATTTTTGGTAATAATGAAGGAGCGTTAAATCCATTGGGGTTTTTTTTAAAAACTCTCTACACATCTTTGATGCAATGGGACTTAATTATTTTTCAAGAAAATTCCATCTTGTTATACCTGAACCGGATAAGTCTTTTGATTTGCCTCACCGGAAGGCTCTTAAATTGTTCCTGCGTACGATAACTCTGCGACGGCGCCGGCGCGTGGCATGACGCGGCGCTTCGAGCTACTATTTCCCCATGGAGATGTTGCACAGTATCATACCAGATTGAAGGCACCTCAGCGTATCATGATTGATGGCATTAAAAGCACGAAGTTTCCTCGTAAATTAAATCGAGAGACGACGATAAAAAGAGAGTGGTAGTCGAAAAACTTACTAAGTCCTAGTATCTGTATTCAAAAATTTACCGCAGAAAAGATTTTCCTTTCATTCAATATAGAAAATAATGCTTGTTTAAAGAAGATAAGATGTTTATAAAAAAAAAAAAAGTAATTTACATCAAGCAGAGACCCGCTTTTATTTAGCGATTTCATTCTTGATTCAAATTAAAATATTTTTACGGCATACTCAATATGTTGGTATTAATATATTAGGTTGAAGTGCCATAAAATCCGTTTAATTATGTGCAACACCTCTCATGTGAAATAGTAGCTTGAGGCGCCTTGGCACGGCGCGGCATGCTGCCAGCTGCAGCGCAGGACGCGCACTGGCGCCTACAAACCTAAGGGGATACTTCACGCATTGCGCCATGCGTGAAGTATCCCCTTAGGTTTGTAGGCGCGAATGTGGACTTTGCGCTGGCAGCACGCCGCTCCGCTCCGCTCTATATTAGGCTCTAATATTTAAACTCGCGGAGTCCGCGTTTTTCAACTGATGATTTTGACATGTTTGCACACTCTTCATGCATTATTCTCATTTATATTGATGAAAAAAAAGTATGTATTGAAGGAAAATATAATGTGTGTTTTGTGAATATGAAGGTGGTTCCGTATCAAATTGAATGATTTCCAAAGCACTTTAATTTTTCTTTTATATTTTGTGCTTTTACTGTGCTGCAGCGTGGTGTACGCGCAACCAGACGCTTAAAATTGGAAGTATTTACTTCTAAAATAGCGATGTAGGAAAGGGCTAAAACCATAGATTGCGTGTCTCTTGGTTTTTTTCCTCTTTTATTCATTTTTGTAAAGGTAGTTTCTTTCAATATAAATATGGCTCATTGACATTAATATCGATGCCGTCGCTTGGAAAATATTTTACAAATATTTGTCACGCTTTAAAAATTTAAATATCTTTAAAATGAAGTAATGTTTTCATAAAAAAAAGAAAAAAATATATTTACACATAAGGTATATTTCATGTAGAAAATTTTAAGGATAGAAATAAAACCAAATATTCACCAATGAAAATTTGAAAAGGCGAATCGAAAGAAGAAAGTAACATTTCATTTAAAAAATGAGGTACCATAACAACACCTCCTTCTCTCTCATTTTTCTCCGTTCGATAATGTAAATATAATTTTACATACGGGCTAAAATATGACGTTTGGACCACGTGACTGTTGCTTATTTTACGCGTGGACGTTAACTACTGAACAAAACAGGTGCGCAGACGAAAAATTGTTGACGGAATGTCCTGAAACTCGCTTATTGAGGTACCCCAACTAATTCGTCCGTTGTTGGTGATATTTACGCTCTGATCTATTCACTCAAAGTACGACGCGAAATTCGCGCTGGATTTTTTTTTACGCCGGCTATTCACTCAGAGTAAATCATTGCTTTTTAACAGTGTACATTTGAGGGGCTTGGAGGACGGCGCTTCAGTGCAGTTTTTGGAAAAATCGAGATTTTAATGATTTCAAGTAAAGCTAGTCTTAAGCTGTAGTAGTAGTCTTAAGTAAAGCTAGTCTGTGAAAAATTTGCTCCCGAATTCAAATTTTTAAACATCAAAAAGTCAGTTTGAACTTTCTTTCCACCATACTGATCCGTGTAATTTCGATATTTCGAACACGTATTTCTCGGAATAGCAAAAACTGCAATTATGCGTCTTGTCCCAACAGTCCCTCATTTCAACGTTGGCAAATCTCTCCTTGCAAATTGCATTTCTACCGGAAGATCCTTGGGCATCTCTATCTGAGACTTTAGCTAATTTTTCCTCTGATCCCGTGCAAAAATCAGAAATAAATGTGACAAAAATCCTGCCTTAATAGCGAAGAGAGCAGTAAGTGCAGCCTCGAGACATGATAATGCTCTCTTCGCCATCACGGCAGAATCGCACGATTACATTTCGTAAAAAATGTAATTGTTTGAGTCCATTCGGCAACCTTTGAATGGAGTTACGTTCGTTCATACAAGAGACGACGACTTCATTTAACTCAATGGTGCGATGGTGGCCATCGCAAGTCGGCAGTTTAAATGAATGTAAAACAATCGATGTCATTCTTTCATTTTTCATTTAATTATCTACAATACAAAACCTACCACGAAAAATCCACATGATTACATGCTGTAGATCGGGTAAATACGTTTTTTTTCTGTTCAAATAATTACAAAAATAATCTCATGTGCATGCATGCATATGTACAGCAGAAGCTAATAGTCGAAATTATACATGTTGAAACAGTTTTATGTCACGTTAGCTAATTAATGCTCATTCTTTATTGCAATTTAAATTCATTTTTTCTCATTTAGATTTGAAACTTGAGCAAGAAATGACGGTAGACGTTCTCGTTCCAATGCATAAACTCCTTGTGGAAGAAAACCAAACTAAGATATTAAGAAGGCATTTGGTATGATTTGATAAGAGGAGACCAATATTGCAATACCACCGTGTTAGAGAAGAGCAGCTGTAAGTGCATTTCTCTCTGAGCCATGATTGACACACGCTTTTATGTGTCTCGAGGTTCATCCAAACATGCACTCATTGCTCTCTTCGCTATCACGGCAGAATATTGATCAATGTCTGAGATCTTTTACAGCACGTATTCTCGTTTGTCATGTTGTTTTTTTCTCCCGCTGGTTCTAAAGGCAAAGACCTCACATTGTGTCGTTGCCTTCCGACCAAAGGATCACAAGCGCCCTGCAAAGTTTAAAAACTTCCTCCGCCTTTTTATTTTTTACAGAGAAATTGTGCAACGAAGCTGTCCGAAAATTTCACTTAATTTCCTTCGCACTGCCGATGAAATTTAGTGAAATTTTCAAACAGATTCAACCAACAATTTCTCTGTAAAAAAATAAAATGGCGGCGGAAATTTTTAAACGCAGCATGGCGCTTGTGCTACTTTGGCCGGAAGATGACGATGTGTTTATCCTAGCGTTAGGGTTATTAGATACTTCACAACTTTTTCCCCAAATGATGAACAACTTTCTAAGTAATTTATTCAGAAAATTAAACCTAGTTTGACCAATGTGTTTTGCAAACTAGATAGCCTGATATATATTCGTCATATCAAGTGCTTATGACGTCGCTCATCAATCATCATTTTGAGCAGACGAAAAGTCTTCTCGGCAGTTTGCATCTCTTTCAAACGAAGTCATTTTGTGAACTTATTCGATCATAAAGCACAGTTTGTTCCGAAGTCGGCGCAACTTATCGTAAGTACTTAAGTAGACAAACGAGTACTTAAATCAAGCCATAATTACCACGTAAATCAGTTGATTTCGCATGAAAACAAGTTAATTTTTCTCATGAGCTCTGCAAGCTGATCATTGAAATTGATAGACAAAGAAGACGAAGAGGTAATGGAGGGCTTCTACTGGTGGGAGATGGCGGTTGTATAATGCACAAAGGAGGTACAGAATAGACCGAGTAACGGCACCCAGGAGAGACCCTTCAGCTAGTCTATCATTTCCCCTTTGGCTGTAACAATCACCCATTTCAACCTAAAGGATCCTTCCAGCCTTCTTTAGCTCCTGTGTCTCTATAGCTTTGTCCATAGCTTGGTCTATAAATTTTAATAATCAGCCTTCTGAAATATGCATACAAATATACGCAAGTCAGGGTTCATAAAATGGACCTGTTTCCTTTGGAATACAAGTGATTCGTATAAGATAGCCAAAAACAAGTCTCAGACGCATTTTGAAACAAAATTTCGACAAACATTCTTTGATCGTAGTTGTTCCTATTTACATATGTGTAGGCGCTTGCGCTGAGACAAGAAAAAAAAATAGACTACAAAAATTACGCTCGTATCTTACGCAATGTAGTAAGCTCATGCTTTTTGCAAGCTTAGTTTCGTCAGGTAAATTAGGGTTTGTAAGGACGGCTGCAGCAGCAGAACATCTGGTAGAACACCCGTTGGGTGCATGACGGAACGACGATGATCTCCGTTTCGACGATTTTCGTGACCTCCTGTTCCGGGAAGTGGACCCGATACTGCGAGTTCGACTTCGTTAGTTGGTGGTTGCTGTTGCTCGACTTCAGACTGGGTTTTGCTGGCGGATCAAAAAAAGGATAGAAATTAAAATATTAAAACTCAAATTTATATCAAATCTACGATATTTTCTTAGAAAAAAAACTCAACAATTAATTTAATGATTAATTAATTTAATCCATCACATATTAATTAATTTAAATAAACCACGGATTGATTTCAATATCAGAACCAACTTTAGCAGAGAGGAACTGTGTGAAGAACCGCTAACCGACATTGCAACAGAGAGGAGGACCTTATAAGTAAAGTTTTTCTCTAGCCTTAAAAAGAAACTTGCATCGCGATTTTCAATTGAAAAATATTTGCTGACTCATAAAATACGCACTTGCGCCAAAGTTGCTGTTGCACCATTCACTTTTAAGGAGATCTGCCTATCCATTCAATCGCAGCTAATAAAACGCCTTCAAACCTGCTGGATGCAACATGGCTTTCACTCTTTATTTCAGTGTATCAGACATCAACACAGCTTCTTCCTGCTAAACTCATGTCAGTTTATTTAAGCACTCATTCTCTTCTTAGCGTGTTCGGCAAAAAACCACCCGACTGTTTCCTTACTGGTGTGCCAAAAAAGAAGTAAAGGCGTAAGATATCTGTACGTTGCCTGTTACACTCTTATCGACTACAAAGTCTCAGGTAAACTTTGGAATGTCTTCCCTTGGTTTTTCTTTCGAATTATTTCGAAAGAGAGAATTCAAAGAAAATCCAGGTTTTATCCATAGTATCTAAAGATATCAAATTAAAACATTAATTACTTTTTTGAATAATAACTATTTAATCGGAGGCAGGGCCGGATTAAGGGGGTGGCCACATGGGCCGCGGCCTATGGCGGCAAAATTAAGGGGTGGCAAATTTTGCATTTTTTTTATATGCCGGTACAAAAAAATCGGATTCAGAAAGAAATTACAAACAAGAAAAGGTGACAAAATCTCTCATTTCCTGATGAGAGTTCATTAATTTCTAATTTTGTCGTAATTCGGCGATACAAAAGACTGGGCACCTTTAATTAGTTGAGTTAAGAGAGAAAGCAAACACGTAATTTGGCCTGGAGCGGCGCGGCGCAAAGAGACATGATGACGAGGACTTGAGATGGGAGAAGCCCTCGACGCGGTGGTCGGCATGTAACACATATTAGCGCCTACGAGACTGCATGAATACTTCACGCATTGCGTCAAACACAGTACGGTCGGCGCGGCGCGGCGTGAAACGCACGGTGCCTACAAGACTACATGAATACTTCACGCATTGCGCCAAACACAGTGTGGTCAGCGCGGCACGGCGGCGGAAGTTAAAATTATTAAACCACGTTTATGTTTGTTCTTCCTTAATTTTTTAGTTCATTTCTTACAAATGGAAGGCCTTGTCCCCACAGAGATAGGTTTACGGAACTGAATTTTCGCGCGAAGTTCCGTGAACTTTTGCTAGTAGTGTCGACAGGGCTTACGCAAAAAATGTGTCCAACACGAGTGAACGCGTCTTATGCACCCTTCTCCCTCCGGCACGTTCAATTGATGGTTTTTATTGATATTTCAAAATGAATGAGAAGAGGGCGGCAAAATATAGGCGGCCCATGGGCGGAAAGTAGATAAATCCGGCCATGATCGGAGGGAATGTGGCAACATTCGAATGCTCATACTACGTTGTTCGTTAGCACGTTATTCTCTAAGGCATATGCCAAATATGTCTCCACAAGAGCCTCGGCTGTCAGATTTTCGACATTTTCTTAAATTTCCAACGAAATTGTAGGATCGGACGACCGAAACGTACACCTCGGTTGTTCCAGAGGTGCAAGATAACATTTTACGGAATGATTTTTTTTCTTTTTGTTTTTCTTGATTGAAAAGTTTCAAAATATCAACGCAAAGTTCATAGGGGGCGGGTATGCAACCTGTACCAAAAGATCGAGATTTTGACAAGAAACTACATACATGTAGATTTTTTTAAAAAAATTGAGTATTTACCCACGATATAGAAACTATAGATTGGTTGTGGCCTACGAAAAAACGTGACACACATGGAGCGGTCGTTCGATAGGCGGGCGGGGAGTGGAAATGACCAATTGCTATCTTCGTCATAACCTCAAATACATGGGATCTTACGGAAGTTTTTACAGTAAATGAATTAGCGTTGAAATTTTCATCGAAAACTCACTTCATGAATGGGAGTGCCATATCTGCACACAGATTTTCAAACAGTTGGTTCTAAATTTGATATAAGTCTGTACTCAGCAACAGTCCCATAAGAAGCCATAGAGACCGACTATCTTCGTCCTAACCTAATTGTTACTCCTGGTGTGTCAAGAATTTCAATGTTGGCGTAGCATAGGATCACCTCATCTTTAGTTTCTAGATAGCTGGTATTTACCAATTATGACCATCCACGGAAGGAAGAGGAGTATCTTATGAACATTTTGTCCATTTGGGGCTCCTGTGGACGTCGCATTTATAGGCGCTTATATGGACGTATATATTTATGCTGAAAGGAACCAGACACGGGTGAAAAAGGAGTGTGCTTGTTAGTTGAGAACCGTAAGAATGAATGGGAATTATAAAGCGCCAGTGACGTCAGCGGCAACAACCAGGCTCCGCGCAACCAGCTGGACGGTTGTGCGCTTTAACTCATGAGCCCTATTCAAAACTCTCTTGTCACATGCCCACGGCTCATGAGTTAGCATATTTTGGTTCTTTATGATTTAATGTAAATTCTCAATTTTTCATTCTCCCAAATGGAATTACGCTCACTTTTACATTTTTACCTATGCAGCTTTCATAAGCACACCCCATCTTCCCCACACGTCTCTAGTTCCTTTTAGCATAAATACGTCCGAATGCTTCGCGAATTTATTAAAAGTCTCAACAAAAATTTCATCGTCATTTCACAAAATGGCATGAAATTTCGCATCTGTGGTGCAGCGCGGATTCTTACGCGTGTTTTGGGCTTCCTCAACATTTTGAGTACCCGGGGCACGTACGCGCACGTCAACGCACGCGGCGGGATCGACGCTAGGGGGCAGCACCGCTGCCACAACGTCCGAAAAAACCCGACGAAAGAGTCAACGCGGAACGACATTCCGGAGCGAGGTGACATCGCCACAGATGTATCGATTAGGCATGGCTTGCACAGAACAAATGATGAGACCTCCGAACACTTTCGGTAATGTAATTGCTTGATTAGCTTGATTAGCTTTGCGAATGTTCCACCGCTTGCGAATAATGCTCTTGTGAATGATCTCGTGCAGTACGGAGAATTGAAACCGGTGTCTAAAAATGCGACCGTCAACAGGGAAGGGGGACCTACGGATGAAAACAGTGAAGTTTCTAGAAAAAACAAATTATTGGACTTCATTTTGCAACTCTCTCAGGCAATACAAGTGGCTCATCCGCAGAAACATCTATCTGCGGGCTGTTATTGAAATTGATAGACATAGCGATAGACATAAAAGATACAAGGAGAAAAAAATTTCGTGCAAGGGACCCGAAGTTGAGGTCATATGGATCCCTGAAGTTTTCTGATCACGCATCCGAAAACTTGAGGTCGAGCTGCCGAAGTTCGGGTCAGACATCGAGGCACTTCGGTATGTACCGGAGTACTTCAGATGTGTGACCTGAGCCCTTCGGTATACATCGAAGTACTTCAGATGTCTAACCCGAACTTCGGCAGCTGGACCTCAAATTTTACATATGTGATCCGAAAACTTCAGAGATCCACATGACCTTAACTTCGGGTCCCACGCACGAAGTTTTTTTCTCCGTGTATATGGAACATTCAGCAATTCTATTGGTTGAAATAGGTAGTGGCTATAGACTAAGGGGAAACTGGTGAACTAACTATACAGCGTTTCTCGTGGGTTGCTTTTTGTTAGTCTATCACTTATCTCCTTTGTCTATTGTAACCACCCGCTTCCACCAGTAGGATCGCTCAAATTATTTTCAGTTTGTCATCTTTGTCTATCGCCTTGTCTTTTATATTCAATAATCAGCTCGCTGCATGGGGAAATATATGGCGCGAAAGGGTGGTTTCACGATAACTGGAATAGTTTTGTCGCCGTAACAGACAACACATTTTTCCGTCATATTTTTAGGAGTAATGATAATCACTCGAATTTGTTTGCATTAATCTGCACAGGGTTACATGAATAACGCTTTTCAAAGATTCATCGCTTTACTTTTTAATTTTAATATATAAACCGCCGAAAATGTGTTGTCTTTACGCTGACGGCCTCTACTATTTACTCGATCCACTATGCGAGACCTGCCGTGCTAAGGAACAACGCCGTATGAACATTCGAGAGGTGCCAAATTCTCTCTCAGAAAATAGTTATTTTTGAAGAAAGTCATGCATCTTTTTCCTTTGAAATTTTCTGGAACTTCAGGTGAAATTACGAACAAAATTATCTGAAAAATCGGAGGGAAAATATTTACAAGTTTTCCCGAAAATTCACGATTTGCCATAGGAAATTTGGCAACGCCTGAAGGTTCATACGGTGTTTATCCTTAGCACGGCAGTGTAAGCCCAAAATCTAAATCCGGTCCTGAGCGGAAAAAGCGGGTACCTGGTAACTTCTGTGTTGCAGTCTCAGTCTCAGCTTCGCCACCAATGGACACCGAGGAGTTCTCCCTGGCCAAAGTGCAAGCCTCCCCGTTCGCGCCAGATTTTGTCTCGTCGACCACATCTCCGTCCTTTGGCGTGGCATCGGGTGAATCCAGATGATTTCCTTTCTCGTCGACAGTTGCTCCTTCATTCTCTGACATCTGCGAACCTCTGCATAGTATTGAGAAAACTCACGTGACCCCTTCACTTGACCCTACGTTGATCTCGAGTCACACGCACAATAATTCAATGTATAATTCGACTTGAACACGCGATAACTAAGCCGTCTTATCTCCTCAATGGCCATCTAAGTTATGTTTGGAGGAAACTGATATTTCACTTGGCTCTTAGTTTCCAATCCGGCGACTTGCTCAGGTTCTTTCATAGGTTAAAAACTTTTCGACTTCACTTCCTGGCTTTTTTTGGGATTTGTTCCTATCATCGAGTAGTTTATCGGATTTTCTATGAAAAGCTTTGTCACACAATAGTAAAACGATTTACAATGTTTAGCTTTTTTTAGTCCTTTCAATACTGATATTAGTTTAGTGAAATTTTCACGCGCCACAAATGTTGCATCCAGATTCAGTTTCGGTCCAATTTAAGACCAAATTTCGACGAAAAACCGACGGATATTTGACGGATTTAAGTGATTAAAGCCATGAAATTTCTTTCAACCGGACAGGGCCTCGATAAAAATTTGACGCATCACAATTGCAGCATCGTTTAGATTAAATTTTGTACCAAAATTAGACAAAATACAGCGGTAAAATTTCAAATCTTTCGAACTTGAACAAATGCTTCATACGAATTTTACGGGTCAACACCTCGGCCAAAATTTTGACAAAATTTCAAAGGGCAAAACAATGGTAACTGGACGTCATTCAACGGACGGGCCGGTTTTCGATGGGAATTCCACTCGTCACAGTATCGCAGTTGGCCGAAATTGTATGAAAATTGATGAAAATCTACATCGACAAAATCTCGTTTGGTCGGACGGGGGGTTCGATGAAAATTTTACGCGTCAACACTTCGGCCGAAATTTCGACCGAATTCCAAAGGGAAAAATAATGGCAATTTAACGTATAGAACTACCTCCGATGGGAATTTTAATCGTCACAATATTGGAGTCGGCCAAAACTGTATACAAATTGATGGAAATCTACATCGACAAAATCTCGTTTGGTCGGACAGGAGTTTCGATGAAAATTTTACGCGTCAACACTTCGGCCGAAATTTCGACCGAATTCCAAAGGAGAAAAATAATGGCAATTTGACGTATAGAACTACTTCCGATGGGAATTTTACTCGTCACGATATTGGAGTCGACCAAAACTGTATACAAATTGATGGAAATCTACATCGACAAACTCGTTTTTCAATGAAAATCTCACGCGTCACAACAAACGAGCGGGCCTCGGAAGCTCGAGCAAAGAACCATTGGCGCGCTCGGGTGACGAGGCGTCACGAGCTATGACTGATGGACAGGACCTCGCGGGGACCACCTTACAGGTGCTCGGCGTCGCCGTGGCCAGGCAGGCACAGGACGTCGCTGAAATCGGGTGACACCGACGGCGACGTCGAGTCCTATTGACTCTAATTGCGCTGCGCCCGGTGCCACGCGGAAGCGATCGATTGTTGGAACCTTGTGTTTAATTACGGCCGGGCCCGGGCGGCGGGCTCGCATCTCGAGACGAGCTCGCCGAGCCGGAGGACGGGCAGGAGGACGCCCGTCCAAAATTGATGAGTCCTTTCGGTGTCACGCCGGAGCCGGACCCTCTATCCTGAATTTTAATCGACTCGCATCGGGCGAGCGCCGTGCTTTGGATGTGACCGATGGGTTGTCGCAAACTTCAGCTAGATCATAAAGGAGACTTGGAGGACAAGACGCAGTTTTTGGGAAAATTAAGATATTCATGATTTCAAGTAAAGCGCATAGTCTGTGAAAAATTCGCTCCCAAATTCCAATTCCTGAGCATCAAAAAGTCAGTCTGAACTTTCTTTCCACCATAAGGATCCATGTACTTTCGATACTTCGAACACATATTTACCCTCTATTCTGAATTTCAATCGACTCGCATCGGGCGAGCGCCGTGGTTTGCATGTGACCAATGGGCTCTTGCAAACTTCAGCTAGATCATAAAGACGAGTTGGAGGACAAGACGCAGTTTTGGGGAAAATTGAGATATGAATCATATCAAGTAAAGCCAGTCTTATTGCATTGTCTGTGAAAAATTGGCTCCCAAATTCTAATTTTTAAGCATCAAAAAGTCAGTTTGAACTTCCTTTTCACCATGAGGATCTATGTAATTTTGATACTTCGAACACATATTTACCATCCATCCTGAATTTTAATCGACTCGCATCGGGCGAACGCTGTGGTTTGGATGTGGCCAATGGGCTCTTGCAAACTTCAGCTAGAGCAAAAAGAAGAGTTGGAGGACAAGACGCAGTTTTTGGAAATATTGAGATATTTATGATTTCAAGTGAAGCTAGTCTTAATGCATAGTCTGTGAAAAATTCGCTCCCAAATTCAAATTTTCTGGCATCAAAAAGTCAGTTTGAACTTCCTTTCCACCATGAGGATCCATGTAATTTTGATACTCCGAACATAAATTTACCCTCTATTCTGAATTTTAATTGACTCGCATCGGGAGAGCGCCGTGGTTTGGATGTAGCCAATCGGCTCTTGCAAACTTCAGCCAGAGCAAAAAGAAGAGTTGAAGGGCTTGGAGGACAAGGCGCAGTTTTTGGAAACATTGAGATATTAATGAGTTCAAGTGAAGCCAGTTTTAATGCACAGTCTGTGAAATATTCGCTCCCAAATTCCAATTTTTAGGCATCAAAAAGTCAGTTTGAACTTTCGTTCCACCATAAGGATCCATGTAACTTCGATATTTCGAACACATATTTCTCGAAATAGCAAAAACTGCACTTTTGCGCCTTGTCCTCCAAAGCCTTTCAGGTGATTCTCACTTCAATCGGCTCAAAAATCACAATGAGCGCATCGGAAAAGTCTGAAACACACTCCAAACTTTACGATCTGCCTAAGAAATATGCATATTTTAAAGTTTCCCGCTTCAAAAACGATACTACGGCACAGGTAAATATTTCGTAAGAAGAGTCGTTCCGTCCAACTCTTCCGCACTAGGATGTCCACCGAAAAAAAAAAGGAAACTTTAGCAATGTCAAGATGCAATTTTATCTGCTGTGGCGGGTAATCCAGCATTTCATAAGTTCTCGCACACTTTTTTTACACCCAGAATGTTCAATCAACTTTACCTTTTTTTCCAGTGCACGTGATATTCAATGTGGCCGACGCTTCTGCGCGCAAATCGCGAGGGAGCACCATGGTCTTTACTAACGCAAGGAAAATGTAAATATAAACACTTTGGTTGATAAAACCGACACACCGGTTGATAAAATTCCATCTCGTCACGTGTGTTTTGGCGGGTTAGCGTCGGGTATGTTGAATGCTGCGTAGCATCCTAGAGCAAAAAGCACAACATGAAAACTGCGTTGTCACCAACTTGAAATAAAACAATTAATTGATTATTATATATTTATCGAATTAATTATTTAAGACAAATTTTGGAATATCTTCACCTCTCGAACTTCAGTGTAACTTCATATTGGGACGTCAAACAATAGCTCGATGAAAATTTCCAAGCATTGCACAACAGATCAAAGCGCCTCAACCCACGATTGCCTACCCCCTGAATTGAAGGCGAAATGCGAAGCTTCATACGGTGCGTTAGTTAACCAAACTACAACAATGAAGCTAGAAACTAATCTCCATTACAGTGTTTTAATATTTTTGCTTCTCCTCTATTTTTTTCAAAGAATACCACTGGACAGAGGAGCTCTAGCCGAACCAAGTTCAAGAGGAAGGAAGTAAGCCACATCAAACTTGAACCGTAAAAAGAGGTTTTTAAAGTTCGACGCCTCCATAAGACTCTGTGTGAAAGGCAACATCATAGGCGAATCCGGGGGGGGGACGTACGCCCCCCCTCCCGTTCGCCCCTAAAGTAAGGAAGAAGAAAAATGGGGGAAAGAGAGAAAGAAGGACCGTGGGAAAGAAGATGAAGGAACGCTTGTATTTGGACCGCGTTTTACAGAAAGGAACCAAGCCACATCAGCTTTTGCCAAATTTAACTGGGCAATTTAATTTTTTACGAGGAAACGTTTTGTGCGGATTCCTTTGAAAATTTTAAGGCATTCGCTTCGCACTAGGGAGAAAATTCCCTGAAATTTGCATGAAAATCTGCACAACCGTTTCCATGTAAAACATTAAATTGCCCGGTTGAATGTAGCAATAGCTGATGTGGCTTGGTTCCTTTCTCTTTAACGCGGTCCATTTGGTAGGCATTCATGATGAAATTGACTCAACTGCATGTTTGATGCTTTTATATTCGAACATTTTCGGGGGGGGGGGGGGGGNGGGGGGAGCTACTCGGACCCCCTTTACGCCCGCCTCCCCGTTCAAAGTTTCTGGATCCGTCTATGGGCAAAATCAAAGCTTACTTTCACATCCGATGTTTTATCTCGACTTTTAATTTTTGACAAATGTGGGGCTGGCTAAGCTTGAAATTAGCTTTTTTCTCCGGAAATGTCACTTGCCTCCTTTCCATTTAATGAATCATTGGGGAGAGTGTCATGTGTGATGACTTTCAAAGCACACTGTAAGCGTGCATTTGAGAGGTTTCGCGGATGGAAATCAATATATAGTTTTGTCCGAGCCTCCTCTCACTTCTCTTCATTCGTGGCGGGAAAACTCATCTCCTCGCTGAAACTTGATCTCACCCATCGAGTGACTTCACTTCGAGTTGCCCTTGTACCTATTTCTTTTCGGAAACATTGACCGAGTCACGCGTGTTTACAAGGAGACGCTCGTGTTATTTTCATCATTGTTTAAACAAATTGAACACCGAGTTTTTGACGTAAATGATGGGTGTCACAGGTGCAGGAGTTACAGGGAGTTACAATGAAAATAAACTTGGTGCCCTCCACCAACAGGCTGCTGCTGATTTTCAATCAAATGCCACAAATTCGTCATTTTCCTCATGAAAGAATGTAACTGCCTTTGAATGTAATACATTCAAGTGAATATTTGAATTATTGGGCATTTAAAGTATGATATCGACTGTTACAAAGATGTCAAAAATTTCACTATTTATTTTTATGTCACAGGCAAATAATTAAATCAGGCATTTTGTCAAATGCCTAGGCTAACAGTCAAAACAGTACTCTTACTCAAATGGAAATTCCGGTGATTTTCCTAACTATAGACAAAATAATTCATCGTTTCTGTACGAAAGAACTCTCTGTAAAAATTTAGTACTTTAACCGAGTTTTAGCTCCTGAACGAAAATTTATTTTGAAATTTTCGGCCTGACATAAAATACAATTTTTTTTTAAAATTTTAACATTTGAACATACGAGAATCATTTGGAAAAGAAGAAGAAGAAGAAACGAGTAGACTTCGTAAATTTGATGAGTGATTTTCCCCCAAATATTGGGAATTCGTGAGCTTTTCACCATAAATTTACAAAATGTCGCAAACTGTCAAAATTTGATTATCTACCAAGGCATTTGATACACTGAAAAAAAAAGTTCGGTAAATCCGAACTAGTTAGGATCATATGGAACCACGATTTTGTTCGGTACACACGACCAAATTATCCGGTCTGCTCAACCGAACTGTTCGGTCCACTGAACCGAACTGTAAGAATTTATCATGGTTTGGTTGCACAAACCGAACAATTTGGTTGTGTGTACCGAACAATACCTGGTTCCATATGATCCTAACTAGTTCGGATTTACTGAACTTTTTTTTTCAGTGTAAAATGCCTGATTTGACTGGAGTCCTGCGACATTTATATAATTGTGTTCATTTGCGCACGGTTATTTTGGAAATATTTCATGTTTCGGAGCGCGGGATTTAGTTTTTGGGGCCGAACTCAGCGCTCGATCGCTCGCGGACTTGCATAAGTTGACAGTCGCGTCGAACTTGGTATACTGACTGACAGTCTGAGGTCAGCGGCTAATAAGCTGGATTGGATAATGACTGGGACCCGGACGGTATCCTATTTTGCTCGCATCCCATTCGCCCGATGCGTCATGACTTCTGCTCACTCACTCAGCACTTGCCACCTAGCACCCACCCCAATCATCCCTCATAAAAGTGAACATCCACGCTGAAAACACCGAATCACGTATTTCGCTTTTCCACGTCGCTTTCCCGTTGAATTTTAATTTTTTAAACCGGACCTGATCATTGTTCGGATAAAGTTAAGCAAAAAAGGCACTCTACGTTCTCCATTACGGCGTGTGATTTAATTCATGCGGACTGTATTTTTCAATTAGGAACTACAATTCGTTGCCCCTCAGACGCACAATGGATCGAGGCAATAGGTGAGGTCGGACAAAATTTGGAAACTTCAAACGCTTATATAACTCCGTTTGTACGAAACTTTGAGGTTCTGAAAGTGGTTCTATTGGTTTCCTCGGGAAATTTTCTTCTCGAGGCATCCCTTAAAATTTAAAATGTGATGAAATGAATATTAAAATTTGCAGTTTTAGTAAAAAATTTCATGTCCGGCCTCTCTAATTGACTCGACCCACCGTGTGACGTAAGGTCGAATCTCTATTTTCATGTGATTCGTATTTGGACGTATTCATGCTAAAAGGAACTATGTTACACGTATTCGCTATGCACATAGTTCCTTTTAGCATAAATATGTTCATTTTACGTATAAATCCATGCTTTTCCGGGCTCATGTGGAATTAGAGATGCGCTCTTACGTCAGAGGACCGACGAATTGAGCAGTGGCGTGGCGTGCTTTGAGATCTATCGATATTTTTTCCGTTTGAAGCTGTGATTAATAATCGATTATTAAGGTGTTCGATGCAAAAACCCTGTTTATCCATACTTTTCTGTAGGTTTAAATGGCAGATCAATCGATATATCGCAAAGCACGCCACGCCATTGGAATTGAGGCATTGGTTATTGCAGAAAGGGAATACTTCGGTTGCGGTGTTTCGGTATGTCCACTGCTATTTTATATTTTAGAGAAGAAACTTTACGGTAAACTTTCTGAAATTTTCGTTTACAGCTAAGCAGTATAACATCTCGAAGAAAATTCAGTAAAAGTTTTAACGGATTCCATACATTTGCTTTCATGATAATGGATGATCCGTTAGAAAAGAGTGTGAGACACCGCAACCAAGAAATGCCCTTTTAGCACCCAGCGCTTCAATTTAGAGCTCATCATGAAACAACGTACGTGCCATTAGTTCTCCTTTGCAGATAGGTGTTTTCATCTATGGGCCAGAAACTATTGTAAAATGCAGTCAATTTTTGTCCGGAGTCCGTAGTCCAATTTTGAGTCGGTGTAGACAAAGTTTCCCTTTTTTGTGAACGTCCACTGCTGTGAAATTTTCTGCTACGTTAAGATGTATCTGCAGCGCTGCGTAAAAAAATGTTTTGCCAGGGAGTGGAGCAGATAAATGCACCCGAAAAAATTTCAGAATTTTAACCTGACTCAATTAGGGTTGGTTTGAAAGCTTGTCGCAAGTCTTGTGGATGTTACCAGTGGCGTGGCGTGAATAATCGATTATCGATATCTCGCTATTTGAAGCTATGGTAAAGAATCGATTACTAAGGTGTTCGCTGCAAACACCCTGATAATCGATCTTTTTTCATAGGTTTAAATGGCATAACAATCGATATATCGCAATTCACGCTACGCCACTGGATGTTATGTGCGGTATCTTGCCATGTTACACTTGCTAAGGCTCCGGAATTTCTCATTTTCCTCATAACATTTTATCCTTTGCCTTCGTAATTTACATAAACTGAATGCTGCGACGGCTAAGCTTGTAATCGCCTGTCCATTTGCTCGGAAGGTGGTAATCTCTGTACTACATGTTACGGCAGAGTTGGTATTCTTTCAATCGATTAGTCGCACATGTCAAGGAATCGTCATCTGTTAAATGCAGTGACGTGGCATGCTTTTCGGTCTATCGATATATCCCCATTTGAAGCTGTGGTAAATAATCGATTATGAAGGTGTTCGCTGCGAACACCCTGTAAATCGATATTTTTCCATAAGTTTAAATGGCAGATCCATCGATATATCGCTAGGCACGCCACACAACTGATAAATATAGGCACTGCTTCCAAACGGCCTTACCTGGGCCATTACGCGATTAAACCCCATGCTTACCTAAAGACATTTCCATAGTTCTTAGACGGACTTTTTTTGACAGTGAAAAACCTGGATCAACCTGGAAGGAAACAAAGGGGACGCGGGCCACCCCCTCCCCCTCCCCAATAAAGGGTGACGTCAAGGGATTTTAAATTAAATAAGAGCATAGATAAAAAAAAAGAGGCGTTTGCATTTCGGGCATATTGATGGCGTAGATAGGTGCGGACGATTTTTATCATCAATTTTTGAAAACAGTGTAGTCTATGGAAAAAATTCATACTATATAGAGTGTTTGAAACTGTATCATGAGTTGATTTGAGCAAAAAAAAATCGGATGTTATAGTCCATATTTCATACTTCGAACTCCGGATTTTGCTGGATTAGGATACGTACCGACTTACGCCACGGGGCAAACAATCCTCAAGATGCAAACACCTCCTTTTTTTCTCTATGAAATGAGAGAGTGCCAACTCCCTGAGGAGCTGCGGAAGGACAGGGTACAGTGACGGTCAGGCGTCGCAGAGCGCTGGGGAGCGCTGAAGAAGTGACATTTATGTTCGCGAAAAACCTGGATGATTTTCGAATATTTAAATAAGGCAGCAAATTCATCTTCTGATCACAAGCAACAATAAGCAGAATTTTTAAAAGAAAGCTCGGCAGTCATACTTTTTAATGCAATTTGAATTTTTTCAGTTAATTGTACAATCTTGGAGGGCAGTTATGTGTATTTTTTTAAACGACGATTGTCTTACTCTTTAGAATATACCCATGGGAGTAACGAATAACGCCTAAGGCGTGAAGAACGTGAGGGGGTTTGACCGCGAAGCGGTCCGGAGGACTCCTAAGTAGATAAAAAATTATGAAAGTTCTAATATGCCCATCGTATTCCACGATAAACTTCAAAAAAAAGGACGTACATTGCGCGATGCTTAATTTCGTAATCTGGTCGGCGGTGAGTGGCGATTTTGCATGTTGGCAACACCGTTTTTCTTCCATTTGAATCCATTAAAATTATCAATTTTAGATGAAGCAAGCTGCCTCGCCAAGAATCGATTATTTCACATACGTTAAATCCATTAAAAATATCAATTCTCGATGAAGCAACACCGATAAAAAAGGGAAGCTGATTTAACATTCTGGACGTGAAAAAAAGTATGTGAGAACTTACAAAACGCTGCATTACCCGCTGCAGCGGTTACTTTATAGATACCAAGATGTAAAACCAACTGCTGTGGCTGGTAATCCAGCATTTTATAAGTTCTCGCACACTTTTTTTTACATCCAGAATGTTCAATCAGCTTCACTTCCTTTTTGGTGAAGCTGCCTCACCAAGAATCGATCGTTTTACATACGTTATGGCCTGGATACACGCTCAAATTTCCATCAATTTCCGATCAAATGGTGACTGGTGCGCACCATCTACCATCAAATTTTTATGCAGGTCGCAAAAATTTGATGGTAATTTTTGTCATCATTCACTGAGAAAAAAAAACACATTGGATCTAGAGCCCAGACTTTTGAAAACATTGACAAGAAAAAGGACTCTTGATTCAATCAGATTTAAGCTTAAATCAAAAGGAAATCCGCTGAAATTAAGAGGCTTGGTTCTTGATTTAAGCTTAAATCTGATCGAATCAAAAGTATTTTTTCTTGTTAATGTTTTTAAGAGTCTGGACTCTAGATCCAATGTGTTTTTTTTCAGTGTTTTGATCGGAAATTGACGGAAATTTGAGCGTGTATCCATCCCTTTAAAATCGAGAAAAAGCAGTGTTGCCTAATTTCAAGAATCGCCATTGCTGTCCAGTGGTCCATTGGCCGGTGAAAATATGTCAGGAAGGGACTCGTCACACAATCCCTGTGACATGCGCGCCGACGACGCGACGTAGACGTGGACGTGGGCCTGTTGGATACATGGACGTACAATTTGTAGCGCTTCGGCCACGTTGTGTCGACGTCGCGCGTCGCGTCTAAGTCATTCATTGAGCCTTGCGCGACCTTGTCGACCCTTTTAATCCCGTAGCCGAGAACGAGTTCGCAGTTTCAGACTCCTCACATACTCCCTACGGTTGAGACTGTCGTTTATATCCATGGCCTAGGTGCGGAACCTCGTATCTCCGTCAAACTTCCCGTCATACTTGAATTTGTTTAAATCGAGAGATAAGAAAATCCCGGATTTCTCTGTGAAACTCAGGGAAAATCGTCGATGATACGTTTGAAGACCCGCACAAGACAAATGATCAGTAAAATTTTTGAAAAACTCACTTGCACGTAAAATATTAATTTGCGGACGCGTTTCGTCGGCCCGCAACTTTCAAGATTTCTACACACCATGGTCAATCAGGATTCGGTTCTCATATCGATAACAGAAATTTGAAACCACGTATTTCCGTTCGCGACGTTGCAGACTTCCAGTCCTACTGGATTTTTTCTTGGGATTATATTAGTCAACGTAATTTCTATACAAAACTGCTTTGATTTTTTTCTCTATTCTCAGAATATTCTGTTTAAAGTTCGTAAAAAAAATAGGCGCGAAAATGTTAATACACCACAAAAGAGATGCGTGGTTTTGAAATTTGGGCATCCATATGCACCGTGGATCACGTACACACATGAATTGACACCGATTCTATCGACAAATTGTCAAAAAACAGTATCGATTCGATGGACATAAATCGATCGGAAAACAAAAACGTGAACCGATCGACAAACCCCGTGAGTCGATCTCGATCGAAAAACCCGTGAATCGATCGACAAACCAGTTAATCGATCTACAAACCTGTGAATCGATCGGCAAACCAGTGAATCGATCGACAGACCCCGTAAGTCGATCGAAAAACCCGAGAACCAATCGAGTCACTTCGATCGGTTCACGTTTTATCTTTTCGATCGATTCACATCAATCGAATCCATACCCTCCCTCCAGGAGAACGGCATGAGCACATCGAGCCTTGGGACACCCTGTATGCATGGTGTCTTTCAGCATAAATACGTCCAAATCTCACTGGTGGTTGTCGCACATTTCCTTCGCGATGCAAAGGCCAAACAGGATACGACCACTTACTTTGGAACGGTCCCGTCAGCGCTGCTAATTCGCCCCGTCCCTCAGTAGGGATTAACGCTTGGGTCCGAGTAAGCGTGCTATGCAGTGCAGTTAATCAGATTATTAATCCCTTCATTAAGCCTCTTGAGTAGCTCCCGTTGCCGCGCGGGGTACCTTGTGCTCGGTGCTGATTGGAACGAGTTTTTCGGTTTCGTTCTTCATTGGTGCGTGTATTCATCAAAATTATTTCAATTCAAAGGAAATCATACACCTGTGATTTCCTCAGATTTGGATGTTGATTTGCTCAAGAGAGGAAAGTTTGGTGGAATCAATCAGATAGTTGATTGAATATTTGACTTTCGGACGTGCGTTTTTAAAGAAAATCTCTGAATACACCGGTGTGTTCCTTTGAGCCTTTCATCCCACGATGTAAAATGGTGTGTTACTGAAGAGTAGGGACACACCTGTGTTTGTTAGCGCGGTTTCTTGTTCCATTTGGACCGCGTTTATCATAAAGAAACCAAGCCACGCCAGCTATACTGCCAAATTCAACCGGACAATTTAATTTTTTTACAAGAGAACGCTTGTGCGGATTCCTTTGAGTATTTTGAGGAAGAAATACACTGAAAAATTGCGCAAAAACCGCATAACCGTTATCGTGTAAAAAAAATGAATTACTCAATTTAATTTGGCGATAGCCGATGTGGCCTTGGTTCCTTTTTGCTTATCGCGGTCCATTTAGACTTTTTAGCAACAACTCATGGATTTCGCTAAGAACGGTGTGTTTTTAAAATACACCATTTTCGTCGCGTAACAGTGGGTTCAAATGAACACAAGGTAGAGCACAATTTTTTTTTTTTTTTTTTTTTTTTTTAAAGAGGGTGCTTAGCAAGGTTAAGCTTCACTATGACTCGTATTTGATGCAAAATGGCACAGCTTCCTCTGTTTAATTGTTGCTTGAATACTCTAAAAAATGTCCTAGATTTCGATTTGACGATAGGATAAAACTACAATCAGCACAAATACCATCACCGACCAAACAACTTTATTAATTTTTGTACCCTCTTGAACTGTGTTGGACTACAGTGAAAAGTAACTGCAAGTCCAATCGTATTAAGAATTATGTGTTGGGTGTCACCAGAACATATAGAATTTATTGCAAATTTTTGAATAAAACATTCCAAAATATGTCGATAGCCTGAAGGAAAAGTACAAAAATTAAAATTTTTTCGCTACCATTTGAGGTTGGTTATCTGTGAGTTGCACATTTATCGCTAAATTGATGACTTTAAAGTCATTATTCAGCTGCAAAAATGGGTATACCTACTTAAGATTCCATCAAACTTGTTTCCTGTAAATTTTGTGCGTGCGTGTCCGAAAACATATTTTCTGAATAGTCGCTCTAAAATGTTTTTTATTCACGTCTTCACTCTTTAATTTTCCCCCTATTTTCAGTGAAATAAGTAAAATTGACGTCCTATTATTTGAATTCCAAGGAGGATTCCTTCTTGCGCGCAAGCGCATTTTGGCAGAACGCAAGATCTAACGAAAGGTAAGAATCAGTTTTTAATCATGTATTGTATCACCTGATCAACTTAATACATAAACTTAAAATACTGTCAGTTTTAAATTTGTGTTACCTGATAAAAATATCGTCATTAGATTTTTACATGAATTCTGTTAATTGCAATCTTAAGTTCACTTGCTTCTTATCCTCATTGAGATCATTTGGCACCTTCAATAATTTACCTTGACATCTTAACATATTGATCTGATTCAGGAGCATTAAAGAAATTGGGCTTATTTAGATTAAAAGACTCTTTTTCCATTTAATTTGGGCCATGAGACCGATAAGAATTAATGTATAACCGCGCATGTCAGAATGGAGATAGTCCCTTTTGATCAAAATACGTTTAATTGTAATCGCCCACCCACCTAACTACATCGAAATAATACTTAATACCAGTGGCTTTCAAACTCTTCGGACAACGATACCCTTCAGAGGCCCACGGCCGACTACGTGATATCTCACGATCAGTTAGTCTACATCGTCATGCATAGTAGCGCCTGGATGCAACAATTCCTACAGCATGGTTGTCCGCGTTGCGTGTATGAAAAATTGGAGGCGTTCTCGCTTATTCCTTATTACTTAAGATTAGATTTTTGAAGATTTTGAAACACTGTAATAGTGATACGTGGTTTCAAACTTTAGCCATGTATTTGGAAAATGCGAGTATCGTCAATCGAGGAGCTTTTTGCAATAAGTATGTAACTTTGGCCCATAACTACTTATATCTGGCATGCGGCTCCAGTGAGAGCAATCTATAATTGAGGGGCTTGGAGGAAAAGGCGCATAAGTGCAGTTTTTGAACAAATTTAGATATTCGTGTACTCAACTAAAACTAGTTTGAAAGGATATTCTGCGAAAAATTAACGACTAAAATCCAACTCTGAAGCATGAAAAAGTGAGTTTTAACTTCCTTTCTGTCATAAGGCTCCATGTAATTTTGAAAATTTAAATACGTATTTCCTTGAAATAGCAAAAACTGCACTCATAGGCCTTGTCCTCCAAGCCGCTCAATTGAAGTATGAGTAAAATTTTGAAGAACTGGAAGACTCTTAAAGCAGGGTCAGAAATATTTCGGGTCCAAATTTAACACGCGGTCTCTGTCAGTTTGCTGTTAGCGCATGACGTCAGTCTACCGGTGCGGCGCTGCGTCGGCCTGACATGAGCTCGACTTGGCGCTACGGGAGTATCTTTGTGTTGGGCTGTTGAGCCCATCCCTGCCGTGCTAAGGAAGAACGCCGTATGAGCCTTCAGATGTTGCCAAATTTCCTTCGATGAAAACAGAATTTACAGAGAAAATTGTGTACATTTTCCCCCAAAAGTTTTAGACAAAGTTGAACGCAATTCAATCTGAAATATCTGACAATTTCAAGGGAGAATATGCTTAAATTGCGTCAAAAATACATATTTTATCAAGGAAAACTTGGCAACTCTCGAATGTCTATACGGCGTTTTTCCTTAGCGCGGCAGATCAGCTCGAGGGCCCAACTTCGCACGGAACATGTTCAATTGAAAATTCTCACTTGGGCGTATTCCTGCCGAACGGAACTATGTGCATTAAGACATGAGCCTTGAGACCCGTAAGCATATGTGCATAACAGGGCTCACGTCATAATGCACATGGTTCCGTTTGATAGAAATACGTCCACTTAATCTTACTTTGCCGTACGCTGCAGTCTTGCCAATCAAAATGGTACCAATCACATGTGTTCGATGTTAAATTTTCTCAAAGTTTGACAGATCTGATCAAAATCATCTGGTCGATTCCATCATAACAGCGAATTTCAACGTTCTGGGACCGTCTGTTAATGACGTCAGGTACTGAAAGGGGGACCTGAGGGAGGGGTATAGGATTGTCTGACAAACCACTTCGAGGAAGAATAGAAAGGGAAGGAAGGTGCCGCAAAATCATTGTCTGACGTCATTTGTAGACGGTCACCTATTTGCAAAAATTGAGAGTTGTGAGAGAGTGACCTAGTAAGTGCGCGGAAAGTGATGCTATGTTCGGCAAACAAGCGGAAAATCACCTTATCTCATGAAAGATTAGTAAGTCCTCGGGGCCAGGTTAAGGGGGTGGCCACATGGGCCGCGACCCATGGCGACGAATTTGGCAATTTTTTAAATGTAGCTATAAAGAAAAATCGGATTCAGAAAAAAATTACAAACGAGAAAAGGTGATAAAATCTCTCATTTCCTTCGAGTATATCTCTAATTTTGTTGTCTTTCTGTGATAGAACAGACAGAACCTTTAATTAGTCGAGTTAAGACTTAAGAGGGAAACCGAACACGGAATTTGGCCTGGAACGGCGCGGCGCAGAGAGCAATGATGACGAGAACTTAAGATGAAAAGAAGAAACCCTCGGTGCGGCGGTAGTCGGCATGTAACACGTATTAGCGCCTACAAGACCGCCTGAATACTTCACGCATTGCGTCAAAGACAGTGCGGTCGCTGTGGTCAGCAGCAGGCGGCGTGAAACGCATAGCGCCAACAAGACTGCATGAATACTTCACGCATTGCGTCAAAGACAGTGTGTGCAGCAGCGGTCGGCGTGAAACGCATAGCGCATATAAGACTGTAGGAATACTTCAAGCATTGCGCCAAACACAGTGCGGTTAGCGCGGCGCGGCGGCGGAAGTTAAAATTATTAAACCACATTTATGTTTGTTCTTTCATAATATTTTCGTTCATTTCATATGAATGGAAGGCCTTGTCCACACAGAAATAGGTTTACGGAACTTAACTTTTGAGCCAAGTTCCGTGAACTTTTGCTCGTAACGTTGACAGGGCTTTCGCAAAAAATGTGTGCAACACGAGTAAACGCGTCTTATGCACCCCTCGCCCTCCGGCACATTCACTTGATGGTTTTTATTGATGTTTCAAAACGAATGAGAAGGGGGCGGCATAATCCAGGCGGCCCATGGGCGGCAAGTAAGTAAATCCGACCCTGTAAATCCTGATGTCTAATGAAAATTGGCACAACTTGCAGCCATTCTTGCCGACTTCTGACATAGAACTTTGTTATTGACAAAAGATATAACATCTCAAGCATACAGATAAAAGCACATTTGTATACAGAATATCCTGCCCACTGTCAATGAGTTACTTTAGTTAGTCACAGAATTGTCCTTTAATGATTTAAGATTGACGATCGGCCAAAAATAATAAGATCCGTTCAAACACCAAATTTCCGCGTCCAATGTCAACGGATACATTATTACCCTTCAAAGAAGCACGGCGTATGACGTCTCAGCCAAAAAAAAGGGTAATAACTGTTGTTCCCTTTGAATAGATCAGTTGCGCTGGTAACAGAATCGTGTGTTGATGCTTCATTCCAGTAGATTAGTTAAAAATATTAAGATCCGTCCAAACAGCAACTTTCTACGTTGAACATTAACCGAGATATCGTCCTTTGAAAAGTCGGGTTTTTGACGTCATCCACCGCGGTAGTCAAAAACATGATATGCACTACCGCGGTGGATGACGTCATAAATCGAGTTTTTCAAGGCGAGATATCTCGGTTAATATTCAACGTAGAAAGTTGCTGTGTGGGCAGATCTTATTATTTTTAGTTGATCTGCAAGAGTAAATCACCAAAACACGATTCTATTTCCAGCGCAACTGACCCATTGGACGTATTTATGCCAAAGGGGACCAGAGACAGGCAAAAGAGATGGAGCGTGTTCGTAAGTTTTGGGCAGTGAGAATGAATGGGAATTGCAAAGCGCCAGTGACGTCAGCGGCGACGACGAAGACGACGATCCGCGGATTTGAGAATTTAACCCATGAGCCCTGTCCACAACGCTCCTGTCACATGCCCACGGCTCATGAGTTAATATATTTTGGCGCTTAGTTCCTTTTGATTGAATTTAAAATCCCACTTTTCCATTTTGCCAAAAATAATCATTCCTGCTTTTAAATTATTCTTTATGCAGTTTTCTCGAGTTCTATCTTTCCTACACGTCTCTAGCTCCTATTAGCATAAATTCGTCCAATAATTAACCATAAGGAAATGTTAGTATTTCCGAAAGTAAACGTAAATAAATATTCAATATTCAACACATTGCTTCTCATTCAAATACAAATACAAAAAAAAAGAGATAGAGAGTTAAAAAGTAAACAGTTACCACCTGTCACCAAAAGAGCGGTGGAGAGTCTTTTATTATTTGTTCCTAATCCATAAACTTGAAACATTAAACGCAATTCTGTGACCATTGCAACTGTAAATTTTAATTTTTAGACCTCACAACTGGATTGCATTTTGCAGTAAGGAACCAGGAGCATTCCAATGTCGCTAAGATGGTGCAACTTTCTTTGCCCTGCAAATATAAACTGATCATCCATGCAAGTTTTACTTTCACTCTCAATAAACTATGAATTCAAGACGAAAATTACCTTTGTAAATTTGATTGTTTTCATTATTTCAGTAATTTTATTGCAAAAAATGTATGTTGCACCAGGGCCGGATTTACCCGCTTGCCGCCCATGAGCCGCCTGTATTGTGCCGCCCCCTTCTCATCCGTTTCGAAACATCAATAAAAACCATCAAAAGGACGTGCTGGAAAGGGAGAAGACGGGAGGGGTGCATAAGACGCGCTTACTCGTGTTAGACACATTTTTTGCGAAAGCCCTGTCAATAGTACTAGCAAAACTTCACGGGATTTTGCGCGAAAGTTAAGTTCCGTAAACCTATCTCTGTGTGAACAAGGCCTTCCATTTGTAAGGAATGAACGAAACAATCATGCAAGAACAAACATAAATGTGGTTTAATACTTTTAACTTCCGCCACCGCGCCGCACCGACCGCACTGTGTTTGGCGCAATGCGAGAAGTATTCATGCAGTCTTGTAGGCGCTATGCGTTTCGCGTCGACCGCTGCTGGCCGCACTGTGTTTGACGTAATGCAGGGAGTATTCATGCAGTCTTGTAGGCGCTAATATGTGTTACATGCCGACCACCGCGCTGAGGGCCTCTCCTTTTCATCTCAAGTCCTCGTCATCATTGCTCTCTGCGCTGCGCCGCTCCATACCAAATTGCGTGTTTGGTCTCTCTCTTAACTCGACAGATTAAAGGTGCTGTCTCATGTATCACCGAAAGACGATAAAATTAGAAATTACTGCACTCTCAGGAAATGAGAGATTTTGTCGCCTTTTCTCGTTCGTATTTTTTTTTCTGGATCTGATTTTTTTCATATATACATTAAAAAAAATTGCAAAATTTGCCGCCATAGGCCGCGGCCCATGTGGCCACCCCTTAAATTCGGCCATGCGTTGCACAATCCTACACTGAAAAAAAAGAAGATTAGTAGAATTTTCCACTCCTTAACGCTGTATTTCACACAGCGTGAATTCAGAGTCAAATCCGCCAGAAAAAAGGTAAACGTTACTATGTACCGGTACAGATAACCATTCCTCTGGCAAAATCGACTTTGAATTCAGGCTGTGTAATATACAGCGTGAAAGAATGGTGCATTCTACCAATATTTTTTTCAGTGTAGCAGCATTGGGATGCGCTTGGTTCCTTTTTTGGGAAATGCAATGCAATGGACCATCAGACAAGGTACGAATTCAAGCATTCTGATACATGTTTCTTAACAAGAATTTCACGCAAAACACGACTCGCGCAACGAAAATTTCTGAACCCAACTCCTGACGAAGATATTAGCGTTTTTACTTCACATTGGTTACGAGGAATTTGAACTGCCCGCTCACAAGAAACTCAAAGCTCTGCGTGAATCAAATCGCGCACTACAACGGTTTCAGCAAGCTTCTCAATCGAGCAATGTTCATTTCCCACCATGTGTTTTTCAAACTTCAAGTAATTTGCTATAGCTGAGCCAAAGTGCCAAGATTGAGGTTGCCAGATTTTTTTTTATCGCAGAGACGTTCATGATAACGTTTAGCGCGCGATGTGAATCATGTAGAGCATTGAGTTTTCATGAGCGGGTGGTTTGAATTCACTCACCAAGAATCATTAAATATCGTCGTAAGGAGTTGATTTCGGTAATTTTCGTTGCGCGCATCGTATTCTACGTAAAATGTAGGTTAAGAATCATGTATCAGATTGCTTAAATTCGTATCTTGTCTAGTGGTCCATTATATTTTATTGCAAAAAATGTATGTTGCACAATTCTACACTGAAAAAAAAGATTGGTAGAATTTACCATTCTTTCACGCTGTATTTCACACAGCTTCAATTCAGAGTCAACTCTGCCAGAAAAAAGGTAAACGTTACTATGTACCGGTACGGATGACCATTCCTTTGAATCGACTTCCGCAGAATCGACTTTGAATTCACGCTGTGTAAAATACAGCGTGAAGGAATGATGAATTCTACCAATCTTTTTTTCAGTGTAGCAACATTGGAATGAGCTTGGTACCTTCTTGGAAAATGCAATGCAATTGTTCATTGGAATCCTTTCACTGATTTCAGTTTGGAGAATGGGGCGACACGGGGTGCTGGTGCTGGTGCTGCTGAGCCTGGGCTTGGCCTCGGGGACGCGACTCTGCCAGTGGGAGCGGGTCGCCGACGACGTCCGGCTCGTGCCCAAGGGCTACGCCCTCGACGTGGACCCTTTCCCGGGCGACGGGGTCTTCAAGGGCCGCGTGCGGGTCCTCATGGTCGCCTGCACCGAGGCCATCAACGCCGTCAAGCTGGACATCGATCCCGCCGTCAACATCCTCAAGCAGAACGTCAAGATCCGCCCTCGCCAATTCGACGGCAAGGTCCCCGATCACAAGGATCTCGTCGAGCCCGACCAGTGGACCGACACAGGGTGAGCCCTTTTTCCTCCTCACTCACTGAAAACAAAGGACCTCGACCCCTAGCCCCCACCCCAAATTTTAGCGTACCCCAAAATCGTCTGACGTGCATAAGGAGACATAGATGAACTGAGCTAAGCAGAAAGGAACCAACCCACATTTTGGAAAAAATTGAGTTATGAATGGTTTTGAACTCAACCACTGCTCTACTATCTATCGCCAAAAATTCTAAGTTTTTGTTGGAGCAAATTTTGCAGAAAGTGAACTTGAAGTTTATCTTTTACATTGAGTCTTATGCAGGAGCCAAACTTTAAACCTCTTTTGGGCGCTTCTGGGTACCAGATGCGCCCTTTCCAGCCGTTCGACTCTCCCGATGTAACATGTACTATACTACATACCGTTTTGCCTTATGGGTAATGACGCCATTCTGGTACACCCGGGAAAATTTGATTTTTTTCTGCATCTGGTATTCGTAAAAGTTTTCGTGAAATGTTTTGCTTTTAAGCATAACAATCTCGCACGGACGTATTACCTGGTTAAACTATTTTGGGGCTTCGTTATGCTTAAATGCCTCATATTCGAGGTTGTAGTTTCAGATTGATTCGAAAAAATCACGAACAGTCACGTGATCTCTTCATTTTAGTGACGTATTACTGTGCTATTTTGTGATTGGTTCATTTTCTCGGCGCAGCATCGTCAAGCGTCAGCTGTTTGCAGCTCTGGGTTGAAGGTTTAAGGTTATGTCAGAGAGAATAGAAAGTTAGAGGCCCGACTCGATGCTAGGTAATTGAAACAGATGCGCTCGCAGCGCGCTCGCTGGCAACGTACGCAACTACTATTTTCAATTGTTTTCCAGAGACTAGCGGCGGGTATGTTGCTGCCGGACCACCTTCACGTAGGCAATTTGTTATACATCGTCCGTCCGCAATACTCTCGCTTGGCCGTATGAAAACGTTCCTCGCATGCGCAGTGTTAAAGAAGCGCCCTCCAACGCTTTGGCGGTGGAACTGCTTGTTTCTCGGTTCAATCCCGATGTGGCTTGGTTCCTTTCTGTTTAACTCCGTCCAGATATGGTGTTCTCTGCAAATTTTGAATGAAATCGAACAGATAGATTCTGAGATATCGCTGTAGATAGATTTGGGGGACGCCTGACGGACGGACACACATTTTTTCAAGTACCTATGGTTATTTTGACTCCTAGGACCTTAATCGTCGAGAAATGATGAAATTTCAACTTTTTCCCCCTCCTTGCAGGATGACAATAATTCCTCTACCCTAGGGGGGCGAGAAAGTAAAAAAGCTTGGTAGAATTTACCATTCCTTCACGCTGTATTTTACACAGCGTGAACTCCAAGTCGATTCTGTCAGAGGAATGGTTACCTGCACGGGTACATAGTAACGTTTACCTTTCTTTCGACTTTGGTCGAATACCTACGGGCATAAAACTGACCGAGGTATGAATCAGTGCAAAATTTTTCGCATAATGAATAAAAAAAAGTTCTGGGTTCCGTTTCCATTTATTGAGAAATATATTATCAGTCAGAATGAAAATTTCAATGACACGAGTTTCTTCACTGCAGTAATATTTTGCACACCAAAAAAGTGAAACAAGGAGTTCCTTCGTAAAAATTCAACATCGCTATGTAGCTCACAGGAACTTAATTTGACACTTTTGCACTGTTACCGAGATTACTACAGCATATGTACGCGTTAACAGTATTCGAGTCAATTTCTTGGAGTGGTTTTTTTTAACAACCGTACTACCCTAACCCTCTATTTTTCCTTTCCTGGCAAATTTTCCCCAGTAAATGACCCCCCTACTCCCCCTCCCTTCAAGTTCGTTTGGATGACGTCCCTGCGGGCTGATTATTGAAATCGATAGACAAATAGAAAATGGAGCGATCTTGTTGGTGGAAGAAGTGGTTGCAATGGACAAACTCGAAGACGAACTAACGACTATGTCTACTGTATATAGACCATCTAGTTTGTCCATCATTTCCCCCTACATCTATAAAAACCACCCGTTTCCACCGATAGGATCCCTTTATTTTCCCTCTGTTTTCTCTATGTATGGATTTGTCTATCAATTGCAATAATCAGCCCGCTGTGCGATTCGGTTCACTCGGACGCTACTGCCGCACTCGCCGCACGGCTGAGCCGCCTGCTGTGAACTTTGAGGTGTTTCGAAAGGTGATCCGACCGGGCGAAACGCTTGGCACAGAGCACGCAACCGTAGGGTTTGAGTCCGGAGTGCGAGCGACGGTGGCGCGCCAGCTCGTCCGAGCGGGAAAAGCGCCAACTACACCCGGACCACGTGCATCTGAACGGGCGCTCCCCCGTGTGTCGGCGGAGGTGCGCCTTGAGATGCGATGACTTTGCGTACACCTTGGAGCATCCCCCGAACCCGCACGTGAACCCTTTGTCGGTCTCCGCGGGGGTTTTCCTCGCGGATTTTTCCTCACAGCGGCCGGAAAGGAAACTATCGTCGAGGATGATGGTGTTGAAAACTAAACTCGTGTCTGTCTCCAGGAGTGGGATCTGGAAAGTGTCCTCCTCGAAGTTTTTCTCGCCCCACCGGTAGTCGCTCCAGGAGCCGAGGACCGAGTCTGAGAGCAAGGTTTCGTCCAATTCCTGGTCTAGGTCGTCCGGAAAAAGTAGTTGGTGCGTCGTCTTCCCCATGACCTCCGTTTCGTTCTGAAATAGAAAAATAAAGCAACTTTTTGATTCTAAATCTAATGTAAATGTAATTTTTAACATTAAATATTATCAAATCTGAGATATGAATCTAAGGTATCTTGGGGAAGCTACAGTTTTAATTTGCTCCCTTCAAAGCTTAAAGCTTTCGGGTAATAGTGCGAATCGAGACATATCTATAAGTGCTAATTGTGCATTGTTATAATTCCTTGTGCAATTTAAAAAAAAAAAAAAAAAAAAGTGCCACGCCCTCTTTTGGCGTGATAATGGACTTAATTATTTTCCCAACTGCATTTCGTTTTCACGTTGACAACTTTCCTCTCAAGTTTTATTTTCTAACAGAGAAAACTTTCTGAAATTTTCTCCCATACATTTTAAAATACTTATAGGCATCCTCATAGAATTTAAAGTCAGGATTTTTATCAATTTTCCGTTGAAAAAATAAAACATGAGAGAATTCAGGCAACGTCTGATGTAGTTAGGCTGTTTCTTGTTGAAACGGTTCAACTATAATATTTTGGATCCCAGAGATATTTTCTAGAGGAAACTCAAATTCTAATTTTTTTAAACCACTGGCCAGCAAAGTGGTCTTGAAGAAGAAGAAAAAAATGATACGAAAATGTACCCTAAAACGACGTGCAAGGGGTGAATTTATGGGCCTAAAATTGCAAATTGAAAAGCTTTGCTGATTCTATTTTCGAGATGTCGCAGTTTGAAATTTGCGTAGTAAATGCACGTACCGTACACGCACGTACGTTGCGTAGTACTGACTTTGATCCTGTTTTTGGTTTTTTTGCACGTTGCATCGGGGTCAATCGGATCTCGTCGATCGATTCATGTTTTTATTTTTCGTTCGATTCATGTCGATTAAATACATACTCTCTCGTTGCATGCAGATTTCCCATCATACTTTTCTTTTAATTGAACAATCCGCCTTCTGCTACGTCTGCAGCAATTGTTGGTACGTATATGTCGTACGTGCTGATTTTAGGTCATTACATACTTGACTCTCTGAAGGCGATTTATGTGCGAAAGTAGAGCACCGTGTTGGAGAACAACAGAAGTGAGATTGAATGAATTGCTCAATCCCTACTTCATTCGTTCTTCGATAGATTGCGCTACTTGCGCACATAAAACCCCTTCAGAGAGTTGAATATGTAATGAGCTAATATCAGCACGCACAACATATTCGTAACTACGATTGCTGCGGACGCAGCTGAGGGCGAATTGAAAGCGAGGGGAAAATTTTAGCTCTTTCATTAATATTGTTACCGATAGAGAGTTGTATTTTACGGTCTTTCTATGGAGGATTTCCTAAAAAAAAAGTTCACGATAAACTAAGTTTAAATGCAGAATAATTTATACAAGAGCTACAAATTTTCAGTCTTAGCTGGAAGTTTAGCCTACACTTCCCGTCAAGACTGCAGAAGCCCCAACACCACAGTGGTCTTTAAGCAAAAAAAAAAAAAAAAACCGTGACGAAAATGTACCCAAACATTGTTTGCAGGGGGTGAATTTAAGGTACGTCAGCGTTCCTAGGGATTAAATTTACTCTTGGGACTTTTACAACTTTGTTCTGACCAATATTCGAAACGTTATTTCCATCTATGAATTCTAGACTTTGCTACACGTGTCTTATACTGACATGGATTTTCAATGATTTAGAGGGAGTAATGAGTATTGGTTATACTTTACAATGCTTTACTTAGCGCTTCAAGTCTTTAACGTGCTTATGCAATTCAGGGCCCAGGCTCAACTAAGATTGAAAAGATCATCTGAATTGTATATGGAAACATTTCCGAGCAATCTTATCTGTGTAATTCATTTTTGCATTATTGTATATTTTTTATCTATAACTCAAGCGAACTTCAAAAAAGCACCATCAACCCCCCCTCCCATCCCCCCTTTTCCCAAACAAGACTTTCCTTTATGTTGCACACTGGATTTGTAGCTTTCGGTTTTCTTTTTAAAAGTGGACTTCAAAGTTGATTGAATTCTTGATTTTTTTTTGCTTCAAGACCACTGTAACAGAAATTTGACCAAAAAATTTGCCGCCACAGTAATTTACTTATGTGAACAGTCAAAAATAACATAACAGAACGGAGACTTCATACCATATTTTTCCCGTAACTGGTCTAATTTCCCAACGCTTGTCAAAATCGAGTCCGGATTTGCCGTAGAGCGTTCAAGTATGCAGTTTCTATAATTTTGTTTATGATCGTCCAGACCTTAGCTTTGAAAGAAGCAACGAGGTAACATCACACGCCGAATCCCTTCACTTCTTTGAATGTATATTCGAGGATACGGGTATTAAAAGTGAATAAAGAAACTGCACACTTTCTACACGAAACGGAGCTGCTCTTCAGACAGAGGCCATAATGCAATAAAAAAGCACTAAATTTAACAGAACAGAATCCAGAGCAAAATGAGAGACCGGGAGTCGAGACACTGGGTCGAGGTCCTGTGGCGCGGCGCTTATCGTCCTGCGGTAAAAAGCAGATCCTTGGTTGAAACGAGCCAGACGCGATTTTTGCGTCATTAGTCTACTCTCTCGAGACCGCGAAAGAAGGGGTTTATCTATCCCCTTAACGCGTTCCTGCGGAGAGGTTCATATTTTACTCTTTATCAAGGTGGAGCAAATGATTGTTTTTCTGAGACTTCATCAACGATCCGATCTTGCACTGAAAAAAAATTCTCGGCGATTTTACCAAGGTCCGTTGGTACCTTTACCATCTCACTTTTTTTTACCAATCATTGGTAATTTTACCAAGACAGACTGGTAAACTTACCTGAAAACCGGTACTTTTACTGTTTTTTTTAGGTAAGAATACCACTTTTATTGGCAATCAATTCCCGGTAACTTTGCTATTTTATCTCGGTAATTCTACCACAGTCGATAAAAAACATTGGCGTTTTCACCAAGGTCCAGTAAAATTACCATGAAAGTTCAATAATTTTACCGAGATTTCTCGGTAAAATTACCAATTCCATAAATGGTAATTTTACCAAGAAAAAACTGGGATCAAATAGAACCCTGAATTCTTGGTAATTTTACTCTTTTCTTAGTAAATACACCGAAATTTTTTTTTCAGTGTGTGAGAAACACGGGAAAAATAAAATCTTGCTGTTTAATGAGGCTCTTCGTCCGATAGGTAGGTATGTAGCCGAAGTGCCATTACATACAAATTGTTTTATTTAATCACAATTGGACTGCATTTTGCAATTTGGAACTATAAATTCTGGCTCTTCTGAAAAAACACTTATGTACACAGGGAAACTAATGGCACATACGTTGTTGTTAAATTGGGCTGGAATTTACAGTTCCAAATTGCAAAATGTAGTCCAATTATTGGTGGAAGCTTTTTTGCACAATCACCGTCATCAGGACTAAAATATTATGATGTTTTATGGACGAGACTGATTTGTTTGTTGCAGGAATCTGACAGTGACGTCTGTTGAGGTGAAGGAAAACGAAAAACAATGCGTTATAACGTTGAGCGGTAATTTAAAGAAGGGCGAACACTACGAATTGTTCATACAATTTGAGGGAGTTCTCGGGACGGACCCATCGGCTGGATTCTATCAAACAACTTACTTGGATCAAAATTCCGGAGAAAAAAGGTGAGCGTAGTAAAAGCGCAGATTACCAAAACTTCAAATTGTATACGGTATCTCGTCTCAGTGGCGCTTTCCGTCAAAATTTTAAAGGAGCAAATGCTAAGAAGAAAATTTCCATTATAAACCATGAACTTCAATTCATACGGCTCAACATAGTTTTTGCTTGGGGTACTGCAGTTTTCTGTAACAGACTACGAACTTCGGTTCTTAGACCCGAAGTACATATTTTGCGAGAAAAAAAAATACATAATTAACTAGCATGTCACTTTTACAATGCTTCCGTGCGCCGTGCGACACCCAACCACCACTGTTCGTGATCTTGCCAGAGCTCTTTCAGCTCATCACCTTTGTCTGCCTTATTCCTGCCTTATAAAAAAATACATGCCTTTCACTAAAAAACGGCGAATCATTTTTTTTAATCAGACCAGAATCAGCCAAACTTTATCACACGTTGTCCAATTTAATCTAATGTTTTATTTTGTAGACAGAAACATTGCAGCAACACTGGAACTTGAAATTTCGAGTGTATAATCTTCATAATCCTAGGTCAATTCTCAGAAAGTTTAATGACGTTAAATAGTTTAACGCTCTATTTAAAGAAAATGATATTAGAAAAAATTAGGCAATACGCGAAACGCTGTCACGCTGATTCTAGTCAAATTAACAATTTATAATTGGAAAAGGGAGTCTTGTGTCAGAAATTTGTGAAGAATATTTAACCGTTTGCCACTTATGAATCCTTCCTCACATTTTCCTCGCAATGGATTTAATAATTATTTTATGACCTTTAATGACGCAGATGGCTCGTCATTATGAATCTCTTGGATGGAAAGGCGCCGCAAGTTTTCCCGTGCTTCAACAGGCCTGAGTTCAAAACTTACTTCTTACTCAGCGTTGCCCACAAATCTGAATTCCATGTTCTCTCGTCTGAACCTGTGAGTCATTCAAAATTGTAAGTAGCCTCATCATCATCGGGCTTTGATTATTTACAACTTTTTTTACAAACTTTTTTTTACACCGGGATGGACAAAAGAAATGCATCTTTGAGGAGGAAACTGGGGGAAGAGGGCCACGCCCCCCACCCCCCCCCCAAGGAACCGGGGAGAAGGGCCTCCTCCCAAAAAATCGACATTTTTAAATGGAGCCCCCCCACTTGTGATACGCATATCGAGCGTCTATAGTCCACCGTATTGCCCATCTTGGTATATACATAAATCTTTTGTACTCATAATAAACACCAGTTTTACACCATTTACTATAAGTTATTCTACAACATAAACCACTGTAGTCTTAAATGTGCGAGAGATAGTGATTCGTGAGTATAAATTATTACACATAGGTTTTTTTTAGGTATTCATACGCTATTATTTGTAAAACAGATTTAAAAACTATGAAAATACCATAAGATTTTAGATCTCAAACAATTTTGAATATCACAGATATTTGATGCGTAACAGATCGCAGCACTGACAAAATGTCGTCCGAAAGTAAAAAAAATGTATTTTTTAAAATTTTTCGTCTGCGATACTTTTAAATCGCAAAATTTTATGTCATTTTTCAGAGGCTCAGAGGGTGCATGGGTGCGGGATTATTTCATGAAAATCCCAAGCATGAGCGTCGGATCATTGACAATATTTGAGTCCGATTTCACACAACCGAACAATTATCGCCAGTATAGCAATCCAGGTAAGGAGACATTTTTTTCTAGCACTCATGATCAAGCAAAATCTAAAAATCTGAGATCGTCAAACCGTTAATACGGAATAAAATTTTTAAAAAAAAAACAAAAAAAAGAACAAAACGAAAAAACCGGTAGAACACGTAATTTTTAATCTCGAGGTGAGTGTTGAGTATTCCGCCCTCGCGCCTTCCGAAAGTAGAGTGTCCATACATCCTAAAGGGCAATAAGCAGATAATGGTTCGGAAAACGCCTTCAAATCTTAGGTTAGGCAAAAAATCGTACTGTCCCATGGTTATCTACTCAATCTTCGCTCTCTCGTTGATTAACCTTCCCCTGTCCTGTGGAAAAGCAAGAATGATTTGCTACTTTGGCAAATTTTTTTAGATAAATATGAAGGCACGATTTTGAAAACACTGCAAGCGCGCTGGTTCCTTCTCACTAAATGTAATTCATTTGGGCTATTTCAATTTTCTAAGTAAGTATCCTTCGTGCTGAACTTTCCTTTAGAAAGTCCGATCAGCAGCAGCACAAGTTCACTTTGTTATTAAAATCGAAGGATTTGCTCTGACGCAATCAATTTCCTCTGAAATTAATACATTTTAGGTGGAAAAGCAAAAATGATTTGCTGCTTTGGGAAATTTTTTTAAGATAAATATGAAGGTACAATTTTGAAAACACTGTAAACGCGCTGGTTCCTTCTCACTAAATCCAATCCATTTGGGCTATTTTTATTTTCTAAGTTTCCTTCGTGCTGAACTTTCCTTTAGAAAGTCCGTTCAGCAGAAGCACAAGTTCACTTTGTTATTAAAATCGAAGGATTTGCTCATTGTCCCTGATTCTTATTTTTCAGATGGTGCCAACGACCGTGCACGCGTAGGGATTTGGGGTCGCGGTGACTTCGTGTCTGCCCTCACCCAAAGCCAGTCTCTAGCCCCCAAAGTTCTCAGCTCGCTGGAGGCTTACCTCTCTTACCCGTATCCTTTACCGGAATTAAATCTTGTCGCTTTGCCCGGCTATATCTCCGACAAACCCATCGACGGTTATGGACTACAACTCTTCAAGTAAGACTTTCGATTGGACGTATTTCTGTCAAACGGAACTATGTGCATTAAGACATGAGCCCTGAGACCCGTATGCATATGTGCATAACAGGGCTCACGTCATAATGCACATAGTTCTGTTTGATAGAAAGACGTCCGATTAATTCGTTGTTCGATTACTTTTCGTGATCCTACGCACATACACACTGAATACTCACGCAATTTTCCTCGCGTAGTAGTTTACACTACAGAATTGGACTACATTTTGCAATTTGGAACTATAAATTTTAGTCCGGTTTAAAAACAACGTGTGTGCCATTAGTTTCCCTTTGCAAATAAGTGTTTTTCCAGAAGAGTCAAAATATGTAGTTCCAAATTGCAAAATGCAGTCCAATTATTTGTGAAAAGTGCTATATTCAGTTAGGAATCGGTTTGAGTCAATTACAAGTAGACTGTTAGTTTTAAGGCCAAGAAGTGTTTCCAATTAACACACACCACACACCGATGTCTTTCAACTTCAAGACTTGAATTTGGAATTTTAAATGTATAAATTTTATTTTAGTTTGATGAGAGTTATGATCTTTCTCGCTAGGAAAAACCGTTGTATGATCATTCGGTGAAAATTTCAAAGAAAAATAATCATAATTTTTGCAAAGAACGGATTTTTCGCTAAGAGAATACTGGGCAAAGCTTAATGTTCATACGATCACATTTCTTGCCGTATCCCGGCAATAAGGTGCTTATTCACTCGGGCTACTGTTTAAGTGGAAACTTTACACCGTTCAAATCCTTAAGTTAAAAGTTTGATAACTGCTCCTGGATTAAACTGAAAATTTATGTAATTGCTTCTTCGGTTTATTAAAAATTTAGATTTTTAATGATGACTTTTGATGAATTTTGTCCAGGGAGAGTGACCTGATGAACGGCGACAGTTTCTGGCTTGCTTACCGGTTAGCAAAAGCGATGGCCTCTCAGTGGTTGGTTCATCTGTCAACACCAGTAAATGCGACCTCAGTTGGTCCTGCATTGGCTAATTTTATGGCTCTTAATGTAGCAATGCAGGTAAGTAGTCATTAGGTTTCATTATTCTTATTTCAAAAGAGAACCTTTTTCATTTCATAAACCTAATTCCAAATTTTTGTTTCTTTCCTAACGCTTTAAGTTTCATCTTTTTCTCGCACCTCCGAAGAAACTTGGATTCAACAACTCAAGCTCAGAGCAAACAGTGGCGAGGTGTGAATGATCGATTATGGTAAAGAAGATTAGTAGGAGGTTCGTTGCGAGCACCTTGTATGTAGATCCTTTTCCATAGGTTTAAATGGCGACCAATCGATGTATCGCAAAGCACTGGATGCAAAAGCGTCCCCGGTTAGAAGATTTTAATGCCACTATATCTATGACGTAAAATTAATTTACAATCAGGAGATTCAATAGTACCATGACAAATTTGAATTTCGAATAGCTTACTTTCTGAAATTACGGGTTTTGAGCTAGACATTTCAACCGCCATAACTCTGGTTTAGTTTGACACTTTTTGTACCATGACGCACTCTTTCCTCCAATAAAAATTAAGAGGATAACAATTTCATCGACTTGATATTCTTTGTTTTAACCAGTTGGAGCAGCCTGTCTTCAATTCATATTTAAGTAACCTGCAAAGTCTTCTGATCGAATACAGCAAACCGGTTCCTTACTCGATGGTTCCTCTTCAGAAAGATAACATTGTGGCTTTTAAAAGTATGTTGTTTCGAATTTTCATCTATTTAATCTCTCTTTTCGTCCATTCAGAGACAGGAAGTAACCATTAGTTAGACTTCCTTAGAGATATACGCAGGAATTAAGCTCGCCCTGGTAAAAATTGGCAGTAAAATCTGTACTCCAAAATACCATAGACCTACAGCCGGCTGTAAAATTTCTAATAGCATCTGTAGCCAGCAACACAATTTCTTATAGCCGATGGCGATTAAGCAACAACCTGGCGATAAAGTGCATGGTAAACGTTACTAATTACGGATGCTAGGACTTGGTGAGTTATTGGACTACCGCTCTCTTTTTGGGCCGCAGTATCTTGATTTAATTTGCGAGGAAAGCTCCGTAATTTTGAAGGATGCCTGCCAATCCTAATATGTTGGAGCGCCTTCAATTTCGTATGATACTGTGCAATACCTCTGGTGTGAAATAGTTGCTTCAAGCGCCGCGGCACGCCGCGGCGCGGCGGGCGGGCAGCCGGCGCTGAACGCGCGTTGGCGCCTACAAACCTAACAGGGATACTTCACGCATTGCGCAATGCGTGAAGTATCCCTGTTAGGTTTGTAGGCGCCAGTGCGCCGCCGCTCCGCTTTGTGTTAGGCTCTAATATTTAATCTTGCGGAGTCAGCGTTTTTCAACTCATGACTTTGAAATATTTGCGCACTCTGTATGGATTATTCTCATTTTAATTGATGAAAAAAAAAAAAATATGTAGTAAAGGAAAATATAATGTGCGTTTTGCAAATATTAAGGTGATTCCGTACAAACTTAAGGATTTACAAAGCACAAGAATTTCTACACAATCTCTTATAGCCTTTTATAGCCTATGGCGAAAAAGCAACAACCAGGCGATAAAGTGTAAAGCCCAGCGATAGGAACTACAGCCCGGCTGTATAATTTTTTATCGCTTCGTGTAGTGCGGCCGTATGATTTTTTCCACTTTCTACAGCCAGCTATATGTTTTTCTATCGCCCTCTTCGGTCGGCTATAAGAACTCCTATGGTATTTTGAAACGCAGCTCCTATCGCCAATTTTTACCAGGGCGTTGATATGTTTAAGCATAAAACGCATAAAATTCCGCCATTACCCGGGTAAGGAATGGAAAACAATGACAGCTGAAATCATAGAAGAGATAAATCACAAAGATGCATGTCATTTGTCAGTATTTTAGCTGTTAAGAAATTATGTTTTCATAATCCCTTTGGTGTATGTCTATAATATGGCATGACAAATACAGAGCAGCTTTCAAAAAAATGGAGTCCATTTTAAGTGAAAAAAAGCAACAGACTTCCTCGACTGTTTCTATTTTTGCTGAGAAACAAACTTATGGCACCCAGAGAGCCATTTAAAACTGTGTGACGATTAGAGAAAATTCATCACAACGGAGTGCTTCATTGTCAAAACTAAAATTTAACTTGGCTTGTGACCATTCACTGTCATTACGCAGGAATTATTTTTCTCAGATCGACTCGAAAAATCACAAAAAACCTTTCGTGGGCAGTTTTTGAAAACTTCAAAAACAAAGGTCATAACAATTTAAATAGTTACAATTCAATTCTATTTTACAGCTCAACTTGTTTTTCATATGTTGGAGCATTGTCTGGGGACAGAGACCTTCAAAAAAAGCATTCATAACTTCATGAAAAAGAGGTAATTTTAATTCTCACTGTATTTTATCCCATTCGTCCAAATCTAATCGAGCCTCATGGATGCCCATATTGCATATGCACGAAAGTGAAGGCGTTTTGACTGTTAAGCCATTCACCACTTCACTCGCAGCGCAGCGTCAACAGCGCGGGCTTTAGTGCGAGATCCAAAATGGCAGAGCGCTTTCAATTCTTCGTTCATACTACAAAGGTATCTTTTAGACGCGAAGAGTAGTATACAGGCGTAGGATTCGAGCATCTTTTGTGGTTCGGTTTTGACATCGCGATGTGCTGAGCATGATTTGTAGAGCAACTATTCGTGTCTAAGAGATTTCCTCGAAGTCTTAAAGCAAATTTGAAGGCATTTTATCATTAGATCCTCTAGAAATAAAGCCCGCCAAAAAATGAAACGAGCCCTTCAGAAAGGTTGGGCATGAAATTTTCGCCTAAAACCACAAATTTTGATGTTAATTACTTCACAGTATAAATTGATAGGACGAGTCGCTGAAGAATTACCTTAAGTCCTTAAGCCACATGTAACATTGTTTCTTTCTGATCGATGTGATTAATTTGATAGATCGATTTTATTTTCCTTTATCAGAGAATTCAAGGTGTACACGGACGATGATCTGTGGAGTGCTATGACCGAACAGGCCCTTGCCGACAAAAGACTCTTACCTGGGATTCAGCCAAAATCCGTCAAACAAATCGTGGAATCGTGGATCGTCAAGGATCGACTTCCGTTGGTCACCGTAACTCGTCACTACAATAAATCGGTGACAATTACTCAGGTAACAACCAAAGGCACAATATCAAGTATTACGCGTAAAATCGGAAACAGCACCGGTAAACTGTAACTGCATGATTCTTAAGTTCACGATTTATCGTTCTCTATATTTACAATGCTTTACGAGAAGCAATTGGACCTATTTATGCTAAATGGAACTATGTGCAAGTGGAAAGATGGGGCGTGCTCCTTAGTTGAGGGTCATAAGAATGAATGGGGATTTTAAAGCGCCAGTGACGTCAGCGGCAACCTAGGAGACGCACGACGCGACGGGGAGATCGGTGACGGGACTCTTTAACTGATGAGCCCTGTCCACAACGCTCTTGTCACATGTCACATGTCCACGGCTCACGAGTTGGCGCTCAGTTCCTTTGGATTGAATGAAAAATCCCGTTTTTCCATTTTCTCAAAAGGAACTATATCCACTTTTACATTGTTTCTTATCCACCTCACTACGAGCACACCCCATCTTTCCACTTGCACACAGTTCCTTCTAGCATAAATACGTCCAAATGGACCGCGTCAAGCAGAAAGGAACCAATTCACATCGGCTGTTGCCAAATTTGATTTTGCAAATAATTTTTTACATGAAAACAGTTGTGTCGATTAGTGTACAAATAATAGTGAATTTTCTGTACCGTACGAGACAAATTCCTTAAAATTTTCAAAGGAATCCGCGCAAACGCTCTCACATGTAGAGCGATTTCACATGCCGGCATTTTATCAGTAAAATAATGTTCAAAGAAAATTTTGCGGTATTTTGGATGGATTTCTTTTGAAAATATGAAACATACCTAACCGGAGATTTCTTAACATTGCAATTAATGGAGATACGAATCTTTTAATTTGGCCATCGATAATTACGTATTTGATGAGACTGCATTTTCGTGCGGTTTCAACAACAGTTCTGAGCGCTTTACGTGATTTTCTTCTTTGGCTTGCTCCCAGGAACCATTCTTAAGGTCTGTGGATTTGCTGCCTCCATCAAACGAAACCGACAAACCTGATCTGTGGTGGATTCCAATCGTTATTGTCTCAGAAGACAAAGTCAAGGAATATGAAAATATCTCGAAAATCATGTCTTGGTTGGAACCTGTACCGCAGCAACAAATATCGATAAAGAATAAAAATTTTGGAATGGATCATTACTTATTATTTAATCCGGGTAGTATCGGTGAGTTTCATTGATAGACTTTTGTATCATAATTCTCATGTTTCCTAATAGTATTAAGTTATGTCGCCATAGGTAAATTAGAATTGGCCTACACAGGAGAAAAATATTTTTTTGCCTCGAAAATTTTTAAAGAACACTTTTTTAAAATAAGGAACTTTCTAAAATCCAACCAAGATGTCATTGCAGACAACGAATGGTAAAATTCCCATTGTCCGTCGATTTTTATTCCATTTCCGCTTTTTAAAATGCGGAAAACCGGAAGTAAAACTGTTCCAGGCTATCCATCAAGGCAAGACTTATAAACGTCTGCAAGCCACGAGAAACGGGCAGTTTTAGTCCTAAAACGTTCAAAGTCAGCCCAAAAGCCTCCGTCATTTTTGTTCTATATTGAATCTAATTCTCATACTGTTCATGATTATACTAACTTATCATAAAAAATCCTTCGCAGATTTTAAAAAATGCAATAGTTTTCTATATTGAAAACAAAATTTGACTTAATTATTGGGAGTCAAAGAACTTCAGAATTTTTCAAAAGGAATATTAGAGAAAATATTTTTAGCTTTCAACTCTTCGATCACGCGAATTGAAGAGCCTTTCTCTCTCTCTCTGTCTTTAAGTATATTGATAACGCCGTACAACTTAAAACATGAAGAAGCGCCTGCAAATTCACAGTTCTGCTTATTTACTTTGAATTTCTTTCTTTTTGTAGGGAACTCCTGCCTATTGAAAAAGGGCTCATGAGGACCACCAGATTTTTACTTCATATTAGATTTGAAGTAAGTAAAGTTTTGGTTTTAAAGGCGCTAATCGTTTAATTATTTTTCCATTTCACAAATAAACTCAGATTTATTTGAACTGTGAATGAGGGTGTTTTATGATAAGTTAGTACCGTATGGTCTTTGCGATACAACAACTCCTGAATTTTTCAGAAGATTGTGGATATTTCAGTAATATGCATTTCATATATTTATTTTCCTCCTCTCTTTACTCCTGTTTACTGTTGACAGATGAAAGAAGATTTATGTTTTTCGTTCGTTTTTTTGTTGGGGGCAATATAATTTTTTATTTAAATTGACACGAATTAAAAATTAATTTTACTGCCCAAAATTAAAAACTGAATCCTTGTAAGCGGAATTTTCCATCATTTATGGATCTAGCAGAGAGTTTTTAATTGTTGCTAGTTTACCATAATATTTCAATTTTCTTGTAAAAAAAAGAGGACGAAAAATATCATTTCAATGACTTCTTCTGAAAAACGTCTCCCCTTCATGCCCTCCGTCTCGTATATAAACGCTGTCATGTTTTTCTTCCTCCTCTTCTTCTTTTCTTTTGTTATTTTTGATCCAATATTAAAATGTATTTTAACATTGCAGGGCCGTTTGTCGTCAACTATGATAACCATAATTGGTTTTTGCTGTCTCAAAAAGTCGGGACCTTACCGGAGAAAATCAGGATTCAGTTGCTCCACGATTCAATGAAACTTGCACTGAGCAGTAAGCTAAGCTACATCACAGCATTGAACATGACCTTATTCCTGCGCTACGAGCAGGCCCCGGCAGTGTGGAAGACTTTCTACCCTTTGGCAGACCAATTCCGCAAACTCCTCGATGGAACAGAAGCCGCTAAACCTTTCGATGTAAGAATGATGAGATCAATAGTTAGACCAATGATTAGATCGATGATTAGACCGAAAGATATCGCTTTGAAAAAAAAACCAACACACACGGCGCTCTTTATCTGACGACATCTTGTTCCATTTGCGCCTCTTGGAGTGCCTTTGGGTAAAAAATCACTTTAAAAGACACCGTAAGTGAGCTCTAAAAGCAGCATATTTCGATCAAAACGTGCAGGGTATATTTGAGCAGCCAACGGACTAAGCATGAAAACGTATTCTGAATTTAAAAAAAGCAAATTAACAAAAAAAAAAAAAAAAACATTGGTTTGAGCTAAAACACGTAGGCACAACAACTGGACTACATTTTGCGATTCGGAACTAAAATGTTTGGCTCAGTTTAGAAACAACGTACGTGTGTACCATTAGTTTCCCTACGTACATAAGTCTTTTTACGGATGAATTAGAAGTTGTAGTTCTTAGTTGCAAAATGAACTACAGTTGAACCAAGTTTAAGTCGCATTTGGTCTACATTTTCCAATTAGGAGCTAAAATTTCTGGCTCAGTTTAGAGACAACGTATGTATTATTAGTTTCCCTGTGGACATTAGTGTTATTACAAACGAGCCAACAATTCTAGTTCCCAATTGCGCAACGTGGTTCATTTTGGGGGAAAATGAGTTGGGAGTGGTTTTGAATTTTACTAGTCATAAATTTTCCCTTGTCAAAAATTTTAAAGTCGAAAAAAAATAAAATTTGCTCTTAAAATTGGGTCTCATGGGGGGATGCAACTTTAAATCTCTTGTTCTCCATTCAAACTTGATGCGACTTGGCGCGGCAGTTGTGAGGTGTTAATGATCGATCATCGATATTTCTCCATTTAAGACTGTGGTAAAGAATCGATTATTAAGTCGTTCGTTGCAAACTAGCTGTTTATGGATCCTTTTCCATAGGTTTAAATGACAGATCAATCGATTTATCAGAAAGCACGCCACGCCACTGCGAGCATGCGTGCCTATTAATCTCGATCCACGTCAACCAGTAATTCTTTCTTTTCTTACCTGTAATTCTATTTACAGTTGTACCTAAGAGGTTTAATCACGCCGGTTTACGATGCATTGGGCGATGAGGGAAGTGAATCCTCGTGGAAGCAGGAGTTCAGGTCACAAACGAAGCACTTGCTCTGGCAAGCAGGTTTTGATCCATCCATCATTGAGGCCAACGACTCGTACAACCTTTGGATGTCTGCGCCAGATCCAGACTCTGGAATGTTGTAAGTAACTCGCCTTATAGTGAAAACAACTTCACTTACGCGGACCGAAATCCAGCGCTTACGGGAAAGCATAGTTTTCAGTACTACACAGGTAACTGAGGTTTTAGGTCGGGCAAACCGAACGTCGGTCTGGGTAATCGAGATTTTTCGTAAAAAATACGAGCCTAAGTATACCTGAAAAAAACTTCAGTCTCACGAATTGAAATTCGGTCTATGGGATTGAAAACATCAGTCAACTTACCTGGACTAAAATAGGTTTCAGAACATTCCGTCGACGATTTTTTGTCCACGCACCTGTTTTGTCTGAGAGTTTACGTCCATTCGTAAAATAAGCAACAGCGACTTGGTCCAAGCGTTATAATTTAGTCCGTATGTAAAATTATATTGACAAAATGAAATGAGAAAATTGAGAGAGAAGGTTGTGCTGTTATGGTAATACATTTTTTAAATGAAATGTTTCTTTCTTCTCTTGATTCGTCTTTTCAAATTGTCATTAGTGAATATTTGGTTTTATGTATATCCTTAAAATTTTCAATGTGAAGTATACCTTATATATACCCCTTTTTTTAAAATGAAAATATTACTTCATATTAAAAACGTTTAAGTATATTGTTAAAACGCGGAAAACCTTTTTCAAGCGATGGCATTGATATCAATATCAATGAGCCGTAGTGGCGTTGAAGTTGAAAGAAACTATACAAAAATGAATAAAAGAGGGAGGAAAAACCAAGAAGCGCGAAGTCTTTGGCTCTTACCCATTCGTACACTTTTAGATTCAGGTTCGTCCAATTTTGAGCGTTTGTTTGCGCGTACACCACGCTGCAGCCCAGTAAAAGCACACAATTCCCCCCCCCCATCAATTTAGATGAGAATAATTCAAGCAGAGTGTGCAAACATTTCAAAATCATGAGATGTAAAACGCTGATTCTGCGAGTTTAAATATTAGAGCCTAACACCGAGCGTAGCGCCCGGCGCGGCATGCTGTCACTGGCGCAACGCGCACTGGCGCCTTCAAACCTAAGGGGATACTTGACGCATTGCGCACTGCTTGAAGTACCTATCCCCTTAGGTTTGTAGGAGCCAGTGCGCGCCGCAGCGTGCCACGGCGCCTCAAGCAACTATTTCACAACAGAGGTATTGCACAGTATCATACGAAATTGAAGGCACTCGGACATTTTAAAGATGGCATCCTTTAAGAGCACGAAGCTTCCCTAGCAATATAAATCAAGATACTACGGCACGAGCGGTAGTCCAAAAACTCACTAAGTCCTGGCATCCGCATTTATTAAAATTCAGCATAACTTTTGAATCTCATTAGAGAAAAAATTGATTCGATTTAGGCAGAAACATTCTTGAGTATGCCGTTGAGAGGATTTTATTTTGAATCAAGAATAAAATAACTGAATGAAACCGGGTTTCTGCTTGGTAAGTGACTTTTCTTTTTATATGTGTAGGCTTTTTCCTTCTTTAAAAAAGCATTATTTTCTTGATTGATTCATAAGGAAATCTTATCGGCAGTTTTGAGCATATTTCTGTTTGAATTAAGTGACTTTTTACTCTAATGAAGTTCAAAAATCACGCTAAACGTTATTGAATACAGATACTGGGACCCAGTAAGTTTTTCGACTACCTCCGCTCGCCTTCTGTCGTCGTCACTCGATTTAATTTGCGATGGAAATCAGTCCGTCCTTTGAGTTCTCGTTTATCGCAAAAATGCAATAAGAGTGATTTGAGTTGCAATTTTTCTTTGCGTTGCGAATTGCTCACCTCTCTAATACATGGAGCTCAACTGATATAGATCGTTCGAAATCTCCATGTATTTACTAAATTATTCCAAAATGTTGAAATCCAATGGTAAAAAAACTGCAATTTTATTGCATTAAATCGCAATTTTATTTCAACATTTTCATTGCACTGTGTTAGGGCAATTTTTAAGATCTCTTGTCAACCTGTGGCCACCAAACCAGTGGTCAGACTCTGACCAGCAGTCAATCTGGTGATCAGGCTAACTACTGGTTTGCGAGAGCGAACAAAGGCTGACCTGGACTTGACTTGAAGAAAACCGGGAGCTACACACACCTACCTCTCGTCAAGCTCTGTTCAGCTCAAACTACCACTTTGACAAGCACCTGACCACTGACCAGAGGTCTTACAATCGGCCCTTACTTGGGCGGTCAACAATATTTTCCACTTGGACGCTACAAATACTAAGACCTTATTCTCAAAACCTCATTTACGCAATAACTGCTCCGTTTGGTTCCTCGACAGGACTAGGGAACCATCATATTCAGATTATCATACAGGTCTTGTAACAAAAGGCTCAATCAGGCTCAATAAAATATGTTTAGTACTTGAGTTTCCCTTCGATTCGATGGATATGCAACTTCGACCACAAAAAAATCATAATGGAATCTTATATTATTTTCTACACAACAGTGGAGGTTCACGAATTCCTCATTTTTTTTTCTTTTTTCTTAAATTCAAATAAGTACTTATCGTATAATCAAGATCCTCCAAACCTTAAATTACTCTTTTTAATTTTTTTGTTTCATATACAGGGTGTCGAGAAGTTACCTGTGCTCTGTCTTCTTGTGGGGCTCTCAGAAACAGTGGGAATTTGGCCTTGAGCGTGTTCTGAACTTCCCAGCAAACCGATCGCAGTCTGAACGAGATTTCCTGTTTAGAACTCTCGCAGGATGTCCTCAAGATCCCGTCAGAATTCGCAAGTATGTTTTTCTTCTTCACAAAGTATTCCCAAATTTTTGGTTTCTCTAGCTTCAAATCTCTGATTCAATATATCGTGTGTCATTTAAAATGGGAGGAGAATGAGCTTAATCTCAACATTTTAAGAATCTTAGTTGATTATCTGTCGGTTGGCTCTTTTGATTATGCGGCGCGGCGCGGCGCATCGCTATACCACGCTCACTAGGCGCCTGCAATTTTCCTAGATGCAACATGGACAACATTTGAGTACGAATAATTGTATCGGGTATTTCAAAAAGGCGCCCTATGCCCTGATCCCGTGAAACCTTGCTATGAGAGTGCGCTCTCCAACTTATACAATTTAGTTTCTTTTGTAAAGATTTGAGGGTATGACTGTGACAAAATGTGACGTCTTCCTTACTTTAATTGAGAGAAAAGTGTGCGTATTTATCTGTAATACAGTATTTCTTTTTCATCTCGACTCTTATTCCTCCTCCCCCCCTTTTTATTCATTTTATAGATGATAATATTATTCTTATTTATATTTTTAGGATCCTGAATATAACGCTGCTTCAGAATTCCTCAGTTTTCAGCGAGAGCGATAAATTTAAAATGATTAACTCCATTGCTAGTTCCAGCATTGGATACACGACGATGTTTGAATTTTTGAAGGAAAATTGGAATGCACTCAAAGAGAGGTAACTGTGATTTCTTTTTTTGCCGAAATAATATATTTGACTGAGTAATGTGAAGATATTGGTGGAGGAAAAATGCGCTAAAAGCTATCTTTCGATCGGTATCTTTTTGGTGAGAAAGGCACAAATTTGTGACACAGATTCAGAATTGTGTCCTTTCATCGTTTTGGAAGTATGCCCGGGCTAAATAATTTAATTTTTTAATTTATTGATTTTGTAAATGTACATTTTATAAATGCGAACCAATCAAAGGGTTGACCGCTGGAAGACCTATATTGCATCGCAACATTCAAAGTTCCACCTAACAACTCATTATTTCTATTCACCAACGTGTACATATTTTACATAAAAATTTAGTGAAATTTTCGTGAAATCGTAAAGAAATCAACATCTAATTTTATGAGCAAGTTGCAACCACTTCTAGAGTAAATCAATAAGTTTCAAAATACACTATGCAACGTTGTGATTAAATTGAATCTGTCTGACTTTCACTTCTTCAATGGACATTTTAGGCTACAATGCGTATACCATTACGTCGAAAATGGAACAAAAATTACTAAGGCTGAATTTTGATTTTCCATCTAATTTATGCTGCAGCCTCATGTGAAATAAAACGGACGAATATTTTTATATTAAACGCTTTGAGAAAAATTTTGCAAGTCAAAAAGATCGCCTGCAAATCCGCAAATTAAACCTATCTGTTTTCTTCTACATATTTTAAACGTGTCAAGAAGTCTAAAACATCTCGAATTGAGAGACAGGATTCCCTAGTTCTAACGTTGTCAAAATAGTCGGTCTCTCCTCACCATGTTTATTAAGGTTTTGAACTTCATTCCCTCAAAAGTTTTACCTGTCCGTTTATCAAAAATTTCCTCTACAAATATTGAAGTTACAATAGTTTCACTTCTTTTTCAGCCTCTCCAAAAACATGTGGAACCTGTACGTTCAGCTAGCCCTGGGACAGTTCAAAAGTGAAGCAGGGTTATCCAAGGTAAATAAATAATATTACAGGATGACGGTGAAGTTCCAAAATTTATGTAGTATCTTGTTTGCGGTGTTTCAAAATATTCGCTCCTATTCTATTTTTTTATAGGAGAAAAACTCGGCATCCTTCCTTGAAGTTTTCGCAAATTTTCTTCGCAAAACGAACCAAAAAATCCCGGCGGTTTTTCAGAATTGCCGTTGAGTAGTTTCTCATTTAAAAAAATAAAGTATGGCTGGAAATCCGCCACGTCGCAAACCGAGATACGTGGTTGCGGACGGTCACCGTCGATAAAAGTCTCACTGATACGCACTTATTTGAAACCCGCCTATCTTCTTTCACTGGCGTTAAAGTCTCCTGATAAATACGTGATACTGCGACTCTCGCTATGACTACATTAGCTGCTACACTGCTGCTTTTATCCGCACATCCATTATTTATGTCAAATATGTATCGTCAACTGCCTAATATCCAAAAATATTCCGATTTCATGGAGGGGCAAATCGCAACCCCACCTTTACAATAAAATCGCGATTTTTATCGGTGGCGATTTAATTTATCGCAATGTTATCAAACAAAAAATGGGCATAAATTGAGAAAAAATTTTGATTTCATCGAACGCGAATTTTTAGAGATATAACAGCGACGAGATTGAGAATAATTGCTTAAGCATTGATGATCCTGGCGATTTCATCGCCAAAAAATTGTAAAAGCATCGCAACTTAATATCAAAATATTGCGATTTTTCCGTTGAAAAACGCTACGTGGGTGTGTGACAGGTCCGAGGGAAAGGAGGGAGGGATGTTTTTAAAGTTCGGACTCCAATGTGACTGATTTATAATAAGCCCTTACCTAAATGAATCAGTGAGTTTGAAAACACACCAACTCGGTAACTCGAAAATGCGCAACTTTCATCAAAGACGGTCGATTTTTATACAAAGGTCATTGAAGTTAGCGCATCTGTTCCAACTTGGACCATTAAGGGGGGACCATACGGGTTGTCCGTAGGTGCTTGTCTCTCCGCATCAAAAATCTTTTTCTTCGACTAATTTTTTCATCTACTGTGCAGTTTTGTGTGTGTGTCTTGATTACTTTCATTTTTCCGAGTTGGTGTGTTTTGGTTCTCACTGATTCAAATTTGGTTTGTGTCTGTTCAGGTGACAAGGTTGGTCGAGGAGAGGAAGGGTCAGTTCGGAGCAGCGGAGACGGACGCGACAGCTTCGATAGAGAAGATCAAGAAAGAAATCAAATGGGGAGCCATGAACCTGAACGCCATCAAGCTCTGGTTGAACACGACCCTCGACGAAAAATGGACCGCCCGTAGATTCACGTTCAACGACAGTCAGTCCGACAGTGTCAGCCATAGTGGCCCTACAAAGGTTAATTATTTTCATCATTACACCGATCTTCATTCGTCTGTAGTGTGAGTCGTTCCTCGAGCACGATCAGAAGTAGGTACTCTAATCAGAAGTAGAAAAATTGGACGGATTTTAACAGAATCATAGCCTAACGACACACAGTCGTCTGGAAATTTGCGCGTCGTCTTTCATTAAACCGTAATTATTGCAGTTATTTCTGCTGTATGAAGTCACTTTTTAGGTTGACGTGTCTTAAAAGGTTGATTTTAGTTGATTATGGAGATGTGCTCAGTAACACTCTATCGTGCTATTTTTTTTAATTTTTTCCCCCCTATTAAAAGATATTCTTTTTATCTTTCATGCTACGTCACATCACATTCTATACAATTCATAACAAAATGTTGCCTTTCAGCGGGAAAGGCGTCATAATCAGAAAAACACAATAAAGTTGAGGGCACTGAATAAATTCTGCATGGTCGCGAGGCTCGGCGAGTCCAACGGACTCGTGGAGCTTTTCCATCCAGAAAATCCGACTCGGCGGGTCACTTCCAAGCGTACTAGCTTGGTTTCGGCTCTATCGGAGAACTATCGATTTTGACCTTAAAGAAGTCCATGTAACGCCTGTCCATTTTTCTCGATTTTGGAAGGGGAAAAAAATGTCGAGATTACGATCGGATCCTAAGTAGTTGAAGGCGCCGAATTGATTGCGCCTGGTCCCGAGGCCCGGCGAGGCCTCCTGCGGACTGATTATTGAAATTGATAGACAAAGCAATAGAGAAAGAACAGAAAAGGGATATAGAGGGATCCTATTGGTGGAAGCAGGTGGTTGCGATGGACAAAGGAGGTAAATAATAGACTAACTAACGGTCACCCACGAGAGATCCTGTAGTTAGTCCATCATTTTCCCTCTTTGTCTATAACAACCATCAGTTTCGTTCAATAGGATAGCTCCATGCTTCCTATGCCTTCTTTGTCTAAAGCTTTGTCTGTCAATTTCAATAATCGGCCCGCTGAGCCGAGAAACCGTCAAAAACGAGTTTCTGACTGTGTTGCGAGAGGGCGTTTTTCGTCGGTATAGCCCGGCCCAGCGGACTTGTGGAGCTTTGGTTGTTACATGAGCACTTTCACAAATGGACTGTGGCTAGCAGTCTTGTTTATTTTTTGGTTTGTTTTCTGTTTTGGCTCTTTGTTCTAGACTAATGAGACGCATTTTGGTGCAGATGATTGCAGTGCGGGGAATTGACGAAGAGAGACAACACTAGACGGCAATAAGTTTTGAGGAGACCATTTCTAGCACTTGATGATAGTGCGAGAGGATGCTCTAGTTGTTATGGAGTATCATCATAAGTCATAAAATGCAAGTAACTACACATATTCACGGATGTTTCATCGAATGATTGTAAGGAGGGATAAAAATATGGATAAGTTGTTCTGAATACTAATCTAGAAATTAAATTCTGTGCCTAGGTATCTCTGAGGGTTAAGGTTATTCGCTAGAAAGTTAAATTCATTCGGTATCCTTCAATGTACGTCTTTGTTCATCTTGTTTTGTCGGAATCATTAATATGTATTGCAATTATTTTGACATGAAATCATATTAATATCATACAGACTCTGCGTTATTCATTCACAGTCATTTGCATTTTTCATCGCGTTCGATAGTGAATTTTTTCTTATTCATGCAAAAAATTTTAATTATCAGATACCTAGCTAAAATCTTGACTAATTGTAAGCTTAGTAGCAGAGGCTCGATAATTATTTCTGATACTGCAAACAAAATTCATTTGTAAAAGTTATTTTGTAATTATGTAAAACCGTCCATTGATAGGTATTTTTTCATTCCTCCTTTTGTTTTAATTTTTTTTTTAATCAATTTAATTGGTTTTGCCTGAATACAAAATACGAAACAGCGGTATAGGTGCTGGTTGAGTGGGTTTTGAGGAATGTAACAGAAAGACTTAGATCACACTTGGTTTCTTTCCCATAGCGACAGACTTAAAAAATTGAAAAAAATTGTATTCTAAAATTTTCCTTGCATTGCAATTGCCCATTTTCCATCTCAGAGTTTGTTATTGGTATTTATTGACCAAAAGATGCAATGCATTGAAATTTCATTTGAAAAAAAAAAAAAATTAAAATAACGTAAAAAATTGTAACTTTATCTTAATATTTTCGATCCAAATCCTGCTTCAGCTCTGGATTTTGTATTTTCCTGTATTTTTTTGTTATATGATAAATCCTGATCCACTTCTGCAAAAATTCCACCCTTCCTATCATTCCCTCTTTCGCTTCATATTTGTGCTATGATTAGAGTTTAGTTTGACTGATATTCAAATCACATCCCACAATTTGTGTCTCCTCTAGTTAAATCAGAACTCAATAAATTTAAACTTTAATTTTCTATTTCCGGGTTGGTTTTTATTTAACTCATTCTCAGCTCATCTTGTCTATTTCACCTCCCCAAGAATTCCAGCTCCTTAACATATTTCCATATGTATACCTATCCTAACGCAATGTTAGTTCATACAACCCCTGTCGGTTTTTCTCAATTTTGGACGAGAAAAAATTTTTTAGGATAAGTGTCGAATCCGTGTTCAGGTCCTTTGGCTCCTAGCGGCTTCTTTAGCTGTGAAACTACTGTTTTTGATTCCTGGGAACCTTTGAAACGAATGCCATTTTGGACTTTCTTGCAGCCCTGCACTGGGATGCATAGCCAGAGACAAAGCTTTTCGATTTTAATGAATTTTTTATTCATTTATAAAAAATAACCGCTCAAGAACAATAATTTATCAGCAACAACACATCAAAAAAATTAAAGCGAATCTTCATTCATCATCATGCTGATGGTTTCATGCTTCACCAGGAAGAACAGTTAAAAAAATAATTACATCCAGTGGTACTCAAAATACCATTAAAACAAGATAACAATCATCGAAAATAATACATAATCAGTCTAAAAAATACTTTTCTGAACTATAAAAATGTGAAGCCAACACCACACTGTGGGCCGTGTATCGTTGCGTCGTTGTGATGAAAAGATAATGGAACACAGTAATTTATTTCTAGTCTGGCAATTTGGCCAATCCTCAAACAGAGTCCAAGTCCTGTAGATACACATATATTTTTAGAGAGGTCAACTACTTTTGATTTCAAGTCATTACCTGGAAAAAACCAAGACAAATTTAAATTAGGAGCTTGTTGCAACAAAAAGTAATGCATTTATAGGTTAAAATTAACATATATTAGGTCTGCATAAAGTTTCTTCTTTAAAAAAAACGCTGGGCGCATCTGATGGTAAATCCCCAATAAATAGCACCAATGAGTCCAAAAATTACTTTGACTTTTATTCCTACAGCCACCGATTTTCTGGAAGATGAAGATTTTTCCTTAAAAACAGGATTTCCTGAGTCTCCATGCCTTAGTTAACAATTTGCTTTCAGGTCAATCCGACAGTCAACAAACTAACCACAGAGAACGAATGATCACCTATTCAAGATATGTTACTTTATCTTGCTCTATATTTTGACCCGATAAGTGAGTTTGACCGTTTTTGCAATGAAGAACTTTCGTTTTTAGCTTAATTTAGAGACAACAAACGGCATTCGTTCCTCTGTTCAAATAAGAGCTTCCATAGAGAAACCAGAAATAGCGATTATGTACTGAAAAAATTGTTAAATTTGTTGTTCTTAGAGTAAAAGTCGTCCATTGTAATTTTATCTTCACTTTCTGTGAATAGGTAATAAAGTTATCTTAAAGCACAATTTGTTATTAGAATGAAAAATATAAACTAATTTTCTTGCATTATAAATTTGAATTCATTCAATTTTGCCGGATAGGCAGCACACCTAACTAAAAGCTTATCTACCTACATATTTTGACTGAACCAACTGGCAATTGGGTAAGATGATTGAGGTAATATAATCGTTTAAGATTGTTCAAAGCAACCCCAATTCTGGAGAGACTACCTAGAGACTGGATAGGCTGGAACGATTGGAAAAGTTTCCGCCGAACGTTTTCAAGAGATTTGTCCCAGAAATTAAATTGCGGGAATGAAACTTCAAAGACCGGGCACTCACGTTTTTGCGATAAGTTTATGTTGGAAGATAAATCAGTAAAAATTGAGTGTTTAACCAGTATTAAGATGATAATTGAACACAATTAAAGTAAACACAAAAAATCTAGTGAACAACAAAATATCACATAATTTGCTTTCCTTTTTCTTTCCTTTCTCAGTTGGTTTTGGTCTTTCTTGGATCTCTCAGGGTTGCCACAATTTCTTCATTTTCAAATTCTCCGACTTTCCCTGACTATTTTACCTTTTCCCTGACTCCAGAATTTTCGGATTACCTGACATTCAAATAAAACTTCTACAGTAAGACCTCGAATTATCGGATCGCGATTTAACGGATTCTGCGATTTAACAGGCCGCTGGTCCCGTGAAATCCGTTAAATCGAGGTCTTACTGTACTTTGATTTTTTCCTCTAAATCACACTCACTTCTGCTGAACTCTAACGCATTAAATTCCCTGACTTTTCTCCGACACCAAAAATTCCCTGACTCCCCAATTAATTTTGAGTGAGTCAATATTTCTCCCAACTTTGCAAGTGAGACTTTTTCCTGTGACAAATCTCACAAAAAAGTCCTAAGAAGACAAAAGTTCAAGCTGAAAAAAATTTGAAAGTTTTGTGAAGATACTTACTTGCTAAATTACTAATATTCCCACAGTTGAGGAAAAGATGAGGCCTAATGAAACTAATTAAAGAGCTTTTGGCGGCGAATGGAATAGGGGTGTACAGGTGCAAACTGGAAGCCCAGTAAATCTGTAATAGTAAGGAGCAAAATTTGATCAGTTGAACATAGAATTCAATCCAATCTAGGTCTAGTAAAATATGTGTTAAAATTGCTTTGCAGTTCAAAATTTTGATGATTCATTTAGTTCCCTAGAACTCAACTCATCAGCAAAGTCTAGATGTTTGATAAAGAGGTTTTTACAAGGGAACTTTTCATACCGTTCCTCATACTTTCTGATTTTGAAACTTTGATGTTTTATAGTTTTTCTTTCGATCTAACATATATTTCCTCTAATTATGACGAAAAATAGATAACACCAGGACCAAAAAACAATATTCCTTGCAAATCCTTTTCCTTTAAGTTTTGTGACCGGAAGGATCAAAAATAACTTTCCTGAATAACATATTACCATTTTCCTCATGGCGTAGATGATTTCATATAAAATTATTGGGTTATAATCTAAGAATTCACCGTTAGTGTTGTGCAACATTAAAACTGCTTGGTGGACAGACGTAAAGAATGAAGAGGAAGTTGTTACTTACAGGAGCTCCAAGAAAATAACCATCTACTTGTGGACCTATGCCGTCTTGCTGAAAACCTCGCAAAGTCAACGGACCACCCAAAAAGAATAGATCACATGGCTCTGCTTTATAATCTTTCCCAAAGTTGTGTATTAGTCCACATTTGAAGGATTGCTGCAATACCTGCAAAAAGAGAAGAGTATCAATATCAAAAAAAGGTTTAAGGTCCTTGTCTTGAAATTCTGGGACTGTCAATCTTGTCTTGAATTCTTAAAATTCTACTTTTTTTTATTTTTAGGAGCAAATTCCCTGAGAAAAACTCAGGATTTCTAGTCATGTTTAAAATTTTGTAAGTACATCAGAACTATGAAATGACCAGAGCTCTAGAGGAGAAGGATGGGATGCTCATTATGTATAAGGATTTGGCTTTGAGGCCAGAAAAAAAACATCTGAGGCGAGCCAACTTCGAGATGAGGATTCGGTCCAAAACCTTGATTATGAAAAAACTCCCAATAGAGGCATTGGCCACATCCGTTTTCATCTGAGGTTTTTTTTTCCTAATCAAATGACACTTCAATCTCTCATTGTAAATTAAAACAATGAAGCACAAGGAGGAAAAAAGGGTTCCTCCAACCCTTCAACCTTCGGTCAGGCTTACGATGATTCGGTGTGTATCTGTTTCTTTTCCAGAATTCCTCGACCAAGAAACTGAAATTCCTCATTTAAGGATGACTCAAGACTAAACCTTTCTTTCCAAGTTGGCTTGCCGGCAAGGATAGCACAAAGTCTCTTGGCGACAAACTCGCTTGCAGCTGAGGTTACACTGAGTTCTCTGCTCCAGAGTCCTCACAGTGACTGCTAATAGGGAGAAATGTCTTTATACTTACACACAAATTTAGAGGAAAAAAACCTACTTACATAATCAGAGACTAACGGGCAGTTAAATTGCAGTGACAACTCGTGCTTGAAGTGTTTGACATTACCGCCGAGCCCTGCAAATTCGTTGATCAGCTCGATGAGACTTCCATTAGTTGGGAGAACAGATGAATTCCTGGTATCTAATGATAAAATATGTCTTAAGGAGGATTTCAACGTGTAACCTGAGTGTTCTCGCACATCGAAAGGAACGCTTTTCGCTAGGACTGAGAGGTTACGGATCGTACCTTCCCACTGAAGAGTCTGCTTTCCCCATGGAGAGAAACTAGCCGATATTTCAGATGAGATACCTGGGAGAAAAAAGAATACAATATTTAGAAAATGTCCAACTTACAAAGAGAAAACTTTTTAGAAAAAACCGGTAGTGATATTTTGCTTGATTACCTTCTCTGGAACACTTAAAAAATTATTTGAGCCTGAATTCTCATTTACACAAGAGATCTACATCCTAGGTTCATAAGAGAGATTTGTGATTTTAAAAACAACTTATTACCTGATCTTAACAACCTTTCATGATGTATTCAGTCCATATACTAAATAGGTTTACAAACTTATAGAGTGCAATGGAGTAACAAACTTTTCGATTCTTGTGTATTTTCTATGTTGAAAGGAAAATGTCAGATAATCCCATTTCTTTCTAGAATTCGATAAATTTTGTTGAAGGGGTCAGAGCCAAAAAGAATTAATTGTGTACACTGCTCCTTTCTTCTTCATAAGTTGGCTGTGCTTAGTACAGTTGACAAGATGATTCTGTGTGCAACATATATCGACGGTGAAACTCCCAAATCGTGTGCCTCATTAGCGGTGTTCGAAAATCTTCTTTCTTAATTTATCTTTTTAAAGGAGAACAAATTAATGTCACTCCTTTAAATTTTTTCAGAATTTTCTTTGCACAGAGAAGGAAAGTCATAGATTTTTCAAGAATTGACGTTGAGCAGTTTTTCTTTTAGAAAATAAAGGTTGACAGATCTGTAATGTCACTAACAGAGATATGTGGTTTGAGCAGTTCACCATTGATATTTATTAAGGGCAATTGAGTTAATCGTGTCACAATATCTATGAATGAAGGGAAATTACGAACCTCTGGTCCTGCTTATACGATATAAGACGCTCATTTTTAGAAAAAATCACAGTCTTGGTTCACAGGAAACTTCATTCATGACCTAAAGTTAATTTTTTTTCTTTCCTTTTTAAATTATTTCTTACCTATTTTGATTGATTTCAAAGCGTGCAAAATAAATAGCTACCTTGTTCTAGTAGTTTGAAGCCAGCCATCGGCCGCTGGGAAATATTCTGAAATACTGATGCCTTGTAAATGGCACGATCAAAACTGTAGAGTGGTCTGAGGTATGAAACATGGAAAGATTTGGATTTATTCGACCCAATGCCAAATTCTGTGAAAACTCTATCCGCAATGCCCGTAAAATTAGGTAACTGTAGACCGACGACACAATTCAATTCGTTAAAAGTGAAAGAGCTGCTGATCCCGCCTTTAATTCGACTAGATTCTTGGACAAAGAAAGTCACCTGAAACACAAAAATTATTAGATATTAGTTTAAATTTTTGAAAAAAGAAAAAACACAAGGTGCAAAGTAACGAAATTAATTTGGTAATATTGAGCACAAATTTTTGGCACCTCTAGAATCCTGAAGGGTCCTTGTTTTTCAGATCTATCTTTCCCAGAACCGTTTCAATTTTTATCTCTCTGAGAAAAATTGAGTGATACCGATACACGGACATGACAATTGGATGAAAAGTAAAATGGAGCTGGCATCACCTTCAACTTTCAGAATATCATTGGCCAAAGCTGTATCCTCACAAACCAGAAGCTGACAGAAATTTCCGAATTCCTATGTTGAGTGTTATGATAATATCACACAGCAGCGGTAATTGAATCAAATTTTTTTGCGTTCGACTTTCCATTCAACTTTTTGTCCGATTTTGTCAGTTGAATAGTTAAACCATATGAGATGAGCTTTCCCTCTTGAATTCTTTTTTAATGCACCTTGTTTCATCATCAGAATTTCTCTTATTGTCTCTAGGAATAAAAACATAGACACAGAGAGATACATTACCACCTTAATGCGAAAAAGTTCATTAACCTCACCTCGTATCCATCCTCGACTGCATCAGGGCCTCTGCTTACATCAATTAAAACGCCAACCTTTTGAAAAATCCCAAGAGCCTCTAACTTATTTTTCACAGCTATTGACTGTTTGATTACCTTGAGAGAAAAAGAGAGGATTAAAAAATTGGAATAAAAGATGGAAAAGTAGTCAGGATATACTGGCACTGCAACATTTTAGTGATTGAATTTATTCCAGGATTGTCTTGCGGATTGAAAAATTAACCTCCTACACAAAAGATTCTGTTCACTACACATTGGAAATATTGACTTTGAAACTGTAAACAAGTAGCAAAAGCTACCTGCTGAGGGGGCGCCGCCCCCCCAGACCCCCCCTTTCAAATTATATATGTGAGACTTTGAGTATCATAGAAGTCGTGCGGCGACATGCCGAATGAAATGCCACAATTAAAATTATTGGATCAGATGATGAGCTGATAAAAGCCTTACCTAGTAATTTGGGAACATTTCTNTAGAGTCTATACGGCTTCGCCGCACGACTAAAAAGGCATGTCTTGATTGCAGTGAGTCAAATTCTCCAATCCTATTTTATTTTTTAAAAAGGGACCAAATCACTAAAATGACTTTAAGTTTTCACATAATATTCTTTAAGTACATAGAGAAAAAAAATTACGGAAGTTCTCAAGCACTGGTGTACGTGGTTTTGTACTTGGAAAATAAAGTATGATTGAAATTGAGGAGTTTTCCATTGAAAAGATGAAGGAAGACAGGAAGTCTGAAACGTTGCTAACCAAGATACATGGTCTAGTAGTTTTCATCAATATTTAATAGCAAAGCCATGAGAGCTAAATGGAATACATTTTGCGATTAGGAACTATGATCTCTGGTTCATTTTAGAAACCACATATATGTGGGTTAGTTTCCCTATGTAGATAGGTGTTATTATCTATGCACCAGAAATTGTACTTCCTTATTACAGGATGAAATCCAAATAAATCTGAATTGATTTAACCGGAATAATACATTTTCGCATTGCCTAATTTCCGCTCAAGTTCTATTTGGACAGTATTTTGCAATTAGGAAATACAATTTCAGTGCATTTAAGTGCATAGGAAAACTAACTGCACACGCATCGTTTATAAACTGAGCCGACATTGTAGTTCCAAATTGCAAAATACAGTCTATTTCATCAACAGAGTACCAAACAACATAATGCCTTGAAACATTCTTAAAATTTCTCCTCCGCAATTATGAATATACTAACAAATTTCAAGTCAGAACTGTTACAACTGCAGCTGCGGTTAAACTGTTGCTACTTCACTGTTAAAAAAATAGAACATGAGAGAAAATTATAGAGTGCCTGACGTAGTTAGGTAGATTCTTAATGAATCCGTCCAGTTTATTTTACAAAATTGCATTCAGAATACTTACATCAGCAAAATTCTTTGCTTCTAGTACATCTTTCAATTGATCGTGAATGACAAAATCTTTTGTTCGCCGAACTCCATCAACGACAACTTTTTGCACAAAAGCCTGGAAAAAGGATAAAATTAATTACAAAATAGAAGAAATAGATTAACCTCTTTGGAAAATTGAGGGGCTTGGAGGACAAGGCGCATCAGTGCAGTTTTGGAAAAAATTAAGATATTATTGATTTCAAGTAAACCAAGTTTTGTTGCATTTACTGTGAAAATTCGCTCCCAAATTCCAATTTTAAAGCATCAAGTCAGTTTGTACTGTCTTTCCGCCGTAAGGATCCATGTGATTTCGAAACTTCAAACATGTGTGGCTCAAAATAGGAAAACCTGCACTTGTGCGCCTTGTCCTCCAAGCCCCTCGATTGATAGTTGTGATGGGCAGTTTTAGCAGAAGAAAGAGGGAAACTTTACTTAAATTCGTTTTCACAAATAAGTTGTGGTGCTTGACCATACCCTCCATCTGACGATAAATTTCCTCTTTTCTCTGTTGCGCCTTTTTCTCCTATTGGAGAACTTCAAAAAAGCTATGGCTGCAAATGGCAAAACAGAATTGACCTTGCCTATTCTCAAAGATGTTTAAAACTCGACACCTCTACTTTTAAGTATGGTCCACTAAGTAGGCCAATTCCACCATGTGAAAATACTTAGTTTGTAATTATTTATCATTTTTACCAGGATTTACGTCACTTATTTTTCAGACTGTTTCAACATGTATTTTATGAAGTGCAATCAGCTCAAATTAAAATGTCATGGCAGACAAGCGCAATAATCTTTCAAAACTTACCCCGACTTTGCTCCAATCGGTATCATCCTCAGTTTCTGTTTCCACAACTGGGATCTGAAAATAGAAATTTAAATGAGTGCTTGAAGTTGTTGAGTGCCCTTATATGTAGAATAAAAAGCTAAAAATTAACCTGAAACAACCAAGCTTTTAAACTTGATTGTAAGTATGAAAATTGTCCTGGTAACCGCAGAAGTATGCAGAGGTAAGAGCAGCCACTGAACTTGATGCAACAAAACAAATATCCTTGTCAAACAGCAGATATTGTGAGAAAAAAATCACTGTGGAAATAAGAGGAAGGCTGATGCACTTAGAAGGTTCAAAGATACTTAATTCGTAGTTATTGGTGCCATGGAATCTGTAAGGTTGACGGTAACCTTGACATATTCATGACAAATAGCTTCTGCAGCATGTTGAGGATAAATTTATACACTGCTGCTATAAAGATTTCGTAAGTGAAAAACTTGAGGAAAGGACTGGAACTCCACACTGGGCCGAAACACTTACATGGAATGGGACGGGTCTTAAAATTTAAACAGCTCTTCCTTTTTATTGGTTAAAATCTTCAGTTATCATCACACACATGAAGCTGGTGGATGTGCTTCACGAATTTTCTACAGTTATACGTTTTCTACGTATTAAAAAGGTTAATTAAGCTGGACTCAATGTGCTGTAACTTAGAACGCTTTGACATTCCTGCGAGTACAGTGCAGCAGAGACCGCACCTTCATTCGGACGGCTGTGAAACGCACATGTTCAGATGAGAGGTGCACTGATTTTACTTGGAGGGTATGTAAACAGGGCCATGAGTGAAAACTTGAAAGGTCGAAGATTCAATATTACGTATGCCAAAAAACTCGGTTCTTTAGAGTGATGAAATAATAGCTTCCAATAAGGAAACGTTGATTGAGACTGAACAAACCTTGGTGAATCTGCCTCCCATTTCACAGAGGAAGAAACGAAATATACATCAAACAAACATCATTTTCAAACGTTACAATTTCCGAAAACAGCACTTTTACTGGACTGCGTGAACTTTATCGTGAACTACTTTTAATTTTGACACCATCAGCGCATGGCACAAGAAAACTTTTAGAGAACGCATGTGTACCCAACCAATACCATATCCACGTTGCCAAGTTACTGCATCAATCAAAAATATATTTATTTGTGTTTTTGAGGTTTGTGAAGAATCTATCATTGATTATTATGGGCCAAACATTAATTTTGAAATTTAAAGGATTCTAATTTTGTTGCTACCTGTATTCAATTGGTAAGGTTATTAAATTTTGTTAATAGGTTTGCTGGTTCTGAACCGACAACGGTGTAATTCGCGATCGATGGCAACGTTGAATTTGGCGTTAAGGTTATGTTTACATTCATAAAAAGTGTTTTTATCGGCTTTTCTGTTTTCTCATTTTTCTTATATTTCAGTAAATCAATCCAAGTTTTGATTTCGCTAATCTGTTGAAGAAGTGCCATCGAATTCCTGCATTTTAGTAGTTTTAATTCTTCAAGGAATTTATAGTTTTATCCACTAGGTTCAAGAATTTTGGTGGCGACACGGATTAGATTTTCACCATGGTTAATGCGCCAGATTATGAAAGCGTCATTAAAAAGTTAGAAAATGAGGAATTAAACGTAAGTCCATCTTCTCGTATCTTTCTACTGTTCAATGAGCGTTGCTTAGCTCACAGTTTCACAACATCACTCTTGTTTTACAACTTAAATGTTGATTTTTGTGAGGCGATATTCCAGCCTTTACAAGGCGGAAAGCCAACAGGAAAAGCATATTCTTGAGTTAACATCCTGACAGAACCCATTTGAGTAGTAGATGACAGCTCCTTCTTAGGAGTGCAATAATTTCCCCACTGCCAGGTTGTGAGCTTTGCTGGTATGCATTAGCTTGAAAATTGCATTATATCTGCAAAATTTCTGATATCAGTAAGCTATTTATACCCTTATTGAAAGGTGATCAATCTGAAAAATCACTGCGTTTTTCAATCTCAGCCCAATTCTTGCTGCTTCCCGGCTTTTATAGTGCTGCTATGCAGAATTGGCTCCTATGTTTTGGATTTACTGTTTTTTCATCTATGAAATGCAATGGATTGGGTTCTCTACGTTTCAGCTGACCAACCTTCGAATAGCGATCCAAGCATCTTACTGGAATGCAAGGATCGAACTGGACCAGTGCAGTTGATTGGAATCAAAAAGTCATAAGGCTCATTGCGATTCGAATAAAAGGAAAGCCATTTTTTACATTCCCTATTTCTATTTCAATTTCTTTTTCATTCAAATAAAGCTGATGTTCAGCCTATCCCAAAGTAGAGTCCCTTTATACCCAGAGTTAAGACAACTCGATTATCAGCTGACTGGCAGCCGGCCTTGGCTGGCCATGGAGGCCGAAACGAGTGCACCCAAACGAACGATATTGAGGGATAAGGATCAGGAATCCTGCGATGTCTGTCACACAAAAACAACAACATCAACAAATTGATCAATTAAAAAGAAAATGAGATTGATTTATGAATAATTTCTTAATCTATTCTCATTTTGGACCGATGGAAATGACAATTTACTCTTGATAAACCACAATTAGGTAATATTTTCATTATTCTTGTTCACATTCGAGGTACCGCCATCTTGGTGCACTCGTTTCGGCCTCCATGAGCGAGAACCAATCAGAATTGGATTTTTTTTTAGGCCACTTTCAGCCCAACCAAAAGTGAGTTGTCTTAACTCTGGGTATAAAGGGACTCTATCCCAAAGTAGATTATGCACTTGGAGAGAGGGAGTGCTGTAGAAGATCAGCTGTCTCCAGTTTAGGATTAAAAGTAAATAAATGAAGCAAGATGGTGGATTGTCGGAGTCGTGCTCTAAAAGTTGGCAAACTTATTTGATATTGACTCTAGATTGATACAATATCCAACAACTTGATGAGATGAAGCACCCCACCTTCTCTTGTGAGTGAAGTGAGTTTTGTTCACAATAATGAATATCCTCTTTTTGGAATTTTAATTATTCAATCTATTTGATTTTTTTTCACAGACAACTGTCGGACCTGTTCCTTGTCCTGTCTACTCAAAATTACTGGCTTTATATGTACAACAAAATGACCTGTGAGTTCTGCAAATTTGTATCACATCTTTGTGACAAGTTTTTTTAAAAATAATTTAACTTCCTAAAATATCTTAGTTTACGTCCTTTTTTGATCTGTCCCCAACCTTTCATAAACTTTTGATTGCTAAGCATGCTCTACAATGTAATAAGATCATGTTTTATTTTTTTCTTGATTACTTGCAAAAATTCTTCGATTAAGTAGGTATTATATTTTTTCGTTTCGTTGAATTTGAAATTCGTTGGAAGATTAGTAATTTTGTTCTCTCTTCCATCTACTTACCTTTTTTTTTATTTAAATAATGATCATTAGTAAATTTAAATGATACAGAATTAGATCTGTCTAAAAGGGTTTAGGTATTGAATGTCTTGTAGACTGCCTCCTGCAATGTCTGATGTAGTCAAGCTGATTTTGACTAAGTAATGTTGTCCATTTCATCCCGAGACATTTTTTTTTTCAGATGTAATGCAAAATTCTTATGGAAGAGAATCCCTGATAGCGTCAAACAGTCCAACCCAGAGCTAAAAAGTATATGGAATGTAGGTGTTCAATTATGGAATAGAAATTTTACGGATGCATATGCAGCCTTGAATGTTGAGTGGTCACCAGAAATAGCGCCAATAATGCAGAATTTACAACGTAAGTATTTGATTTTGCAGTAAATGTGAAAAATCACAATCAGTTGAATCTGATGAAACTAGTAAGATCAGAAAACCGCATTTATCTTCGGTAGGTATGCAAAATGTTACAGTTAACATATAACTGACATTAGGTAATATTGACAATCATGGGTTCCGGAGGGTTCTTTTACACCTCATAATGCTCAGGAATGTTTTAATCCTGCCTTGAAATTCTACAAATATCTCACCGATAATAGAGAATGTGGTCATAATTTCAAGCCAGAGTGTTGCTTTGTTTCATGTTAAAAAGATAAAACATAAGGAATCATGACTGATTACATTTAAGACTGTATACTTGACAGATAGATCCAAATATTTGATCTTTTGAGGGAACCTAAGGATCCACTAAGAGTCAAAAGTTAGCTCAAAATTTTTTTAATGTTTGGCCTTGTTTTTCCTGCAAAATAGTGGGCCCAGCACTATTGTAACACCTTGTTACATACAGTTTGAGCAAAGTTTCTTGGTGTTTTTTTCTTGCCTAAGAATTTAGACATTTTTCGCTTTTGTTTCATTGTCTTTGATTTGGACTTCATTTTTTCCCACTAGATGAAATTCGAGCTAGAGTCATCAAGGTTGTTTCCTTAGCATACTCAACTATGGATTTAGAGGCTTTTGCCAAATCACTGAACTATTCTGTTGAAGAGGCCACTCGAGTGGCGCAAGAACACAAGTGGGAAATCATTGACACGCCATCGGGGAAGATGGTCTGTCCTGTACGGCCACCGTATTCATACGCACAAGTCACGTCCAACGAAGACCAGCTGGCCAAACTAACAGAATTTGTTTCGTTCCTTGAAAACTAATCTTGTAAATGAGGTTCTTTTTTTATATGCTATACATTTTAAGTGTATTTATGTCTTTCTTTCCCTTCCCTTTCTCTTTGTAAAATAAATGTGTCGAATCTTAATTCCGAAGCGGTTTTATCTTTCTGTTAATAAAACAATCCTACAGATAACGGCGTTTTGGTGGATTTTGGTTTAATGCTTTGTCACACTCCTTGAACCTTAAATGACTTTCATAAAAGAATTTTCCTTCTGCCAGTTTGAAGGAAGTAGTTAAAACAGTAAATTTCTCAGTACGATTTTTGATATTCTCTAATAGAAATCTGTTAAAGCCTACATTTTTTTCTTTTTGAGTGTGGGTGTGCATGTATGTGTGCGAGTGTTGCACGAGATAGCCTTTGAATGTCTGAGGAAACATCTTGATTAGTAGAAACGTTTTACTAAAGAAAAACGAGAAACTGCACAAGAATAATTCTGAAGCAGAAAAAAAAAAGATAAGAAGATATTTGTGAAACATGGTAGGAGAAATTACTGAACTATGTACATATTTCCTGCTTTGTTTAGTTATCTTCCATGAACCAAACAGGCATCACCTTTTCACATTTGAGATTTTGCTGCAGGTCCCAATGATTCATTTTGTGGGGCCTGATTGAAAATTTGAGCTCAAGAGTTTTAAAGAACATCATATCAAAAAATATGGAAAGGATCAAGTGCTAAATCGAATTGTATTGTGTAATTTAATTTCTATCTCCGTCGAATGCACAAGACTTAGCCTAACATTTAAATGGCTTGTTACGTTTCACAAAGGGAGTCTTCTCAACAGCTAAAGGCCCAAATTTGAAGATGCTTCTTCAAAATTACTCAGCGTGACAACTCATTGAAACTTGTTTGGGTGCATCTAGAAATTTGGATGCACGCAAGTAAAACCTCAAGAGGTATCAAGTTGCTGCAATTTTGAGGTGCAGCTTCAAATTTTGGCCCGTGTCTCTTTCCATGCAGATAACTACGTCAAATTCAAATTATCTGGGTAAATCAATAATACATTTGAGAATCAAACCATAAGTTTTCTCATTTTTAATTCAAATCAAAAGTATAAAAAGACATGCAAAAATTATCAAATATAAAGATCATTAAAAAACTTACGATTAGGACTTAAAATACAATCACTGATAAACTCACAAAAGTAAAAGAAATTAGTTACAACCTTGGAAAAAACACAGCCTTGAGAATGGGGGATTTTTTCATGTGTGTTGTTCATAAAGTGAGGCCGTGAAGGTGCATGACAATTTACAACTCTCCACATAAACCTGCAAACCTCTGTGAGACTAAGCAGAGACTAATTTATGGTAAAAACATATCCTCTGTCAGGAAACCAGTTCCTACTGAGGAAAACTAGTTAATTGAAGTAGGCATTCGTTTTAAGTTCCTTGGATAACTTTGGTCAAAGTTTCTGAGAGGTTAGCTTGCTGCTACAAATATTCATGTTGGATTCGGTTTATTTTTTAGAGAACAAATTTCGATGAAACCTATGGTTTAAAACAGAACCATTTTGTCCCCAAACTGCAAGATTCTTTTTCTCACACATTATCAAAAATCCAGTCTCCATTTTGCTTGATTTAGCTAAATGGAATTAAGTTGGCGTTTCTAAAGGTTGCAATAATTTCAGTCTGCTCAAAAACACAATTTTATAGTCACAAAATAACAGAACTTGAAGGAACACTGCATGGCAGTGAAATTGGACATTAAAGATTTCAATTTGAAACAGGCTTCAAGTCAAAAACTAGACATGATTAGAATAATTTCCAACAGATGAGATATGATCGGGGTTATTTACAGCACTTAAAATATCATTGACTTCGAGGGCGATTTGCGAGAAAGTTGGTCTGTCTTTGGGACTCCTTGACCAACATTTATGCAAAAGAATGACTAGATTTGAAGGCATTGATTTGTGGTGTTTCCACTTCAGTTCACCGCTTTCAAGGTTTTTCAACACCTCTTCATCAGACAGCCGCGAAAATGGAACATCTCCTTTCGTGAACATTTCCCAAACCAGGCAGGCGTAGGAGTATGTGTCTGACTTCATTGAATAATCTGACTCAAAGACAGCTTCTGGAGGCATCCATCTTAGAGGTATTAGCTGGAAGTGAAATAAAACGACATTTGACAATTAGCAAATCTAAGAGAAACAATCTCAAAGCTCCACTCCTCAAAAAGGAATTAAAAATTATTTCAAGATTGCATCAACTATTAAAAGAGGCGGATACTGACAGAAATTTTCGTTTTTATATTTATTTTAGCGGAGTATTTTCCCAAATTGACATGGGAACAAAAAAAATTGATTAATAGCTATACGCAAGAAACAATGAGGGTGATTGTCTTGACTGGGATTTATTTATTGTGGGACTGTATAATTTGATGGTTGGGGTAGTAAAACTTAGTACCAATAAGACCGTGTTTACTTAAAAAGTTATTGCAGTTAATATAAGATCATCCACAAGAAAAGGACAATCGTTCAGAAAATCCCCAAATAAGGGTATTAGTATCCTTTGTGCTGAGAAAAATTTAGTGAAATTTGGTAGAAAAAAAAAAAAAAACCTTCGGTAGGTCTATCTTGAGAGAAGTCATCACCATTTTTGAAGTTTGTGATGGAAAACACAAGGTTTGGTAAAAAAAAAAGCAATTAGAGAGTGTGAGATCATGATGCAACATTATGCGCCCTACTTGTATAAAAATGAACTTCGAATGAAAAAAGTGCTTGCAACTTATACGCTGAATAACTAAATAGTTGTGTTTCAGTCTTTAACTTTAATTCAAATTCATTCACAAAACTTGACAAAAAACTCTCTCAAAAAAATTCTGGACATGGATCCCTTTGAGGGTCACAAATCAATGGGTGGCCAGATAGGCCAAAGTGATGTAACAAAAAACTGGCGACTCACCTGATTATGAAATTTGAAATACTCAGACGAGTATGTGTCTACTGATAAGGAAGAGAGCGAGATTTTTACAGAGAGATTCGAGACGATCAAACAATTTCTAGCTGCGAGATCTTTGTGAAGCAGTCGGTGATTTGTCAGGTGCTCCATTCCCAAAGCTACTTGATGGGCCATGGACAATATTTGCGGAACACTCAGAGGTGGCGGCCGAGGTTTCCCAGCAGTAGGGTGGTCTTTGCGGGTCGCCAGTAAGAATTGCTTCAAGTCCCCCTAAAGGAAAAAAATAAACAAATTAATAAGCTACAGGATGATTACAAAGTAATTTCAGAAAAGAGCAATTGATAGATTCAGGGAGAGTAAAGAGGTTGATCGTTTAACTCAGTTCATATGAAAAACGGAAAAAGTGGTACAACCCCTAATAGACCCATATAGAGCGCTGGAAATGAGTGGGAAAACGATAAATATACTTTGCTTTCAGTTGTACGAAGATAACTTAATTCAACTTTGAATCTTCTTTGATCCAGTTTGGTTTAATGTTTTTCCCCAGTTTTGCTGCTAAGCAGATTCACGGATATTTAAATTCCGAGTTTTTGGACACACGTACTAATATTTTACAGCCTTGCGTTCAAAAGTGTTCCAATAAATAGAAGGAAAGATTTGAAATGTTGCTATGCTTTTTCTCACCCAATCAGTATATTCGAGCAGCATGTAATGAGGCTCTGCATCCCGGCATAATCCATAAAGTTTTACTATATTCTCATGGTTCAAGCGACTGAAGAGATCCAACTCTCGTGTGAACTCTTGGAGAGCAATTTCTTCCCGAGTATTCTTAAGTGCTTTCACCATTACAACCATGTCACCCTGCTCGTCTATCAGACCATGTGCTTGCGCCAGATAAACCTCGCCAAACTGTCCGTTTCCTAGGGTGGGCAGTAAGAAAATTAGAATTTGCTGAGATGAAACATACAGGAAGAATGGGAACTATTGATAACATGAGATACACACAGAGGGGTGCTAAAAGAAATTAATTCCTGGAGGGTTTTGATAGAAGACCATGTTTTGCCATGCTGTCAAGATTATGATATTTGCTGTTAAATATCATCACAGATAATTAGGATCATTAAGGAAGCCATGTAAATTTATTTTTAAACAAATGATCAACCTATGTGTCTGAAAGAAAAAAATTCTGTCCATCTTTGAAATTAAAATGTGTACAATGAGAGGAAAAAAGGTGATGAAAAAGCAAGGATTTTAGGAAATCAAACAATGGGAATTCTTTCAGGATTAAGGAAAAAGTGTGGAAATGGTGATTGGAAGGCAAGGATTTTGGACATGATGAACCAGTGGACACTCTAGCCTAGCAACAATGATACAACAACCAAAACTTGAGAAAATGCCCAACTTTCAACACATTGATCTACAGGATGCGGGCTAGATGTTTTTAAAATAATTTCAAACTTACCTAGAAGCATCATATTGTGCAAATCTTTGCGGAGAAAGTCTGTTCTTCCACACCCATTGCGGCTCCGTCTAGACTGACCAGACCCTTGCGATTGGGTAGTATTTTCACCATCACTCCTGCCACTGATTATTTCTCCGTTCCGATGCTTGTCTCTCAATTCCAGACCATCATTTTTCCCAACTGTAAGAGAAAATTTTCACAATTGATGTGAAATTGAGGATTCAATTATGTGTTGATAATCTGTCTACTAGTGTTTTGCGCAAGTTTTAATTTCTTCGGTTCAAGTTTTATTTTTCTTCTTTGGGAGCTTCAACGAACTTGAAATTTTATTGATCCATTTAATCCTTAAGACTGCCTTTTGACAATATAAAATGTAGTTTTTGCGATAGTATAAACTATGTTAACAGAAACTTAAGTTTGATTTAAAGCTATAAAAGGCAGTAATTTTGAAAGATAATTTTTATTCTATCATTTTTTGAAGAGTGAATTTATTGAAAATTAATTTTTAACACCTCAAAGAATATGAGAAATGCTATTGGTTGTAAGGTGTTAACCTTCCAAAAATCATTGCTCGTAGAATGAGAAATTTTGCTAAACATATAACTTTTTGAAGAGTCGCTATATTCACAAAAGTAGTCTCGGTGCGGTTCAGTGACTGAGCGTACCTTAGAAAGCAATAAAATGAGTAGAGTGAAATTTTTCTTTCTATCAGAATACGATTTTTTATAACTGATTGAAATCAATTGATACAGAGTTCAAAGATGTCCAAATTTCTAAATCTCACGAAGTCTCACAAGAGATTTTAACAACTGTCCAATTTTGTGAGATTCCTTTCCAAGAACCAAAGCATAAGAGATTCAACTTACGCAGAGAATGAACCGGTTCTACTCCAGCATTGAGGGCCATCTTCCTTCGACGTCTTCGCAATCTACACCAAGCAGTGAGTCCGATGACCAAAAACATGTATGATCCTGCCGCACTGAGAGTTACAATAACTGTACGTGTCAGCATGAAGTCATCGCCAGAATCCATCCAACCATCTGGCCCAGGGTGGTAGCCCTCACCTAGTGAAGGAAATTATCATGGTTAACAGAGATACAAATTTATAACATAAAAACGATTGGAAGCATGTTGAATGATGGATCTATCAATGCATGAATGCTCGACATTTACTAATCCTAGATTTACAGAGATGAGAATTTGTGTTATCTTGCCGCAAAAAAAAAAGAAAAAGAAAAAAAAACCAAATTATTTTAACAAAGGGATTTTCATAAAGTTCAACAAAAATTCTCGTCTTCAGCAAATACATTCACACACATCCCAAAGTTGTGAGCTGTATAGTTCTTTTTTGTACCATATAAGGCATGAATAATATTTTATTCTAGCAATTTTCAGCCTGTAACAAGGTATACTAAAACCTAACATAGTTTTCTTTCAAAAAGAGTATTAATATACTGTAATCTCATATTTGATACTATTTAGGACTGTTATGAAATTTTTGGGCTTTTTTTGTGCAAAACTGTTGGTAAATCATTCGTTCAGGCAGGAGTGCCAATAGATCAATTCTGAGGGATTTAGGATCTAAAGCCGAATAAATTTACACACTTCTAGACTGCAACAGAGGATCGTCTGATGTCATTTTTGCATGGGGCGTAAATGCAAGAACCAAGATGGTGAATCTTCAGTCACAGTCTAAAAAAGCATCAACTTTGTTGGTGTGAACTCAATATGATCCTTTTTCATATAAATAACCACAAGTGTACTAAAATGTTTCCCGTAAGGAAAATTGTTCTTATACAGCATAAAATTATAAAATAATACTAAAAAATAAGCCAACTCTATTTAAAGAAAAACGTGTATCATGGTGTGATAATTTTTACTCTTTTCTTTCAGAGGTGTTTCTGTGGTTTCAATTTTAGCCATTCAGCAGATCTTTGAGAAAAAATAGTTCCTAGGATTAAAATGGCAAGTTAAACAGAAAAAGTACAAAGAGTGAATCAGACAATGCATACTAACTTATCACATTGAGGAAAACCTCCGATCGGTTAAACCCTCCGCTGTTCCCAGCAGTGCAGCCATATTTGCCTTCATCGTTTAAATGAACTTCAGTGATTAAAAGAGAGCCATTCTCTAAAATGAGAAACCTGGAACGATCAAAGTGCTCTTGAGTGATCGTGTTTTTGTCCCACTGTATAGTTGGTTTTGGATAGCCGTCCGCAACACAGTCAATTGTAATGGAATACCCTTCTAAAGCTTGAGTAGGATTTTTTGCAATTGCCAGGAATTTTGGTGAGACTGTAAAAAAAGGGAAAAGGCATTAAAAACAAGATGGAAAAAACTTGAAGGGACACTTAAAGTAAACACTATCTTTTGAGATACATCCACAGATCAAAACCCATCTTTTTGAGAATGTCCTATCTGTTTTTTCTAAACATTTACAATTCATCAGTCATGGAACAAATTTCTATTTATGACGGATTTCTACTTCTTCTGCTGATAATGGTCGATGGACTCTTCAAAATGTTTAAATTTATCATTTCTAACAAGTTCAATAGTGAAGTCAGAGAAAGAGTGAGAGTGAGAATACTATTTTCAAAATGACTGATTAAACTGTCAAGTATAAACGATTCAGAAGTTTTTGAACTAAAAATATCTGAATAATTTTTAACAAGAAAAAAATCTAAGAGTCTCAGAAATTCTTCAGTCAAAACAAGTCTGGACGGCTCAAGGGTGTCTGAACTAAAAACCCCATCTTTTCATAGCCTCTTTTTCTGCTTTCTGATCCTTTTCGAATTTGCTTACTATTGCAGATGAGAGAATTGAATCGTAAGTTTTTTAATCATATTTGGATTGCGCACAATTTTTTAATTGAAGAAATTTTACATTGTATGTAATCCAAAATTTGTTTGTAATAAAACACATACAGGATTTTTACACATCGATTATTGCACAATTGTATCATTGGACCACTTATCATGAGGTTCAAATAGACGGCTCGTTTGGAGAAGAGCATAATTGCAGAAGGGCATCTATCATATTAGGGCCCTTTTGCATGTTAACTTTTTAAAAAGAGAACAAACAAAATACTCACCAACTACATCGACATCGATTGTTACATTGATTCGACCTTGAGAATTGGAGGCAACACACATGTATTGGCCTTGGTCGTCCAGTGTCACATTCTTAAAGACCAGAGTTCCATTCTCAGCTTTCACCGGCACATTAGACTTGCCAACCTGAGAAACAAAGATAAAATTGAAATAATTAAAACAGTACAAAAGAACTGAAACAGCAAAAAAATTCCTGTGAATTCTGAGCAGTAGTATTTTAAACTGCACGGAGGACTATAATGTCACTAGTTTTAGTTCTCTTGCGGACCCCAGCTGTCAATTCAGGCCCAAAAGAGGTTTAAGAGATGGTCACCGGCTTTTAGGAGTATGAACTACTCATGGGAACGGTAGGTTGGGCTCTTAGTGTTAGTGGAAGCAATAAATCTAGAAGAGCCCACTCAAAATTCCAACGTTAGTCCTTCACGTTGAGGGTTGAGTCATCTGGCTAATTCCCCAATACTAGTGAAGCTGTGGACCTCTATTGGTTACGCTTTTCATTGATTAAAATATGATTTTTTTTACCACCACAACCTTTTTCAATTTATTATCAAATTAACGGCTATGTAGTTTCTTAATGACCAATGGTGCATATGTTGTAGTTAAGACAAAACTTTGAAAAAAAAAAATAAAATATGAAATTCCTTACCTTGAACCATTTGACCACAGGTGTGTCATAGCCTTGCGCACGGCACTGAATTTTGCTACCTTGACCTAATTCCATTATTTTTTTGCTGGGTTTTGGGTTAAACTTTAACCTCTCTGTAACAATGTAAAAAGTGTTAATGATTATTATTGTAAAGATTAGTGCAAAGACACAATAGAACAAAGGAAAAATGTCAACGGACTCGCCAGGATTCTTAAGGATACCTTTGGGTATTAACATTTTAACCGAGATAAACTAAAAAAAGAAATGCAATAAATACAAGTTGTCTTGCTACTGGACATGGTGTTCCAAGAAAGGGTAGACAAAAGTATTATTATTTATTAGTGCTACAAAAATGTTTGATTAAAACTATTTTAATTCAAGATACCTTTCAGAGATAATATTGGATCATCTGGGAGGTTTAAAATCTCATAAACTTCATAAGACAGAAGCCCTAAAAATTCTGCCTGCTCTCTCTTTAGCTTCCAACACAAATGCCTGGTTTTATCTTGGATTTTTCCCTTAGTCTCCAACTGATATCAATAATTAATACATAGAATATTTAAAAAAAATAATAATACCTTGAACGTAGAGATGGGCTGGTTTTGACTTGACAAGGGGATACACTGTGCTGTTGATGACACAAACGTATTCTCCTTTATCGCTAACATGGACATTGTGGATTGTCAATGAACCATTATCAGATATATTGAAGCGGGGAATGTCTGAGGAGATTGGAGCCGAATTGTGAAGCCAGTAGACAGTTGTGACTGGTGGAGGCGTCGCTGTATGTCCACAGATGAAAAGAGCCGTAGAGCCCTCGTCCACAGCAGCTGGTGACGGATTCAACTGGATACTTGGCGGCTCTGATGAGGTTGAAAATGGGGGAAAAAATGAAAGCGTCAAGTAAGAACATGTGTGGGTAAGAGATGAATGAAAAACATTGTAAAATGAGGCTGTCCCAGTTTTCAGAGTTGCCACAAAATTTAGAGAATGAATTTCTCCGAGACATTTTGGTAAAATTCCCTGGTAAGTGAGGATATGATAGATAGTTAAAAATAATTTGGAAAAGTTACTAGTACCATACACAATCAAAAGTTTCATGCCATTTTACCCCCAAAAAGTCCGTTCACATGGCTGTATCTCTATCGTGCAACAGACCCAGGATAGAAAGAGAAGAGACCCAAAGAAATAATAGATAACGTTAACTTGATAATTTTAATTCATTTCATTTTGTTTGATTAGATTTGGTTAAAAAACAACTAATCTTTGAGAAGATGTATCAGGTTATGAGGAAATATAAAAGAGTTTAGATGTTTTTCTCTTATCTCAAAGAAAATTAAAAGCGAACACTGATTGTCACAAGAAGTAAAATACTTACTTGCAACAATTAACTTGAAAGACGTCTGTTTCTTATCGGCAATATTTTCTGCTGAACACACATAAGTGCCTGTGTGCTGATTGACCTGAGCTTTCTTAATGAAAAGTGTTTGATTTGTGATGGTGATACTTGCGCTTGATTGTAAACTTTTGCCATTAACATCCTGCCACATCACCGTTGGTTTAGGAAGGCCGAAAGGAGGCGAACAGGTTATTTGGAAACTCTCTCCTTCCGGAATTATGACAGGTTCATCACTTTCCAGATTAAGTGTGGATTGATTCATGTTGTGAAGAACTGAAAAAAGTTTCGGAATTTAATTATACAAAATAATATTGCTGAAGATATTCTCTTACTTATAAACGGATGGGTAATAAGGAATACTAATTAAAGTTTAGGCCAAAGTTCAATCAGAAAAAAACCAAAAAGTTTGGCTGTACAGTTTATCATGTGTTTTTTTGAAAGTTGCAATGAGAATTCCGGTTCTTTTTTCTGTTTTCTCTTTTCTTTTATACAGTTACAGTAAAATGTGCAGGTTCAGTATAGAATTGGACCAAACTTCGCCTGTTTTTTGCAGGATTGTAGCAATTTGTGATTAAAAGACTAAGAAGAGATGATAGCTCTGGAAATTTGGAGGAAATCAGGAATTTTTAAAATGATAATGCCAGTTTGAAAAATGGCAAGACTTAAACTTTCTGAGATCCTTGACTATAATATTGACTGCGATCATTTGAAAATAGAGGTCCTTGGAACAAAAATTATACACATCCAAAAACAGAGCAGCTTTGTCTAAATAAAGTAATCAATTTGGGAAAAAATTCAACAAATTACTTACAAGCGATTTCTAATTGAGCAGTGTACTTCTGTGGCACCTCCAGGGATTCCTCTCTAATACCAACACAACCGTATAGTCCCTCGTTTTTTGATGACATTTTATGAATGAGGAGGGTGTTGTTTGGATAGATTGTCAACCTGAAACGAGAAATAAATTAATACCTGTGAAGAAAAGGATACTCAAGTGAAATTGATGCTGCTAAAAAGCTACTAAATACAAGGCTATGCAAAATCTTCGCACCAGATCGTTAGATGAAATTCAGTTTGGAAAAACACTGCGATGCAGCATTTTAAAGTTTTATTGGCATTTCTTTATTTCCAGCGGAAACCAGTGCAAAATGCCTTTGAATTACAACTTTACAAACAACTCGAAAATTTTGGATGAAAGTTAAAGGGTAACTCAAATTTTCTCCACTCATAGACTGGTATAGAAGTAGGACAATTTTATCAAAATAGAAAAAAATTGACTCATATTGCTGACACATTGATCATCTTAAATAAACTGCCACTTTGATAAAGAACACAGTTCAGCATTTGAATGATGTAAATGTTCCTTCATAGAACATTAATTTTCGAGAAAAAGTGTGAACATTTTGTCTAAAACACTCGAGCTAGGCTGAATTGAATTACAAATCAAATTATCTGAAGAATAAGAAAAGAAAGTAGAGATCAAAATCTCAAAGTTTCATAAGATAATTCTTGCTTTAATAGAGGAAATATGGCAGTGTGCATTCAGAGGTTCATAGAGTTCTCTCTCAGCAAATAGAGTAGATGCACAATACTGCAAGATACAGAATAGTGAGCTGTTTACTTCAGTTGGCAGGCACTTCATTTGAGGCTGACATTAAACTTGACTCAGTCATTACTTGGTTTGATAAACAGCCGACCAGATATCTGAATTGAGACAGGACTCAATCCTTAAATCAAGGCTCTGGAGTCAGCGGGGCTGGAGAGTAACGAAATCATAAAACTAGAATTTACGGCTTCATGGGGAAAAAGTATGTGTGCACTTAAGTAAACACTTCTTTAATTATCCTCCGTTTTGTCTTAACACCCATCAAATGTTTATTTACTTTCACCATCCCCTCCCCCTCTGCAACTACTGTCAAGCTTTTCCTCATCCACTTCTCAACTTCAAACACTAAACTTTTGAGCTGGAACCTAAACTATACGAAACAAAAAATTAGTTCTTCATACATGTGAAAGAAACGTGTAAAAATTTCCTTTAAATTATGTTCCCAAACTTTCTGAGTAAGTGTCAGAGCTCGCTCTCAAACACTCCACCCTACTGCGATTCTGCTAACAAATAAATTAAATGGTACAAAACTTACTCTGATGAATTTTTGAGGGGACCAGTCTCTTTGAAATACCATTCTGTGACGTCGGCCATGTCATACAAACAATCTAGCGATGCCGGGGCATCTTTGCGAATGTACGTGTCTTGGGGTGGAATTTTTATTTTAGCCCATTCTGGACCTAAGATCAGAGAAAAAAACATTCTGATGATTAGAAAAAACGATGCAGGTAAAAGTATCTATTCTTACTAGTTATTAAACAACTGATAGAAAGGGATTCTCTCATTCAAATTTTCTAAACAAGCGTAATCAACAAAACAGTGCACATTTCAGCCATAAAAAGATTGAGGAAAACAGTGATCTTCGATTGCATGAAAGAATATTAAGTAAAGTTCTATTCACCTTTAGAAAGAAAAAGAAATGTGATGTCGGTGATACATTTTTACTTAATAGAATTGATAATTATAGAAACATAAAATAAAAAGGAAAGATAGAAAATTATGGATTTCAAGTTTCTTTTGCAGCAGGTTGTCATTTTTAAAGCAGATAAACAAGTATTAAAATTTACATGCAAAATAAATGTTTTTCTTAGACTTCATGCTTGACATGACTTGCCTCGCGATCATTTAAACTCAACAGCCTCATTTTTCTTCGAGTACAATTGTGGTCAAATTAAAAGAAAAAAGAGGACTTCAAGGGTGAAAGAAATGAACTCACCTGGGAGGGCTAAAATAAAACTTTTGGAGCTATGAACTCTGCCTGCTGGGTTTGACGCAGAACACCGGTAAACTCCATTATCACGTGGTGTTGGGGACTTGAGCAGTAATTTCTTTCCTTTCACACTCACACGATCAAATAATTCACCATTTCTGAAAAGAAAAACAAGACATTTTTTAGACTAAAATTATGCATATAATAAGGGGGTACTGACTTGAATTTTTATTATGCATACAATTTAAATTCATAAATGAAAAATGATACATGAATTTGATGATTTAAAAAAGCCACATAACAGAGGGCAATCTTAAGAGTGTGTTTTCTTTTTCTTCATTCTTTGAGAGGAAAATAGTAATGGCAGAAACAATTATCTTAGTTAAATGAGATAGAAGTAATGACAGCCATTGCTGGGAGCTAATAACACGACATCCCCTCTTCCTATGCTTTTAGAATCCTTTAAACAAATATGAGGAGGCTGTCAAATGAGGCCTGAAATTAACTGCCTATACAATCTAATATTCGTCCGACTAGAAAATTGAGGAAATCTTCAAGCTCCGTTAGAACAGTAATTAAATATTTTGAACAAAATGTTTCAATTTACGGGAGCACTACGATACTGTACTACATGTGTTAAGGTTTATTTTTACAAAAAGACAACCGAGCCTGTAACAGTGAGACAAAATTTTCCATGAATGTATTTCGAAGTCATAAGAGAGGCTACTTTTTTAATTTATATCACATTCACTGAGTTTGTCTTGAACACTAATTGTAAGCTTAAAAGGTATCGTGATGCAATGTTAAAATATTTTTTTAATTGTGGTAACAATGACACATTCATTAATTTTCCAAAGAGGGGAAAAATATTTAGGCCTATAGAGAATAACCAATTGGACTTCATTTTGCAATTTGGAACTATAAATTCTAGCCCGGTTTAAAAACGACGTATGTGCCATTAGTTTCCCGATGTACATAAGTGTTTTTCCAGAAGAGCCAGAATTTATAGTTCCAAATTGCAAAATGCAGTCCAATTTCTACTTGAAACCTTAGGAGCTTACCTGAACCATTCAATTTTCACATCAGGACTGCCCTCTGCTGCACATTTCAAGACAAGCTCTCGTCCTGCTGTGATTTTATCTTCAGAAGCTGGAGTTTCAAGGGTCACCTCAGCAGCCTCGCTGATCCCTGAAAAGAGAAAACATATTTGTAATGAAACGCGACACATCATACATGCTCGATGGTGAAACTGCAGAAATGCATATATCGGTTCGCGGCGTTGCATACTTCCTGTCAAACTTCATTTAATACGTGACAAACCACTAGACGTCATTTTTTTAACACTACGGTGTTTCTTCTCGATGTGAAGAATATTCTGTAAAAATTTCAAGCCATGATGTCGGTTCTGTCTCCTTTTAAAAAATACTATTGGAACGGAGATTTTGAAACACCGCAACCTAGATACGTATTTTTGCAGTTTCTCTAACGTGCTTCGTTTGGAACTGTTTATTTCCTTCACAGCTTTACATCATTGTAACATTGTAAAACACTCTACATATCGACGGCGTAAGTCCGCGATCACATACCGATCTCGTTTGCGATGTCTGAGAATCTCCGCCTTTATGTTATTTCTGTAAGGGAGAAAAAATTGGATAGCATTTAGCAAAAAAGAACCAGCGTGGTTACAGTCGTGTTTTCAAAATCGTGCAACTTCTTTTTTTCTTTTGAAAATACGAAAAATAAGTGCAGTATTAAGATTTACACACAATTATTCCCCTTTAAAGTTTAGAAATATTTTGGTGAGATGCAAAATATACTTATATTTGCTATTTTTGGAAATGTTTCAGATAAGTATGAAGAAGCAACATTTCAACAACACTGTAATTGCGCTGGTTCCTTTTTGCTGAATGCGATCCGATTGACATCATTCCTAGAAGTTGTTGCAGAATTTTCTTCGCGCAGAGAAGAAAAATCACGGCAGTTTTAAAGGATTGCCGTTGAGTAGTTTTCCGTTTAAAAAATAAAGTATGACAGGAAGTCTGCGACGTCGTAAACCAAGTTATACCGACTTACACCGTCGATATACATATCCATGAGCAACCGCTACCCCTGGCTCATCCATAAACTTAAGCACGAAATTCACCAAATTTCAGAAACCTGCAAACAGGGTGTCTACTAAAACAGGCTGGTTAAAAATAAGTACTTTTACAGTACTTTTTCAGTACGTTCTCGAGAAATTCGGTACCTTCTCCAAAAGAAAAATTCCGTACTTCTTCAGTACCTCCATTCGACGAAATTAGAAAAATTTCAAAAATTTGAAATTGCGACAGAAATGACAACAAATTTAAAAAATTCTGGACCTTTTTGTGGAATTTCCACTCTTTTTCAGTACTTCCGGACCGCCATTAAAAAATCAGTACTATTTTCGGACTTTCCGGACTTGTAGATACCCTGCCAAATTCTCCATCACGCCGTTATTTTCGAGTGAACAAAAGTATTATAAAAGTAGATTTTGCGACTTGGTAGTGGAAACAAGTTGTTTCGTGTGTGGAACGACGAACATGGGCCGAAAACCGAATCCGGCGAGCGGGAGAACCGTTTTGCAATGGCAAATCCACGATCTCTTTGAGCGTCGAGTTGGGTGGGATTACGCATTTACGCGACGGCAACTCCCAAGCTCTTCATTAAGCTTATGAGCTCCGACGGAGGGAAACAAAGGAGCCTCCCCCTCCCTCCGAGCCGGGGAAAAAATTAAAAACATAAAAAAAGGCTGGCGCGAATACCCTCGAATGGGACGCGACGGATTTCCCACGGAAAAACGGGAAAATCGCCGACCGACGACGCACAGTGTAACAAGTCAGTGCGAGGGGTCGGACTTTCTGTGAGAAACTGCAACTTACAAAGATATTTTTCTGCGAGGAGAATCAAGTAAAAATTCCTGGACGTTTCGCAGCGATAGTGCCCTGCGATGGATAGAGTCAACTAATGTATTTTCAAGTTCCAAAGGAAAGCTGGAAAAAATTGAATTTTTCAAGTGTCCACGCGGACCATCCGCAAAAATGTGAATCCTTCGTTTAGGAGAAACTGTCTGATTTTTCTCCATCAACCAAGCTAGTGCTAGACGAAGGACTTCAACGCGCGAGAAATCAGGAAGCTGGCTTCTTCCTCCCGGTCTTGCTAAGGTGGAATGGGTGACTGAGAGTAAGAAGGGAGGTGACATTAACTCCGGTACTTTCAACCCTTATTTTTCAGTTTTTCATTGACACTGGACTGTTGTTGCTTTTAAAGGAAGGCCTCTCAGCCTCACGGTTGAGCCCGGTGAAGGCTTTCACACACGCATTTTAGCAGATTAGCTCATTTTGTCATATCTTCTCCAATAATTGTTCAATTCATGAACCAATGGTATTCTCGTATTCATTTCACTCAGTAGTTTCCACTTAAGCACGATTTTCATCAAATTTTAGACACTTGCAAATTCTCTATGAACAAACGCCAGATTGTAAAAAGATATGTTTAACAATTGTTTTCAGGCAAAATTTGTTGTTCGAAACGTCAAACACCCTCGAGAGAGCATAAATAGCTGACGTCACGATTATTCCCTGACATTTTCGTCATTTTCCCTGACATTTTCGTAGATTTCCCTGACTTTAGATAATTCCCTGACATTTCCCGGTTTTCCCGATATTCCCTGACTGCGGCAACCCTGCAAACCCGATCCCAAAGCACTGGAATCCCGATCGTCTAGCGCTAGGCGAAGGACCTAGAGCTTTCCGATCTGGCAGCCGGGGGCGTAGCGCGGCGGCAGGGGCGAAAGTAAAAGCTCTCCGAGGCGAGGGGGGGGGGCGGGGGTGGCGGAGCCGGGTTTTGGCGGGTTCGGGGATCTCCCCCTCGAACTGGGGAAGCCGGGAGATTGGATCTCGGGCGGTAGTGCGACTACTACGGGGCTGACTCATCCGGTTTATTACACCGGTGGCCCATAAAACTTTATGACCCAAACATCGATCCGTTGCCGTGGCGACGCCGCCGTATAAAACACTTATTTCGCGTGTTCTCCCGGACCCGAACCCAAACCCGGGCACTTCACCCGACGCCGACTCTTATCTGCCACGCGTTTATTTGACTTTCCTTGATACCTCATTACCGCCCCCCCACGCTTCCACGGGCTAACTTTCGCACCCAACCAGTCTGCCGAGTATTCCTGTGCGAGTTGTCCTCACCCGGTCTAAGAGTCTCAGAGAGCTACACTGAAAAAAAAATCTCGGTGTATTTACTAAGAAAAGGGTAAAATTACCAAGAATTCAGGGTTCTATTCGATCCCAGTTTTTTCTTGGTAAAATTACCATTTATGGAATGGGTAATTTTACCGAGAAATCTCGGTAAAATTAGTGAACTTTCTCGGTAATTTTACTGGACCTTGGTAAAAACGCCAATATTTTTTATCGACTGTGGTAGAATTACCGAGATAAAATGGCAAAGTTACCGGGAATTGATTACCAATAAAAGTGGTATTCTTACCTGAGAAAAACAGTAAAAATACCGGTTTTTAGGTAAGCTTACCAGTCTGTCTTGGTAAAATTACCAATACTTGGTAAAAAAGAGTGAGATGGTAAAGGTACCAACGGACCTTGGTAAAAACGCCGAGAATTTTTTTCAGTGATTGGGATTCGGGCGTTCGGTCTGCGCAATGGCCGGCCTCGGGCAAGGGAGAAAAAAAGCTCGGCTTAGATTAAAGACCAAAGTTTCTGGTCGCAAAAACAAGACTGTGGTTCACCTGACCGAAAACTTCAACTGCCTGAGTCGAAGAACTTTGGTATTCACTTTAAACCGAAGTTCAGAGTCTGTAACCGAACTTGTTTTTCTCAGCGCAGTTTCGAGAAGAGAATAGGCAAAAAAAAAGAAGAAAAAAAAGAAAGAAAAAGAAAAAAAACACCGAAAACTGTAAGTTGCAAAAAAATTCTCGAACTCGCTATCATCGCGGCAGGCATGGAGCATATTTTGGGCCGCGGAGCAAAAACGCCGAATCGCGGGAAACGGATTTTGGAACTTCTTGCGCCCCTAATATCGAATAGTTTATGAGAAGACTGAGGTTTTCCTACTTCATCCGAGTTTTTGAATTTTCTGAGTTAATAAATACTTTTGGATAAAAAACGAAAAAATTAAAAAAAAAACATTGAATTTTCTAAGAATAAAATAACTTTACTTGCTTTAGTTTATGAGCAAAAAGTTGTTTTTTTTTTTTTTTTTTTTTTTTTTACTTCTTTCTTACAGGGAACCCAGAACAACCCGAAGTCTTTAGTCCTCAATTTTTGTTTTTAATGGCGGCCGTCTCTATTTAAAGTGTTACCCTTTTTAAACAATGTAAATTACAGATAGGGCTACGATAAGTCTGCAATTTTGATTAGCTTAATGAAAAAGGGCCTGGCAACGGTGCCTTCCTGGCAGTGACGTGGCGTGAATTGCGATATATCGATTGTTATGTCATTTAAACCTATGGTAAAGAATCGATTATTAAGGTGTTCACTGCGAACACCCTGTTTATCGATCCGTTTCCATTGGTTTAAATGGCATAAAAATCGATATATCGCAATTTACGCCACGCCACTGCTTCCTGGGATAAGACTCGTCAAAATGAGCCTCTATTTTTCGGATACTAAGGATCACGTGCGTACTGCATAGTATGTTCGAGCTGAGCGACATTTTCGTCATTTGTTGAAAAATCGTTTTATTGAAGAAATTGAAAACTAGCATACGACAAAAATGGGCTTGAGGCAAGGAAACTGGGTCGTAAAAAGAGCTTTAACCATGGTGTCTTGAAGTTTTGACCGGCTCATTCCCTGATTTCCCCTGATTTCCTCTGATTTTCAGGAACTGATTTCCTGATGAGAAACCGAAGTTTTCTCCTACTTCCCCGGGATTTTTCGGGGGAAAAAAATATAACTCTCCAGAGTTCCACGTATGAATATCGATTTTAATTTATCTTTCAGCCATTTCTTTGGCGCACAATCAAAATGTTAATTCCGATAGCGTTCCTGATGTTCATATTATCTGGTCAATGAAAGCTTCTCCATTCTTTTGATGATTTGAAGCTTCAAATGTGCAATTCAAGAAGTCAACAATAGCGCTCGGTCAGATTAGACCGTCAAATTTGAAAACGAGATGATCCCTAAGCGGTAGAGATTCCCGGTTTC